AATGAGACCCTTGGTACCAACAAGGTTTCGGACCTTACTCATTGACATTGAACCTCACGGTTCGTTCATTGTGCAAGATCCTCAAGAGAGCAGGTATCGAGGAAGATCTCTAGTCTATTTGCTATACAGAGTTCGAGACCGGAAAAATTCCCTAATATGCATCGGATCTCGGTGTCGCTGAATGCCCTTGCTCATATCATATCAAGTAGACAGCGCCAAGCTCACCTGCCATAAAGGCATACATACATGCGTGCAGGTCTGGCCAGTATACTGTATTAAGATTTGGCCAGCAAGACAGCACATATTTCGGTCAGGCTGTGGATTGGTCTCCATGGCGAGATGCAAAGCAGTCTGGATACTCTTGTGCACGAGCCTCGGACATTGCGAAGGGCCCACGAAATTGAAATCGTTTCTGAACGGTGTCCTGTCGCGAGGAAACACCCCTATATATCCTATAGAACGGGTTTCCTTGCTAATTGCCGGGATCGTACCGTTGTCAGCAGGGGAAGAAAGGCACACGATAGGCGCACAGAACATGGCAGTCAAAGTGTTTACTTATACTGTAGTATGATACATATTGGCAGGACGCTAATTTAAATGAAGTACGAACACAATGTTTCGTACCTGACACAACGAGGACTAAGAACCAGCCCGAAGAGCATAATGATTTGACAATTAGATTGTGTGAGGGCGGAGATTCTGGCTCTATTGCAGGGATACATCATCGCCAGAGTGACTGGATAACTTCTGCTAGTCTCCATGATTAGCTCGGCTTTGGGCATAGAGCTCGACTCTGGCCGTCTGGAGAAGGGCGGTCAGGCCCTTCGTAGCTGGGAATGCCCTGATCCCTAAAGGAGGTTGGTAGAGGTCGCATTGATTATTGGCCATGCAGAGCGCGCAGGACACAGCAGTCGAATTGCAGCTCATCTGGTTAGCCTCATGCACAGAATCTCCAGCACACATCCGACGGCAGTGCATGGACCGCCAGGCGGAGAACGGCGGCTTGTGGTTCCGCCCCCCAATAACCGAGAGTTGAGGGTCCAGGATCGATGGTTGAATTTGGCCTGGGGGGTAGGCGACCCCACGAGCTCATCAATCAGCAACGCGGTTGAGATGAAGCTCTTTCGAAACTCTTGCTGGCGCTGGACCAGCGCCGCCCCACCCACCGGCCTGCTGAAAAGCACAGAAGAGGGAAAGAAAAGGGAAGGAAAAAAAAAAAAAGAAAAGGCGTCGTGGCAGGCCAGGCTAAAATGAGAAGCTGCCCGTCCGGGCACATCAAAGATCGTGGAATTGCCCGAGGCCCTGGAATCGATCTGGTGGAGTCGAGGCGAGCAAACACCAAAGTGGGAAGGAAATGGTTACTTGTTCCCATCAGGACCTGAAGTTGATGACGTGGATGTGTCGGTGTTGCAGCAGACCGCAAGAGCCGTTGCTGATTCTAGTGAGGGCAAATACAAAAGTTGAGCAGTCTAGACGTATCAACTGCAGCCACAAGACAGAAGAGGCGGTCGAGCCCAGCTGGCTGTGAGTTACAAGACACACACCAATTCTGTGCAACCATTATGGGCGATCCGTGACACCTCCCTCACATCAGCGCCTCGCCAGGTTAGCGACACCGCAGAGGATCCCGCTGGCCCAGCCACAAGAGGAGAGATCGTGATGCTGACTGGAGAGGGCCCGCAGCTAGTTCACCTCGGAGTAGGGTAATCCAATCTCGTACTGGGTTCCATTGGCGATAGACCCAAAATCCCAAGGCCACCCTACAATTAGATCCCACGAGCGAGAGACTGAGCGAGGATTATGCCCACATGACGAACCCCAAGGACCAAACACCGCACGGCCATGGACAGCCCTGCTTGTCTGGATGAAAGGGAAAAGAAGACGAGGGGGGAGAGAGGGACGGGGGGAGAGTTTGGTGCAGTAACCGCCCAGCAGGAGGATACGTAGTACCGTCAGGGTGCTACCTGGTCGATGAAAGATGGACAGGCGAAGGTGTCTTTTTTTTTTTTTTTTTTTTTTTTTTTTGAGGAGCGTGTATTGGCGCGGCAGAGAGGGAAGTATCAAACAGGATGGGGGATGGTGATCAGCCATTGCTGATGGAGCAAGGAATGGGGGAAGGGGGGGTGAGAGGGGAGAGGAGGAGGGGGGATTGGGGGTCCCACTGCTGCCACCACTGCAGCAACATGCTCGCACACCTGCTGCACCTCGAGAACTAACCGCCCCGTTTTTCGCCTAGAAACGCAACGTTGGCGACATTGAGAACCTGGGAAGATTGGTACTGCGGTCCGGGTCCAGGTCGTGGACAGGGCCCTGTGACTGCAGGTGAGATCCCAGGGGGTGGGCTGCCTAATCGTGCACTATGTTCCCACTGAAGCTATGGTACACAGCGCCCAGTATTGCTGGGGCGCCAGGCGGGCGTACCCGCTAACAGTTGGCTATAGTGGGCACAGTCTGGGTAGGAACAAGGCTGGAAACCCCCGACCCGGGAAAGGGAAGGGGCCACAGAAAAGACGAGAAAAGAAAGGGAAGAAGAAGAAAAAAAAAAGCACCAGCGCTCCCTCCCATTTCTAGAAAAGCGCCTTGGGGCGTGCCGTCATTTGCGAGATGTGGTCTTCGGCAGTACCTTGTCTCGTGCTGGAGCCATCTCACATTTTACAGGTATCTTGATTGTAGCTGCCCTGCCCTGGAAATGCAGGCAGGGCCTTTTCCATTGCAGTGCCCACCTTGGCTTCCCACCCCCTGGTGGTGGCAGGAGACAGGAAGGCGAAGGTGCAACCCACCCCAAGCCTATACGCACTAGTCGTACTGTATTGTACGGTTTGGGCCACGGCGGCGGCTGCTGTGTGTGTGTGTATGTGTGTGTGCAGCTCATACTGCTGCAGCTGCTTGCACTTGCTTGCCATCTTGTCTCTCACTCCTAGACTTACCTGGCTGGCTGGTAGCTCCTGTGTTTCCAAGCTAGACTGCCCAGGTTCGAGTGACGATAAAACGCCCTCTGGTCCGCCCTCGGCGCCACCTCTTCCCTCGCGCTCTCTTTCGATGTTCTCACCTTTTTCCCTCTCTGCCTTCTTCTTCCAGTCCTACCAACTTTCTCCATTGCAAGTCGACCATTTTGTTGGTTGACATTAGGTCAACGTCAGAGGTTTTCCCTCCTCACCTCTCGACTCACGACCTCCTCTTCCATATCCGCCCTCACCTCCAACCACCATCTCTCTTTCTGTGTACCTGCCCGTTATATCCACCTCTCTCCTCTCCAAAGGCAACTCATAAGGCTGTCTTGCAAGGAAGGTCCTCTCTTCAACCTATACCTGTTCTCTTTGCGGTCATTGCGCTGCCTTACCAAATCTCGTTACCTCACTCAGCCTTATAACGCTACCTATCTCCTCTACTTACAAACCCCAATCCCACTCCCCTGGAACCGTCGCTTCAAGCCAAAGACTTTTCCCTCTGCCGAAAACAGCCTACTGGTGGCTTATATTCCACGTTCTCAGACTGCTACTACTATCCCACCTGGACTATTCACCCGACGCTATCCTACCCTTCCACCAGCCTGTCGACAGCGCTCTGCCGTCCCTCGGCCGAAGAAAAAATTTGAAACTGCAGCGAGAAAATCTTTTGGGATACAACAGTCTTCACCATCGCCAAGGAAAACCAAGCGCACACAGCCAGGGTTTCTCGAGTCTGTCCCGAGGACAAGCCAGGCCCCCCCCTCCCCCCACGGCAATACTCGAACAGGATACGCAGATCCTCGAACCTCGATGAACCCTGCACCTGCATCCAGCGACCCTGCGACAAGTTAAACGTCAGGCACCCCGGCAACTCTCTTGTCCTCTCCCACACACAGAAGAAAAACACCCCCACCTGCGCACACACGCTTATACACTCCCACACACACAACCTGAGAACTGGTACCTCTCCTCTTCGCGATTCGCATCGATTCGCATCGTCTCGCCATTCACTCGCGCCGCATCCACCTACCACTTCGGGCCGAAAAGCGGAGCTACTCTACCTACCACCAAGGTCACATCGAGTCAAGGCCGTCAGAACTCGCCCCAGTCTGGCCCCTGTCCTGCCCACCGATATTTTGGCTTTTTGACATCGGCATCGACGTCGACAAGCTGAACATCAATTGCAGCCAATAATAAAAAAAATCCAACCCACACCTCAGCCTGTTGGCTGCCCCTGCTGCTGTTGGAAATTCCTACCTTTCAAACAAGCACAACACCTTTCCAATTGTCCTCGATGCGCTTCGCAACCCATCATCACCACCGCCACCCGTACTTATAACACGTGCTGGGATTCAGTGCAGGAGACCACACTGCCAACTGGGGCTGATTGAGAATTTCCCGACACACCAGGATCGGCCGCCGATCTTGAAGTAGCATCGTCAACAGCCTTTCTGCTTTCTCCAAGAGTTCTTCAACGCCTGAAGTGAAACACAACGGCTAAGACCAAACACAACACAACAACGCAAAGACCAATCTCCACTCAATTATTTCTTGGCTGTACCTTTTTTGTTTTCTCCCTCTTTATCTCTATCTATCTACAGGCGTTTGCATCCTCTGGAGTCTTGGTAACTGGAAAACAAACCTCTTTTCGTCCTTGGAGCCAGATACCCAGTCAAATGTTTTCTTAGTTCTTTTCCTTTCTTCTCTTCTACTTGAATCTTTTTGTTTATCCCTTTTCGGTTTCCACCTCGCTATCATCGAGTCTTTGGTAACTCGACAAAACCACCTTCGATCCACCACACCCAGTTTCCGAGACTGGTCCGTCCCCCTGGATACCTCGGCGGATTCCCATCGTCATCTCGTGATCCACGGTCCTTGCAGATACCGGTCAGGGGCCCCACTACATCTACATCAGTACATCAGTACCCGCGCGTGCCACTCTCGTCGTCCGGCCGAATCGCGACCTCTGCGGCGCTCGTTGACGAACCCTCATCCCTCCTTCATACGCCTCTTGACACATCCGAGCAGTTGCAATCACACGCACCGTCCAACATGATAATAGACGGCGAGAAGTGGGCTTGTGAATCCTGCGTGAGAGGACACAGGGTCAGCAACTGTACTCATGCAGGTGAGCAATAATCGCGCAAATACCCCTGTCGTCTGTTCTGCAGCCGCTCCTGCAGCCGCAGTGCGATTCCGTCATTTTGTTCCTTCTCGCATGCATGCATCCAGATTAGGAAGTCTGTATACATACAGGGTCTCTTGCTCTTTTTTTGCTGACACGGCTTGAATTTCTCCTTTCCCAGACCGTCCTTTGCAGCACATCAACAAGAAAGGCCGACCAGTCTCACAATGTCAACACTGCCGATCCCAGCGCCGCTCGAAGTCGGCCCACGTCAAGTGCGACTGTGGCGAGAAGACGAGCAAGTGTGTGCACCTGCAGCCAACCCTCGAGGGTCACCGGGATAGCTGCTGTTGCAACCATGGAGGACGGTGCACCTGTTCGCACAAGAAGGAGCAGCCTCATCTCGACACCGTTCCCGAGTCCGATTCCGACCAGGAGACGACATCGAGCTCCAGCACAAAACCATCCTCCAAGATTGTGAGGAATCGTCGGTCACGCGCGAGCACGCAGAACTCGGATGGAATGTTGCAGTTCGATGAGAATGGTCACCACAAGCCCACCTACAAGCATGCGAAGCCCCATCAGACGTCTGGCCCGTACCAACTTACCCGCGGCCACTCGGCCCAGGGTGCTGACAGCGGCTGCAATCGCTCGATGGAGGACCTGGCTAACAGCCCGTCGAGCGCCGAGACCGGAAGCATGCCACAAGCCCAGGACCAGCGCCTGACGAAATCCGAGACTGCCTCGCCATTAATGACCGGATCCTCTGTCGCACAGTCGAGCACATCCCTCCCTCCACTGGATCTGTCTTCTGTCCAGGGTTGGCCCTCATTCACGAGCAGCGGTTTCGACATGTTTGGAAATATGGATGATCTGGAACCTCCAATTGTCAGTGCGGGACTGAGTGCTGCATCTGTCGATTGGGGTCAGTACGGCCTCGGCTTCGACTCCAAGGATGTTGGCAGCTTTGCTCCCTCGAGTTACAGCCAGGCCCCGAGCTTTGGCGGCTTTGATCAGCCCTCTACAATGACATCTGGTGATGTCTCGGAAGTCGAGGACCTGGTTCCCTCGGCTGCCGACGATTACGATCCTATGGGGACCTTCAGCCGCACCAACACGTCGAGCTCGGGTTTCAGCTTTAGGCCGTCCCAGGAGAATCTCGCTGGCTCTGTGGGCCTGAGCAGCAGTGATTTCGACTTCAACAAAATCAACAAGGAATTAGACGGAGAGAAATACTACGACTCAGCTGTCCCACTCATCAACGAGGACCCCTCTATCGCTGCTACCATCACCACGCAGGAGATGTCTGGTTTCGTTCAGGACGATCCTATCTTCTGGCAGATGCGCGAGGGTGATCTGGACTACACGAACCCCCTTCTCGTGCCAGACGCCAGCGTTCCCAATTTCTGGAGCACCGCATAGTGTGCAAACTAAGGGCCTATGCTTATGAGGAGGAAACCAGAACTGGTCTGGGGCTCAATCTTTGTTGTTGAGGATCGGCTTCCCACAGTTTGGTGGGACGCTCAAGTCACAGCCGTGGGGCAGAAAAAGCGGATGACTTTCCCCCAGACCATCTGGAATCAGGACAACATCTGAATCAAACGGAATTAATGGCGGCAACTTTTGCAGTCAAAGTTATCGTGTCATCTCAAACAAAATCCATCTATCTTTTTTCAAGGCAGCCGCAATTGCCTTGTATAATGTTTGACGACATATATGGCATTTTCTTCTGAAAGAGAGAAGGGATTATTGCCGCTTCTTGTTCTTAGGCGCAATGCAGCATGGCAATGGAGGGCCAGAAAGAAGCACGCATTCGTTTTTTTCCATGAACGACCAATAGAGGGCACGAATTTTGGGTATAGACTAGAGCTGGAAAGGTCACATAGGTGGCTGCAATAGCTCTTGGGTACACACTAAATCTGAGTCTGCTGGAATATCTGGCAGACACGAGATACAAAAAATAAAAATATTCAAATTAAGTCATGTGTCGTTGTTTCCGCCCGCCTCACTCATTTGAGTATCTGCCTTCAGAGTGTGCGTACCGTGTAGCCGGTTCCTACGTATCATGCAGGCAACTAGAAATGCATGCAGGGCCTTGATTCGTACCTGCAGCCCACGAGTCTGCTGTGCTACAGCCTACATGGCATGTGGTACCGTACCGTAGTGTCATTTCGATCAAAGTAGTACTGCTCCTACTACACAGTACGTGCAAGCTGTCAGAGCCGCCAACAACAGGAGGGCCCCCCTCCCCCCCATCTTTCTCTTCAGGGACTGACTCGACAAGGAGCCCGCTTTTCCTCGAGCGCTCGCTTTCCTCTTTCAATCGAACGACACGAGGCAACAGGTCTGCATGGTACTTTCCTGCTGTCTCCCCCTCTCTCAATCTGTAGGCCTCCTCCACCTTCGTCCTCGCCAGGTCGCGATGACGACGTTTTGGCTTGGGGGTGGGGGAGAAGGAGGAAGAGGGGGGATCACGACACCGGTACCCGCTGGGGCTGGATCCCCCCTTCCCCCCCACTAAGAGCGCGCGTGGGGGTTACGTATTCCTTTTGGATGGGAAGGGGGAAGAGGAGGGAAGGAGAGGGAGGAAGAGAAAGGGGGGCACACTGTCAGTCAGTCAGCTGGCTTGGGAAGAGGCGAGGTGGAGAGAGGGAGAGATAGAGAGAGAAAGAGTACGTAGTATGTGGTTTGTGTGGTCTTGGTCTCTCCATTGGGCGTCATTCTGGAGAGAGAGAGAGAGAGAGAGGGAAGGGGAGGGGGGGCCAGTGGGTGGGCTGCAATCCAGGTTCCCGGGGAAAGAAGACGATCGTGATCTCTCTTGGCGTCCAGTGTCGGTCACGCGGGCTCCCTGCTGCCTTCATTCTTGCCCTGTCGTGCTCTACTAGGTGTGGGTTTTCTTGTGTGGGTCTTGAGAACTGGACATCTTCCGAGGTTTGGGGGGTTTTTTCTTTCTTTTTTCTTTCCTCCTGTTCTCTTTTGGGTTGTTGGCTTGAATGGAGGTGGAGTGTTCAGGGGTGGAGCCACCCCCGGACTATCAATCCGAGGCTTCGTCGTGTTTTCCTTGTTGTGGACACGGTGGTGTGTTGGCGCTTTTGTGTGGTGGGAATGAATCGATAGATGGGAGGAAGCTGGAGACTTGTGGCTGGCATCTGAGATCGTGGATAAGAGGCTGGGGAAAATTCATCAAGAGCTATTCATGAAGCTGGCTGCTCCCAGGTGACCCGGGAAACTGATCTCTACGACAATCATTTATGGGCGCGAGTTGGACATTCTAGGTGGTCAAACAGCGAATGTTCCTTACGTGAGGCCATGGACAAAATCTCGAAATTACAAAGAAAGTCCTGACCTGCTCCTCTAGCTGAGGAGTCTAGCTCACTCTATATGTGGGACGAGATGGGATATGAGCTAGTGTGGAGGCGAGTTGTGCTACGCTGCGCTACAAAGTCAAGCTCACTCACGCGAGAGCATAGAATCTTGACAATCATGAAGAAGAGGATTATTCTGAACTTACTCGAAAGGGTTACGCTTGGAGAAGACAGTGCCTAGCCGTGCTGGTGGTGGCATGACATCGAATTAATGGGTAGAAAAATATCCGCGACACGGGTGTTGTCGACGGGTGGTACATCGTATGACAAGCTAGACCTAGTTTCTAGTTTAGATGTGTGCATAGAAGATGCTCCTCCATGAATAGAACCAGGTGTCTGTGCGGTACCGAGCCTGCACACGAGGCGTAATTACCTGACCGAGCGGGAAATAAACAGTAAAACACCACAATGGTGGATAGGCAATTACCGCTTGGCCGCACACAGGTTCGATCTTTCAATTGAGATCCTCGGCCCTCAATTCCTTTGGGTGCCCATTCTAGTGAGAAGGCTGCGCAATAACATTGAGATAGCCTGCGCGCAACAGCGGCCGTGGGTCGAAACCAAGGTCTTCATAGTCGTCGCTCGTGCGAAATTTGGGCTCATCCTCGGGTCTTTCTGCAGGGGTGTCGGGGGCAAGGTCGGAGATAGCAGCTGTGTTGTTGTTGTCGTTGTTATTGGTAGTGGCTCCCGGGATGTCGGCGGCGGTTGCGAGATCTGCAAGCTGTTGAAGGTTTTGGCTCGCCGTAGACTCAGTAGCGGCGGCAGAGCTTGTGGACGGGGAGAGGGTAGCGCGGATCCTGGCGCGGATCGAGTCGTCCCATGTCGAAGGGGAAATGTTGGCGTCGAGAAGATTCCTGAGGAGCTGGGTTGCCTCTTCGCGTGACCTCTCGTTCTTGGTCATTTCGATTAAGCAGAGCGTAGTCAACGATGTGAAGTGGTGGTTCAGTGGGCTGATCATCTGGGCGTGCGAAGTGAGGAGGCGGACTGATTCTCTAACGGCCCAGGTAACGTCTGTAATCAGGGCTGAAGGCATGAACAAGAAGGCGAGCAGTCGGCAGTGCCAGTAGGAGAGGTGGAGGACGGGCTCCAGATGAGGTGAGATGTCACCAGGAAAGTGAGCACGCCACATCTCCATGTTCAGGTGGAAAGTAGCTGAAGCCACGGTGCCCGAGCCTGGTGTCGAATGCAGAGGGGCAGTTATCGAGGCGGGCGACCAATGTCCGATGATATATGCGAGCACTAGAAAAGAAAGAGAGAGAGAGAAGAACAAAGACAGCGTCAGAGCATAGGACTTGAGTGTGATGACGATGTAGTAGTGAACTTACAACTGAAACGGTAGTTGACCTCCCCAAGGATCGGCCTGAGGTTGTGTGGCAGAACCACTGTGTCGCTCGAGATGACCAGAGGCGTCGCTGTCGATATGGCATTCCATCGGTCCAGCACAACAAGGGTCCACCAAGCACGAGCTCGGATGCACTCGTCTGGTTCATCGCCCGCCGTGGTGCACAGGGTCATCGCCTCTTGTGGTATACCCATGGCGTATGCCAGACCAGCAGCTCGACCGAGTAGCGAGACCTTGGCAGGCCCTTCGTGCTCTCGGGACAGAGACGAGATGCCGAGATTGTCAACGTTGATGATCATGAGGATGAGGCATTGTAGATAGACAAGGTCTGAGACCTGTGCGTGCTTGCCACCCTCAGCGTCGAATTCCGCAAGAAGGCGATTGGCCGTGACGAGACGGCCATGAACATTCTGAACAGCCTCGAAAGACCCCATTGTGGAGTTGAGCGCCTCGATGAAGGCATTCTGCAGCGTGGTACTGCAGAGCGTAAGCCGTGAAGCCATAGCCTCTCTTGAACCGGGAAGAAACGGCAGCACATGGTGAACAATGTAAAAGTATCTATCGTGTGCGGTTAGTGTCTGTCTCATGAAGATAAAAAATTAAACCCCTAACAAGCAGTGCACTCACGAGGTATAGACGTTCTCCTCAATGCCCGGAGCCACAGGAGCGGGCTGAGGGACCTGTCGGTGGAGCGTCGTGCCATCGACATCAAGAGATCGACTCTGAGGGGTACCAATGCTTGTTCGCGGCAGGATAGGCTTGAGAGCAAGTCCACTGGCTGAGTACGATGTCTGCTGTGGAATGACAGGTCGATTTGGCGTCGGGGTTGGGATATTACCGCCAGAAATTTGAGAAAGTGGCCGCTTGCGAGAGTCCTCCAGCTGCGCAAAAGCAGAATAAGTCTCCCCGATGCTCCCTCTGGCCACCAGTTCTCCAGCCAGGGCCTCTGCCGCGGTCTGGCCCCCAAGTTTGCCTTCAATAGAGTTGATGCGGTCGGCGAGTTCCTTGATATACCCTTTGCTAGGACCCCTCTTCTGAGGCACACGACTGAACATGCATCGGACGTTCGAACGACGGCAGTTGGAACAGGCCTCGTCGCCGTTCTCGGTCATACTATCACACTTGACCTTCTTCCTGCGGCACTCGTCACAGGCTCGACTAACTTTGGACCGTTTCCGAGGCGGCGTCACATCAGCAAGTGTGTACTGCGACTGTGTTCCGCTGGCGGGTATAGCTGGAGCGAGGGTAGGTGGTTGCGGGGTCTCCAGGTATTGGGCTTGGGCATGGGCATGCGGTGGGAACGGTGACTGGGCCGTGTGGTGAGATTCAGAATCTTGTCTCGACTCGGCATGTTGTATGGCTTGCTGCAGGGTCTGCTGGAGCTCCTGCTGTACAGTCGACTGCATATTCTCCGCAGAGACATCAGGCGGCAAGATGTGGCTTTCAGAAAGACTGTGTTCCCGACTGTGCATCTCTGAGTCTGACTGTTCAGCCCGCAGCTGATGCAGGCTCTCCTCGAGATCAACTGCTCGCTGAGACTGATAGCTGTTGTCCTCAGTGACAGCAGAATTACCGACCACCCCTTGCAGGGCTTGCGACATCTGCGCTGCAAGCTGCAGCTGCTGGATTTGGTCGTCGCCATGGCTGCCCAGTTGTAGATCTTCAGCGGCTACGTCTGGCCGTGCGCGCTGTGGTGGCGTTGGTGGATCAGGTTCCTGCTGGGCTGCTTCGACATCACGGTCTCCTGGAAAGAAGGCATCATGTGTCTCCGCGACGGTGGGAAGGGAATGGTATTGTGGTTGCGGCTCTTGGGGCTGTGCATCAGCTCCAGAAATGTCCTCCATAACAGCCTCCAGCTTCGTCGCCACTTGGTCTTTGTCCATGGTCATCGATGTTCTGAGGCAGTTGAGGTCAAAAGGGTAGTGGAACTGGAAGTAGGAAAAGGGCCTGTAGCGTTGTTGATGTCGTTTGTTGCCAACAAACCAAGGCTGGTGTGTGAAGGGTCGCGTCAGGGTGTTATTATATCCTTAGCCCGTCCATAGCTTATGCTTGCACTGGCCCAAGAGTAGCAAGATTAAGTCAAGGCGATAAGATGCTGGCTGGCAGACTGTTGAAATGCTGGGTTTGTGTTTGTAGTCTAATCGCACTTGGCTGCAAGGTGTGACAACATTGCCTTCTTGAGTAGTTAGTGCACATGTTGACAAATGCATGAGGATGACAACAGTATGAATTGAAAGCTGTAAAAAGCTATGGAAACACGCTGTGAACAGGCATGCGCAAACAAGGAAACATCATGCCATTGCATTAGACATTACAGGACACCAAATCGGGCCAAAGAGATAAGGACTTGTTGCTGTGATGAGAACAAGGGAATGATGGGGTTGAGTGAGAAAGGAGACATACCTTGACGCGCTCTGAGCTCTAAGACGCGCAGCATGGAACAATTGATGTTGCTGATTCCGAAGGCAACGGAAGAGGAAGAACTCGAGGCCGAGATTTTTCTGGGAGCAGCGTTCTAGACGGAAGCGGAGGGGCGGGGTAGCTGAGGGACTGGAGCCAATGAGGGGTCATCACAAATACAGTGTGAAGTATTGCATGACTGTGTTCCCACACAGGGCCCCAATGGCCCACCACCCTCTTGAAAGACAGACTTGTAGACATTGATTTTGCCTCTTGTGTTACAAGACTTATCAGCAGCCTAAAGATATAATGATTACTCTTTATTGCAATCTGGATGGTTTTGTTATCTTCTTTATTCTTCCTTTTTCCCTTTTTTCTACCGAATCTATATATGTGTGCCGGTCATCTAAACGATGGCGAGCGCGCTGCTGGATTCCAATAATCAACACATCCGAAGTGCAATATCCCTTCCTTGCCCAGCCTAGTGTTCCTGAGATTCAGAATTCAACCTGACTCCAGGTTTCCATCTTCTGGACAATATACTCTCCATGTCTTTGATTGATTTGAGGTCTGATGTGATATTATGATGGTGTCCATTGATCATATGGTGTTTCGCTGCGTCAAAATTACGATGACAGCAAGACGGAAGTGCGTCAATGTCTTCCTTGCTCAGATTATCCACGTGATGCCTCGCTGCATCAGCCGTGATCTTGGCGATAGTTTCAAGCGCGGCGTTGGAAGTGTCTCTGAGCTCTTCTTGAGCGTGGGCCATCGACGCTGGCAACGGTAACGCGAGGATGTGGTTATGTAGCATGAAGAGGGATCTAATCCGAGTTTGAATCAGAAAACACATTTCGTCAGAAAAGGGAGGATGCATCCCAGGACGACAGAAATCCCATCAGTCTTCTCTGGGGATGGAAGGACTCATACTGGATGGTGATCGCGATAGCTCCGCAATGCGATCCGTTTCCATAACCTGGTCGATCTGTACTTTCACTCAAGGTTGTGGATAAGAATGCCTGAAGCTCTTGGTCAACCTGCTTCAGCTCTACAATCTTGGTTTCTATAGCCACGGGCAGCGCGACAGTCCCCTGGATATAATCCAAGAAAGACGTGGCCTGGGCTTGTCGTCCAAACTTGCTCACAACGGCGGGGAGCGGTCTTGGTTGCACGACGTCTTGGTTTAAGATACCAGAGGTTTCGGCCATGGCAGCCTGGCATGACACGAGGTCAAGTGGCAATGGTGCGGATCGTGGAGGGTAACGCGACTCGGGAAGACGGATTCCATCCGTTGCTGCAAAAGAAATGAGCCTGGAAACAGTCGGCAGGTCAGTCTGCAAGTGTGTCCTAACGGCTCAGACATTCTGAACCAAGCAAGAGAGAGCAACTACCTTTCCATGATCACGACGCCCCACCACACGTTCCATTCCTCCAAGTCCTTCTGGCAGGGTTTCGCGAGGACTTTCACATCACTATCAAGACCCAGGACATGGCTCATCCGTACCACTGTGCCTATCGACAGATAAGCTTCTTGGACACGGTCAGACTGACACTCAAATATGGAAAGCAACAGGCCGGCCTGGACGAGACGAGTACTGGCGGGTACGAAGGCTTGTACGTGCGCAAAGGCTGTCTTGACGGCGACGTAGAGTGCATCTGGAGTGATGCTGTGCTCTCGAGCAGAATCGTTCGACCCTGCAGAAGAGGGACGAAAGAGGATGAGACACATAGCGAGTACTAGGACGGATGTTGCCGCTGGTGGCAGGCTATCCCCGGTTTCTTCCTCGATGTCTTGCTGCAACGACGGGGAGATAATGGGGATGGCCTTGTGGAAAGTTGAGAAGTAGCGATTACACAGCCCCGGTAGGGCGAGACTCTGGGACCGCAAGGCATGACCAACCAAGTTGTCCAAGGCACTGTTCAGCATCTCAGGCCTTGAAGGATCGACGACTAACTGCAGACCATGGCCCACGGTCGACATCCCAGGCCATAGCCCTGAAATGAGCGGAGAAGCCGACGGTTGGCCGCTGCTGCTGGACGACGAGAGAGATGCGTTGGCCCCTGCTGGAGATTCGTAGTCATAGCTGCAGCTGATACCTTTCCTCGAACAAGAGCTGCATTGAGGAAGTAGTTTATCGCAGGCTTTCTTGCGGGCCTTGCAGGTGCCGCACACCCGAGTAGCACGTTCGGTGCCTGATGCCATTCTGCTTCCTGGCTCGCAGAATCACAGTGTGAGGCTGATCAAGCCCGCCCAGAGTAGAGAGATAGTTCTGTGCACACAGTATTCAGTCGTCGTAGTCATACGAGCTTGAGGGCCTCACTCACCATGCCATATGACGGGGTGGGCGTGGTGACGTTGGGTAGTCTGACATGTCGTCGGCCGACACTATTCCATTCTTGGAGGGCTTGATTGCGGTGGAGAATCCCCTCATGTTCGAAAGGGAGGAAGAATATTGGAAAGGGGAGAGGGGCGGGAGAAGAGAAGAAAAGCTACAGTGGGATGGGTCTCGAAGCTTTTTTGCCGTGTGATAGGCCCCAATGCTGCAGCCAGCTGTGACGGTTTGCTCACCCTCACCACAGCAAAAGGCTGAGACAGAGCTCACGTCGGCCGACGCTTTAACTTCCTTCAGTTAGGCTGCTACTCTCTGTTTGGACCATGTTTATAGTACTACGCAGTCTATGTTACATAGCTGCCCGTCGGCCGACACTATACCCTTTTGAGTCCACTTACAAGAGACTGTGGATACGTGCTGTTTGGGCAACTTTGCAGTCCCCATAGGACATCCTTTTGCTCTCCGCCAGTCATGCAGTTCACACTTTCGTTTGGTTTATGAATAGGGTTCCGTTGCAACTCTTGGCTACCATTTGTTACTAAGACCTTGCAAAGGAGTTCATAAGAGGCCCCTCTGACGTCGATTTTTTTTTTTTTGTTTTTTTTGGAGAAGATGTATAAATCAGACCAACAAACGACACAAATAAAAGGTTTACTGAGCATCAGTCAAGAGACAACGACATATGTTGGTCAACATGGAGCAGACGAAAAAAGAAATATCGTTTACCGAAGGGGGCAGTGCCACTACATGTCCATCCAACCATCCTTCCACATCTTCGGGGAACCTCACGACCACTAAGATGACTCAAGGAGACCCTCACGCAAACAACGTGCCAGACCTCGAGAAACAGAAACCCTCGGCCGTGCCTGACGATAATGGCAATGCAGGTAAGTCTAATGAAGCTAAGAGTGCTTTCATTGTCAGATTCGAGGACGGCGACCCTGCGAACCCAATGAACTGGAGCTCAACGTACAAGGCATGGTTGACCTTTGAGCTGGGCCTCGTGGCGTTCCTCGGCTCAGTTGGATCGTCCATCATCACACCAGCAGAGACTATAATTGAGGAACTTTACAATGTCAGTCATGAGGCGACAGTATTGGTCCTCTCTCTTTTCGTACTAGGTAACAAAAGTCCACTGAGCCTCAGGATTGTTTATTCTTTAGTCTTGTCTGGACTGACGAGGCGTCAAATGCCAGGTTTCGCACTTGGACCACTCATATGGGCACCCATTAGTGAGGTCTATGGCCGAAGGTGGTCCATCCTGCCAGCCGTCTTCGTCTTGGGCCTTTTCAGTATTGCCACCGCGGTCAGCAACAACGCCGCAAGTATCTTCGCCACTCGATTCATGGGTGGTATCTTTGGTTCCGCGCCCATCAGCAACGTCTCGGCAGCACTGGGAGATTTCTACTCCCCAAAGACCAGAGGCGTAGCCATGGCCTTTCTCGCCATGTGCGTGGTAGGAGGGCCTTGCTTGGCTCCCCTGATGGGTGCGGCCATCGTCGTCAATCCTCACCTGGGATGGCGCTGGACCGAGTATATTTTGGCCATCATGGTCTTTGCCGTCTTCTTACTAGCACTTATCGACATGCCAGAGACGTATCCTCCCGTTCTGCTCAAGCGAAAGGCCAAGCAGATGCGCAAGGCGACCGGCGATGAGCGGTACTGGCACCCACAGGAGCACGAGAAGATCAGCGTCCAGAATGTTCTCACAAAATACCTTACGCGGCCTGTACGCATGTTCTTGTGAGTAGAGCCCTGAATTATTTAAGCCACCCTATAGCATGCAATTAATACTTCCTAATGTAGTACCGAACCGATGCTGATGTACATTGCAATCTACGCATCTTTCGTATACGGCCTCCTCTTCCTCACCTTGGAGGTATTCCCGATTGTGTTCTACGAACAGCGCAAGTGGGGCTTGGTCGTGTCCGAATTGCCATTTCTAGGCCTATTCGTTGGCGTGCTATGCGCCATGTTTGTCAATATTCTGAATCAGCCTCTGTACATTCGTGCCATGGTCAAGTACGTGCTGAAGTTCCACGTTACAGCGTTGTTTCCTCCGATCAACCTATGGCCCCTTTTGCCGGTGCTAACAATCTAACACTCTCTCATAGGAACAACGGTCGGGCGGTTCCGGAAGCTCGACTGCCTCCCATGATCGTCGGAGGGTTCCTGTTCTCCATCGGGCTCTTCTGGTTCGGGTGGACAGCAACACCCAGGTATCCGTGGGCCAGCCCTGTCGTGGCCGCCGCGTTCATCGGTGCGGGTTTCAACATCGTCTTCCAGCAGTGCCTCAACTTCCTGGTCGACACATATGGCCCTTTTGCCGCCAGCGCCATGGCGTCAAATACCTTTCTCCGGTCTCTGTTGGCCTGTGCTCTTCCCCTTGCGGCCAGGCCTATGTTCCTCAACATGGGCATCGGCCCAGCGGCCAGCCTTCTCGGCGGAATCTCCTGTTTGGCCTTGCCAGTGCCTCTGATCTTCATGAAGTACGGCGTCAAGTTGAGAAAGATGTCCAAGTTCGCGCCGGCATATGAGGGTTGAGTGAGCACTAAGCTCCGTGTGGAGAGAGCTGAGAGCGGGTGTATTCCCCTACCACCTCTGGGCTTGGCTGTGAGGAGATGCCACAGTGGAATGGACTTCTGTAGTGCACGAACAGACGGTTGGAGGAATTGAATGACCAACTTGGCAAATTTGTGGGCTTCTAATATTCACAGGAAAGTCTGTTAATAATAGTGGCAGTATCGCTTAGTGCATTCAAGGTTGAGTTCAATATCAGTGGAAAGCCGATATGGGCTAGAGTGAAAACCCCGATACATGTTAGCTGACCATATGATCATTATTTCCCCTAATACCTTCAAACAAGCATTTAGAGCGAGCATCATATGCAGCTTTGACACACTTTGCCAGATGTGAGCTCGCCGCATCAAAATCGATATGTATGTGGATAGTATGCAATATGTTTGGCGACGGATTACTTGATCGGAATGGTTCAGAGAGACATAGTGTGTGAGTCCGATCCTACGCAGCTATATAGGCCACAGCCGTTTCCAGTCAGTTGGGAGTGGTCACTCCTTTTAGCTGTCGCATACATAGTGTCTGAGTGGCGCAAGCAGCAGACTACGTACTTACTATTGAAAAGATCGATGATCCACGAGGTCATGAACGACACTGACAACCATTATCTCATGACATACGCATCAAGGGGTGGGGGTTGGATTCACTTATCCCAGACTATAAAAATAAGTAAGTATGTTTTTGTCCTCGACTTCAACGAGAAAAGCGATGTGATCATTCACATACAGGAGTTTGTGGGCTGACAATTCGCTATACAGTTTCTGAGCAAGGTGAAGGAGCATATGGCAAAGAACCTCAGTGACGTGAACAGCTTGACCAAGGCAATAGATTAGGAATTCAGGCGTAGTGTTAAATCAAGTAGGGGTAGGCAATTGAGTCGAAGTAAGCCCCTCTGTTCAGACAAGAACAATCAGATTGTTACCGTTGTGAGTAATGATTAATCGCATTCGGCCACACCACTGCTATTGAGCTTTCGGAGAACTCAGACCACAATACCGCTGTGGGAGCATGTTCAAGTGTGGTGTTACTAGGACAAATCTTCTGTTCAACAATATCCCCTTCTCACATATTCTGGCGGAGAACATATAACTATCAGCATCTGTCAAACGTGAGCTGATCATTTGTGGGCGCTTACTTCAAAACAAAGCAGCAAATTTCTCAATCAACTCACAACTCATCATTCTCTAGGAAGGATCTGGACAAAAAGTCGCCATGTCATCTACACCTAATCCCAAATTCCTCCACGGTTCCAAGCCTTGTACCGGATGTGGTGTTGAGATCCCAAAGCGTCAACCCTACCCTTACTGCAACGCTTGCTTTGAAAAGAACAAGGCTGCTATGTCTGACATTACCAAGCGCATGACGAATCTGGGCAAATAAGTCGGTCAACTCATTGCCTTGCCCTCTCAGTCAACGGCGCATAGTGTTCTGGGAACCTTTCATCTGGCCAACGACCTTACAAGGCAGACTGGGACCGTTTGAGTCGCGCTCATTCCCTCTTGACCATAGGGTAGACATCACCTAGATACAGATTTTGGCTTGCCTTTCAGTCTAACTCGCACATCAATCAGATTACATTCTTTTGCACAAATTGTTCCCATCCATATTGTCATGCGCTGTCGATTCGGTACATATAGTATACTGAACTATGATGAATTAGCAGTGACTTTTATGCAGCATCCGCCAGCCAGCTTGTTGGTCGACAGCCAGATTTATTGTCATCTAATTGCTGGGCTATAGTCTGAGGATAGCAGCGACCTCGAAGGTGCACCCTCTCCCTTTGATTTCGTGAAATGCTTACAGGAATACTAAAGGTGGCAGAATGAACAGACATTGAATTGAAAGAAGGTTCCCCCATCAGTGGCCGTGCCATTTCAGTATTTCTCAAACTGCTCTTCTACATCATCTAAATTGGACCACCGTATCCCCTACATTTCTGGGAATTTTACCGCTCTTCTAGTGAGACTAGAAGAGAAACCACCAGCATACGAGTTGGCGATAGACAGGGGCCGCTGCGCTGTCTGTTGGCAGTTCGAAGGGAGCCGGCTTGGCAGTTGACGCCCGGAGCCTTCCAAGGTTCTACCAAGAATGCATCCTGCCGTGCTGTGTGTATAACCCAACATCCACTGTCTTTGATGACAGTTCAGAAAGGCCCTAGAGCTGTATCATTCTCATCTGCTCACTAGAATGTGTTTGTTTTGGGGGCAAAGCCAAATACAAATTCTTTTACAAATACCTGCTACTTTAGGATTGAAAAAATGAAGAATAACCAAAAAGATTTTGAAGGACTTCAAAGCATGTTCGTGCTTACAAGAACAGTGCTGAGTATAAGCCTTAAATACCAAACACATCTGTTGAATGCTTAGCCAAGTGTTTAAGTATATTCAAATAGATATGGTGGCAGGTCCATCCACTGCTTTGTCTGGAGCTACTGTGGTCTCCACCCCGATTAACATACACCCCGTTCCATTCAGGTGAACGGACCCGCTTTATTTTTGCACTTCCCAACTTCTCCACCCAAAACGCGTGTGATTTATGGGCTCGTGAAAACGCCCTTTTTTTGCTTCGACTTTTGAAGAACTTCCTCGCCTGGCCACCCCCCAACACGTGAAGCTATTCCAAACTATACGAATTTTGACTGTATACATGATAGAATATATGGATCTATCACCAGACCTGTCATCTCCAGCGTCTGACAGTGCTGCCGGCGCTCAAGCGTTGCTAGCTCTCAGCACCAGTAAGTCCTACGCCTTCAAGAACAACAGCTATAGCTATATAGCTGTTGACGACGAGGTATATAAGCAGGGAAATAGCCAATTCGATATCTGATATACATCTCCTCTAGAAGACCATCTGCCTGAGCTACAGCCTATCCTCCGGAGGGCATCCCAAGAGCGCGAGGCATCCCCTCGCTAGCTTCGTTCGAACCCTAAAGCATGCATGCGATTCGAGCCAGCACCCTTAAAGCCTGCTAAAATGCCTGCTAAACGCAAAGCTAAAGCCTCTTTGAAAGCTCCTGCTGCGAAACGTACAATAGTACAGAAGACTTCTTGTCAACCTGAGCCTGGGAAGTTATCAGCAAAGGCTCAGGCCAGGCTGGATGCTAAAGCAGCTGCTGAAGAGGCAGCAGTCCAGCGAAGAGCTGCTGAACGAGCAGCAATTGCCGAAGAGAAGAGAGCTGAACGAGTAGCAATTGCTGAGGAGAGAAGAGCTCGAGACAAGGAACTGGCAGCAGCTCGAGAGGCTAGAAGAGCTGCTTCTAGGCGCGCTTCTGAGCAGAGGACTGCAGAGCGAGCTGCTGATCAAGCTGCTGCCAAAGCTGCCAAAGCTGCTATCACAAAGGCACAAACGCCTGCCAGCCCTATCGTGATAGAGAGCAAGGATGAGAGCGATGATGCTGAGCAGGCTAAGAACCCCGAGGCTATCGAGATTGCTACTCCAGCAGAGGTCCGCATTGACTAGCATTACCCTTCTTATTAGCGCACATAGTTTCGAGGAATCGCGCCTCCAGGAGTGCTTACAAAGAGGTTTGCTGGCGTGCCTTGTTTCCTCGACATCGTCATCAAGGATGCCTTAACTGCCTAGCTGGACGAACAAATCATACGAGTTGCTCGAGTTGTAGAAGAATGAACTGTTTGTGCTAAATACAGCTTTGTCAGGATTGTTGTGGGCAGAGGAAATACCATCTATCGAGGCGAGAAGATCCATTGCAACGAGATAATGAATAACGATTTTCGCAGTGCTGCACAACAAATTAGCGATGTCCTGCTCGATAGAAAGAATCCCCATTGGCTTATCATCATATATACCTTCAATCTTGAGATCAGCAGCAGCAGATATGTCTCTCATGCTCTATCCAGAGGACTCCCTCTAGCTGCAGCTGGCCAGCTAGCAGCAGATACTCAAGTTGCTATCGAAGCGGAAGCTAGCGAGTTCAACGATCTCTTTACGCCTGCAAGCACAACAGCACGAGCGCTCCAGACGCTAGGAACAGCTCGCTTGCGCTCAAAAGCCTCGAGTATGTACGAGCAGATCAATGCTGAGATCGCCAGCCAGAGAGACCTCCACAGGCAGCTCAATATCCATTGGCAATGCTGTGATTCTATACGCTGTACCAACAACAGAAACAGTACCAAGTTTGCTATACATTATTGAATCGAGCCTGATAATCATTATCTGAAGCTTGATCAACAGAATCTGATGCAATAAGCAGAGAAGATTGCAAACAAAGCTGAAAAGGCTGATGTTGATCATATTCCACTTAGTATATATTGCCAGATCCTCGGTTATGCTATCTTCTGTGCACAAGCAATCTCGAGCACTGGAAATAGCCTTGCATCCAGCTTAACAGCTGAAGCAGCGCCAGCATCAGATATATGGGAAGACCTCCTAGGCAGAAGAGGGAAGGCATGCGCTGGGAAAAGCAACAGCTTTATCAGCAGCAATATCATCAACATCAACGGAGGAGGAGATCCTGCAATGCTAGCGCAGTTGCTTCAAGAGCAGCTGAACAGACCCGAGTCGACGATGCCCTCATTCCTGCCGCCATCAGCCCCTCCAACGATGCCTCCCTCTGTATATACATCTTATCAGATACCTGGAGCTGAGCCTTCCTCGAGATATACGCCTTCTCAGGCGCTAACTACGCTACCAGGCCAGCCAATCGTAATATTCTCTTCGAGCCCTGTTGTGCCAGAAGGGCTTGATATAGATGGCTTTATGGACGAGTTCTTCAGGATACTTCGACGGCGCAAGGCTCGAGATCTGGTAAAGGCTGAGGCTGTTCGTCGCATGGAAGAGAAGCTAGCTCGCGAGAATATTGCCCTCAGCAAGCTTAGCAGCATGCCATATAGCTGGTACGATACACATAGCATTGAAATACGCACTATCAACCTGATGCATCAGTTTCTAAAGGAGTTCCTCATCGAGAAGGGTGGAAATAGTATCAACTTAGCTGATCAACAGCCTAGAACCCCTTCTGTCTCGCAACAGCCTGATCAACAGCCTGTACCGCCTTCGCAAGCGATAATAGCATCAGCAGCTTCGCCTGGATAGCATCGAATGCCTGGATAGCGAGAGGATTCATTGCTTCGCAATAGTCAGATACCGTTGCTACCTTAGTATTGATAGCAATAGTTGAAGTGGATTAACAAGGGAGATTGTAAAACGGGAAGAAGAAGATATAAGAAATAAGAATCTGCAAGGTCTAAGAAATCTATATATAGCAGGAAACAAGGATATAAGTAATATTAGTGTAATTTGTATAGCAATAGTCGATATATTTCTGTTTTCAAGCTCTGTTCAATACTTAGCATTCTCAAAATCCTCAGTTATACCTCATCTCCTAACTTCAGCACTATTATCTACCTTTCTCCTAGCCCTAGCACCTGGGCAGCCAGGAAATGCTCTCTGATATTCTCCTTCTTCTCGCCTATCGTATATACTGATTCAATTAAGAACTAGCGCCAATCATCCTCACTTTCCCAGTTATCTTGAACGTACGCCGCATGCTATCGAATATGTGCCTTAAGCTCGCCAAAGAAGGCTTCAATAGGATTGAGATGAGAGCTGTACAGAGGGAGATACTTCAAAACAACACCAGCATTCTTGCACAGCTGCCTGAGGCTATCGTAATAGTGGAAAGATGCATTATTCATCATCAGCACGCTCCAAGAGCCAGGGAAAGAAGTACATCGTAGCAGAACCAGCTCTTGGATATATAGCAGGAAGCCCTCAGCATCAGTAGCACCCTCGTATACCAACAGAGCTACAATACCTTCAAGAGAAAGCGCTAGCAATATCTGATACCGCATGCCACGATAAGTCCCTCCGCCAGGCACTCGCTTGCAAGCTTTCAATCCGCTAGATACCCAGGCAGTTCATTAGTTTATCCCTCTCTTATCGATGCTAGATTCATCTATAAAGATGAACTGGCCTAGCTGCTACTCTCTGATTGTTCAGATATAATCAGCACAAAGGGCTTCGTTGCGCTCGAGGGCAACAAGGGCCTGTTTCTTCTTGGTCCAGTTCTCAGTATGAAGACAGCAGCTCAGTATAGCTTTCAAGATCTCGAGATTGAATCGTTCGAATAGCCATAGTTGCATCTCATCGAGATACATATCGCCCTTTTCAGCCAGAAGATCAAGCAATTCCTATCGTTCGAAGTATCAGCATCTGACACAGCCAAGGTCGACGAGGAGAATAGGTTTAGAGCATACAGCTAGGTGAAATAGCAGGAGCTTCGTTCAACCAGTGCAGTCCTGCTTAATGAAGATACTCCCTGTGATAACCCATCGCTTTCGAAGCTTTTGAGCATAGTCCGGAGTGATATTTACGCTAGTAGCAATATCTTTGTTGGAAAAGCTACTCTCGAGCAGGCCAGTGATGATGGAGCGGTCTCCATCGCTAAGCCGTGAGCCAGGCATTGGTCCTAATAAGGCCTAACCACCATCATTCGATTCGCAATACTCGATTTTGGTACACTGAATAGCTTCAAAGCCGGACAGCGAGGGTGGGGGGCGGCCAGGCGAGGAAGTTCTTCAAAAGTCGAAGCAAAAAAAGGGCGTTTTCACGAGCCCGTAAATCACACGCGTTTTGGGTAGAGAAGTTGGGAAGTGCAAAAATAAAGCGGGTCCGTTCACCTGAATGGAACGGGGTGTATGCGTGGCACACTGCATAAGCACTTGGCGTGAGGTACAGCTATTGTCACATGGCTTCGATTTTGTTCAGATTTGCTCCAGGGTCTCAGAACTGTATCCTTTTCAACATGACACAAGAGCCATATCATGCTCATCATCCTCTGCTATAATCTATTACCTTTTTACAAGGTCACATAGCAGTCTTAGATTATTCTCATTCCTCTTTGATCCTCCTGCTGGTGAGTCAGGGGGGTCACTCCCTTTGTCATCTCGGGAACGAGCCCTGCCACCATCCTCAGCCATGATTTGCAAACCCTGTTGGGATTGTCTCAACAGCCAGGAAAGAGAGGGGCGCGCAGTGCTGGATCAAGCAGGAACCCTCTGGATAGAACACCACGCTTCAGCAGCCAGCCTTGAGACCTCTGCTAAGCTCGCATGTCAGATCTGCCGTCATGTATGGGCAGCATTTCAGAAATCGGACCATGGTGAAGCGCTGGAAGCCCAAGGCATTAGGCAAGGACGGGCGCGGCAATTCATAACACGCATTTCGATCTCGCTGCTTTATCTCGACCATAGAACATTTTGTCTCGGTGTATGGGTGTTGCAAGATGGCCAGGAGCCCCTCTCGCCCGAGATCCTCTCCTCGCTGCCGTCCATGTCGGTCTATAATATGTATTTCTATCTCCGAGAGCACCAGTCCCTGCTAGCCAGCACGGGGGCCATCTGCGATAGGAACAGTAACGCTCCCAACACCCAGGCCCCGCTGCGCTCGTCACATATTGAAAATACCACTGGCTCCGACAGAGCTTTCCAGCAGATCATGCACTGGCTGGAAGCGTGCAGCAAGTCACACCCCGACTGCTGTTCCAGCACCATGGCGGGAGAGCCACCATGGTACCCTACACGCCTGCTGGACGTCGGCGAACATGGACAGAAGACGGGAGGCGGGGAGAAAATCAGGCTGGTCACCACGGCATCTGAGCGCCCAAGAGGCGGATACACGACTCTGAGCCATTGCTGGGGAACGTCTCAGCCCCTTCGGCTACTGACCGGGACAATGGCATCCTTTCAGCAGAGCATCAACCTCGCAGCCCTTCCTCAGACGTTCCGTGATGCCATTGAGGTGACACGGCGTATCGGGATACGATACCTGTGGATCGACTCCCTCTGCATCATCCAGGACGACGACGGGAATACCGACTGGCTCCGGGAGGCGGCCATGATGCACAAGGTCTACTCCAGATCCTTCTGCACCATCTCCGCCACGGCCTCGCAGGACTGCAACGATGGCATTTTTCGCACAAGAACGGCGCCCGTTGTTCCTGAAGATCCGGTCGAGCTATGCGTCAACGGGCTGAGCAGCCATGCTCCTCATGGAGGCGAACAGCAGGTCCCCTTTGATACCCAGCATATCACCTGCGACGTCGCAGAGTCTCAGTTCTGGGACGACAACGTGTCGAACGCGCACATCAACACGCGTGGCTGGGTCTTCCAGGAACGGCTCCTCTCGCCACGAACCATACATTTTGGGGAACAACAGGTGTTCTGGGAGTGCAGGGGCTTGGACGCTGCCGAGTCTTTCCCTGCCGGATGGCCTCGCGACCCGAGCTACCAGTTCAAGGACAGGCTACCCAACGAGCTGGACGCAGCCAGGCAGCACAGAGGCCCCGAGTGGGAGGTGTTCTGGTACTCGCGCTGGGGACACGTCGTCTACGAGTACTCGAGGACGGACCTGACTGTCCCCTCTGACAAGCTCGTCGCCCTGGGCGGCGTGGCTAACACATTCGCCGCCGCGAACGGTGATCAATACGTCGCAGGTATGTGGCGCCGGCACCTGGCCGTCGAGATCCTCTGGCTAGCCAGCCGGGACAGGAGCGGTGCGCAGGTTGCCGTGCGACCACCGCAGTACCGCGCCCCCTCGTGGTCGTGGGCGTCCATCGACGGAGAGGTCATGACGCTGCCGTTTGAGCTCGGCCAAGATGCGTTCCAGGGTACTGTGGTGGAGGTTGTGGACGTCCAGATAACATGTGCGGATGCGGACAACGTCACTGGCCCTGTGCTGGCGGCTCATCTCGACCTGAGAGGTTGTCTGCGGAGGTGCAGGCTGGGTACTGATCCCAGCGGGTTGGCGCTGTACTCTCTGGAGGTGAACAATGTCCATGTGACCGACTGGGCCAATCTGGATGAGGCCTGGACGGATGCAGAGCTGAGAGGCAAGAGCGACTCGCTAGTGCTGTACTACATGGTCGCTCAGTTGCACAACCAGGAAGGGGCCATGACGGATACGCTAGGCAGCAATTGTGCTGCACCACTTGCTGTCTCCTTCTCCTCCCACCAGGACTTCCGGTGTGTGCTTCTTTTCTTGGAACTCTTGAGTTCCGTACAAGGCGTGTACAAGAGGATCGGTGCGAGTTCTACAAGGCTTCCTGGTCATGTGGTCGAGTTACTGGTGAAAGACCAGGACGGAAGTGCTCAGTTCCCTTGCCGCGAGCTTGTCGATGGACTTCATACAGTTCGCATAGTTTAGGACATGTGGAACAGATCATTGTATAAGCAGGACGAGATTGCCCTCACAAAAGCTTTAGGGTATGCATTACTACCGGTACTGTCTATCGAGATACCCTGTCCCAGCCATCCGGAGAAGAAAGAAGAAATAAACGTTTAGAATACACCAAGGTCATCATTACCTTCTCAAATCCGAACACCTTCCATTTTTTGTTGGTTTTATTTCGCCGCTAGTGGCTGTTTGATCAGCCAGTCATGGAGGTGTCATGATGATGAGCTCTCGTCTGGTTTGGAGGACGAAGAAGCAGCAGCAGCAGCACCTAGTGGCGAGGGTGTTGGTTTGACGGGAGGAAACTGTTGCCAGTCAGCGGCTCTGTCTACGGGTGACCAGCCCGCTGCACCGACGCTGCCGGCTACAAGGCCTGTCATCAGCGTCGCGGCGCCTAGAGCCGAGTTGGACCTGGAGCGTATCGACCGAGAAGGTTTCCGGCTGGACTCGGGCGTGCCTTGGCCAAGCATATTACCGGCACTCGTTGATCCGAAGCTATTCTCTCGGGTTGGCGTCATGGGCAGTCGTATGGAGTTGGACCGGGAGTTCTGACGCGAGTGGGATGGGCTCTTGTACTTGGGAATGAAGGTTTCGCGTGGGTGCTTCATGGCGAACTTGAGATTGTTAACACGTCCGCCCTTGAGCCGCTTCATGAAGGCAAGCTCGTCGCGGACGTCGGCGAACGGGGCTGGGTAGTGCTGGAAACGCTCCTCGTCGTCCGAGACGGTGAATTCAGGCACCTTGGACTGGGCCCTGCGCTTGAGAGATTCGGGTACCATCTTCTCCAGAAGCGAGTCGGGAATGAGGCGGATGACAACGCCGATAGGAATCGACAGGAATCCAAGCAGGATGGCGGTACCCCACATGATGGCAGACTGCCCGCCGCTGGCGATGTTGAATGCCTTGCCACCGACAAAGACGATGAGGACCTGTCCACCACACATGATGATGCTGATACCAATGAAGAACCAATTCTTGAGGAGGCCCTCGAAGATGTTGAACTGATTATCCAGACGACGGTTACTGCGCAGGGTTAACATCTTGTTCCCTTTAATTCGTTCTTACAGGGGCTTAAAAAACAGGCGAGGGCAAGGAGTTGTATTCATTGGACTTACTTCCACTGGTTGAAGATCTGCATCCACACAAACGTGTTGAACACCAGTGTTTGAATCTGGTCGTCTGTGATATCATCAGGGCCGGGCAAGACAGCTGCTTTTCCGAAATAGATCAAGAAGGTGATGACAAGTTGGTAAATGGCCTGGCCGATGATCATCTTCCACATGGTGGTAGAGATAATGGAAGAGTTCCTGCGCTCTGGCTTGCGGTTTAAAACACTGTCCTGTGGGGGATCGGTCGCGAGAGCCAACGCGGCAAGCGTGTCCATGATCAAGTTGACCCATAGCAGCTGAACTGCCGTCAGGACGCTGGACTCAGATTCGCTGGAAACGGCTGAGACAAAGGTCAGAATGACAGCAGTAATGTTGACAGTCAGCTGGAACTGCAGGAATCGCTTGACGGCGTCATTGACAGCACGACCCCATTTCAGGGCCTTGACGATGGAGTTGAAATTGTCGTCCATGAGGATGATTGCCGAGGCCTCCTTGGCGACTTCGGTACCGGCAATACCCATGGAGAATCCGACGTCGGCAAGCTTCAGGGCTGGGGCATCGTTGGTGCCATCTCCAGTGACCGCAACCGTCTCTCCCTTGTTCTTCAGAAGACCAACCAGAGTGCGTTTGTCCTCGGGACTAGACCGAGCCAGCACATGCAGTCTCGGCAAGATACTGATCTGTTCTGATGTGGGCATGTTACGAAATTCAGGGCCTTCGAGAACGAGGGAGTCAGGCTGTAAGATGCCGCAGTCCTGTGCGATCGCCTGGGCCGTGATCTTGTTGTCGCCGGTGACCATGCGAACCACAACTCCGGCCTTCTGGCAGTCCTTCACAGCCTCGCGAACGCCTTCACGCAGTGGGTCCTTTATGCCAACCATGCCGACAAACACCATGTTGGAGAAGATGGTGTCGAACTGGACCTCATCCTTCTCGCCATCCACGCGGCGAGCTCTTGCTGGTGGCCACTTGTCGAACTCCTTGTATACGATACCGATGGTCCGGAGAGATTGCGAAGCATAGTGCTCGATAAGCTTGGTTATGGTTTCCTTGTGTTCCGGGCCGAATGGTGCAATCGAGCAATCCGTGGAAGGGTCTCGCAGCATCGACGTGCACTGCGCAAGCACTATCTCCGAAGCGCCCTTCACGTACAGCCTGGCCTTGCCGTTAGACATCTGGACCACGATGCCCATACACTTGCGGCCTGAGTCGAAGGGGATGAGCTGCAGGATTTTGGCATTCGCCCGCTCCTCACTGACAGGGCCCATGCCGAGATGTTCCTTGGCGAAGATGAGGAGAGCGGTCTCGGTCTTGGACCCAATGAAGGTCATCTGCCCATCAACCTCGCCCTCAAAGGCCGTGGAGTTCAGGGAAATCGAGTTCTTCAGCAGCTCCTTGACATCGGGACCGAGCATCTTGACGAACTCTGCAGCACTGACGTCTGTGGACGGCTTTTCGTTCTTGTCGTCTTCTCCGGCCTGGGGTGGTGCTCCGCCAAATCGATGTGACGTGCTGATGGTACCCACCACGACCTGCATCTTGTTCTGGGTCAGAGTACCCGTCTTGTCCGAGCAGATAGTGGTGGCATTGCCCATCACCTCACAAGCCTTGAGATGCCGAACCAGATTGTTGTCCCTCAACATGCGCGTTGTCGCGAAAGCCAGAGCCAGTGTGACAGCCAGTGGCAGACCTTCGGGTACAGCCACCACGATGATAGTAACAACGACGATGAAGATGTTGAGGAACTCTTGGCCCTTCTCGGCTGGCGACAGAGAGCCTTGGTACTTGAGCTTGACCAGAAACTCGATGAAGAGCACGATGAACAGCAGCAGACCGGCGGCACCTCCGAGCTTTGCGATGTACTCGGCGATGATATTAAGCTTTGACTGCAGCGGCGTCATCTCAGGGTCGTCGTTCAGGGCCATGAGAGTCTTGCCATAGCTCGAGTTGATGCCGACGGCTGTGGACATGAACGTTCCGACTCCTTCCATGACACGGGCTCCAGATTGAATGAATGGGTCCATCTTGCTGAGGTCCTCCCCGTTCTCGATGGCGGCGATGACCTCGTCAGCTGGCCGTTTTCGGATGATGTCGGACTCTCCCGTGGCCTGCGACTCATCACATTTGACGTTGAACCCCTCAATCAATACTCCATCGACCGGAATCATGTCGCCCGGCTCAAGGTGGAGCACATCGCCGACGAGGATGTCGAAGACGCTGATTTCGATGATCTTTCCCGACCGCACAACCTTGACGTCTCGGGACTGCTTTTTCTTGTTCAACTTGGCGAACTGTCGTTCCTTTTGATAGTCGTTAAGAGAACCGACAACAACAACAATCAGAATAGCCACAATGATGGCGACACCCTCAACCCATTCGACCGGCGGGTTTGCTGCGTCGTGTTTTGTACCAAATGTCTGGTAGAGGCCAATGGCCAGCGACACGACGGCCGCAATAGAAAGTAAAATCAGCACCTTGTCGTTGTATGTGATCCACATCAGCTGCAACAAGCTCTTGCCCTTCTTCTCCGGAAGCCGGTTGTCGCTGAACACTCGTTTTCTGTCGGTGAAATGGTTATCCGAATTTGCCGCCGAGTGGGTATGCGTCTCGGTGGTCGCCTCCGGGGCTGCGGAGCTTGTGCCCTCGGTCTCGATTTTCTTGGAACCCGTCGCGTCCGCGAAAGAAACCTGCCCATCCAAGTGGTTCTCATCGACGCCCAGGCCGGCGTGTCTGTCTGATCGCAAGCCCTTTTCTATGCCTTTCAGTCCTCCTAATGTATAAAACGCAGCGAGACTTTTTGGGTTGAACATCTTGGACATCTGTCCAGGGCTGAAAGCAAATGGGTTGTCGTCGACCTGGAAGTCCGCCTCTTTTCCTTGGTCAGGTTTCAACGCATTAGGGTCGCTCATTATTTTTTCATTATCCAATTCTGCCGAGATCGCGGCCTTGTTGTCTCCCTGCTCGCTCTGGTAGAGAGTGGTGCCCATATCCAGCTGTGTTGATGACCGAGGCCGAGATCCACCGTCAGACGAGTCGACACTGTTCTGCCTTGAACGGAGATTTTGGTTGCCTGGGACAGAAAGGAAGACGCCGTCGGTCCCCCTGGAGACCGGGCTGGAGACATTGTGAGGGCTTGTTGGGCGACTGCTTTCATAAGATGGTTCTGTATTTAAAATTGGTCGGCCCTCGTGTACATCGGAGGACTCGCGCGTGATTCTGTGTGAGGTGGTGGTCCATGTCTGGGCCAATGGGTCGACAACTGTCGATGGGCTGTGGCCATCGTCAAACGTGGAGACAGGCGAGTGACCAGCGGGTCTCGAGACACCATCTTCGGGCGCATCATCTTGGGGACTTGGGTTCACCGCCGTGGTATCGATGGTAATGGTAGGTCTGTAGTGGACTTCCAGGTCAGCTCGCTGGAGGAGGGACTCATGCGGTGCAGTATAGTACAGGGCACAGGTCGTTCAAGGGGATGGGATGGCAATGATACTCACGCCCTAGGCCGGCCAGGTGCCATTTTCGAATAGATGGACGAGATTCTCGTCCTCGCTTTGATCTTGCCGAATGACAGAGAGGGGATGGCATGGCTCTCCCGAACGGGAATTGCCTCGATGATAGGGAAGTGGTTTGTATAGGTGTGTTGTAGTAATGAAGGAAAGTAAAAGAAGTGGTAAATCATGTTGGGTATAGGGAGAGCAAACGCAACCAGGCGAACTCGAGAGTGGCAGTGCAAATGCACGAACAAGGATCAGGGGTAGACTCTAATGGGTAGCACGAGACCCACTAGCGGTAATAGGTGGGGCCTGAGCAACACTGGTTGGTGCTGCTTGCACCGGACCCTTGTGCCGTACGTGCCCAGGCAGGTTGGTACTTCAGCGCTTCAGCAACCGTCCTAACTGGTGAGGCAGTCCAGCACTTTGAAAAACGTCCTTCTCCACTAAGGAGGAGGGGGATGCATAGTGCAGTTCTGTGCACTTTGGTAAAACTCTACTATAGCATGTACTATGTATTACGCTATCATTCAGTAGTAGTATAAGGAAGGCGAGTAGGTAGTATGAGGGAGGGCAGTCAGCCAGTCAGCCAGGTTAAGCTACAACAAGGCAGGAAGGCCTCCTGCTTCTCGCCTGCAACTTTTAAGAAGAATCAACATTGCCGAGTCCCCCAAAGCCCCCATCGCTGATGATGATAATCTCCACTTCATCCACACGTCAAAAGACAATTTTCCCCATACTACAACACACAAACTCAGATCAATGCCTCCCGGCTGCCTCGATTGTCAAGCTGGAAATCAATGGCGAAGCCGATAACCTATGCCTTGGAGTGCTAACATAACAGCCTGTGATGGCGCCAATGCGGATGCCAATGCCTTGGGCTCTTGGCTGCGCCGCAATGTGGAAAACCAGACAACCCTGACAGGCTGAAAGTGTTGTGGACAAGCCCACACAAAGAAAGCAGAGACAAGCTACAGGCACCTGTCACTATTGTGAGGCCATATACCGACCTGCAACAAGTCACGACGCTTCATTAGTTAGCCACTGTGGCGGGTTCAGACAACGCCCCAGAGGCATCCTTTGGGCCTCCAGCTCCTCATTCCTCAAGGCCGACCAAGCCTTCTAAGCTAGGCCCTCCTAAGGGTCGCCTCAACTTCTCCTTCGAGACTCACCCACTCACTCAATCAGGCCAGCCCTGCAATGGAAACCTCAACCGTTTCCCCTCTTCTTCTTCTTCTTCTTCTTCTTCTCCTTCTCCTTCTCCTTCTTCTTTGTCTTCTTCATCAAACCGCTCCAGACCCTTCGCTAGTAAAGATCAGCAATGCTGCCAGATGTGCGGATCGACGGTGCTGAGATATATCGAGATGGCGCCCCCGCATGCGTCCAAATTTGCCATCCGGTCTCATTGGCTCTCCTTCTTGGCTCATTCCTTGGTGCACATCCTGTCTCTTCTCCTGCCACCAACCGCATGCTGTGAGAGAGAGTGTGTGTGACATGGCACCACCGCAGCCATCCAGCCTAAAACCTCACCTCACCTTCATCTTGTCCTCTTGGAAAAAAAGGCAGAGAGAAAGGGAGCTTGGTCGGCGTCAATATGCGCCCTATCGGTTGAGAAGAGCCTCCTCTTCCTCCTCGCTCACCTCCTTTCCGTCGTCCAGGTGCCCTACAGCGTCCTTATCTCCGAACTAGCGGATTCATTCGAATCGAATGACGTGAACTTGACCGCCCTTCACCGTCATTGACGCTGGGGCCTTCATCTCCGTACAGTGGGGACGGCTTGTCGGGCCCAGGTCTCGCGATATGAGTTCTGGCCCCCTTGGCCCAGACTGCTCTCCGTTCCCCAAGGGCCTTAGCTCCGGAAGACAAGGGTGGGAGGGGGAGACTCTGCAACTCGACTTTGGCTTGGCTTTCCCCCTGGAAGCTGTGGTGGTGGGCTCATTGATCGAATTAATCTTGCAGCCTCCATGCCCCCAAGCCAGCCAGCAATTGTCAACGCACGACCGCATCAATGTCAGCAAAACACGAGGTGGGCATGAATTATGAGTCGGCATCCATGTAGAGACTTTTGGTCCATCAAACATCGCCTGCCGCGCCGGAAGGGCGGTCCTGACCTTCTAGAAAACTTCCATTCCCCGAGAAACAGACAGGCCTTTCCCGGCAGGCCAAGAACGTCTATTACCGCCAACATGAGATATTGACAACTAATAAATATCTCCCCTTTGATTGAGAGGAGGACCCCCACTTTGAGGCGCTTGGTATTGATCTACCTACCACAACAACACACACCTTCGAAAATGAGACTGCAGAACAACCCGTCCCCCCTCCGGTAGGATATTTATCATGGTCTTGGCACGATCATGTAGCCCGACGGACAACACACACACCCTCTGGGGATGATCGGCCTGAGCATGTCGGGGACTGCCCCTTGCCACGTGCTGCGGCGCATACTGCTGAAGGCGTTCTTTACCAGTAAGACCTGGAGCTGCCATGTGTCTTATCGAATGGCTGTGATAAATGCTGCAAGGAGGGGCCATGCACTTGTGAGCCCCGACGTTATGGTAATGCTCAAATGCTGTGGAATCCTGTGAAAGTGTCTGACGACAAATCGCATGCAGGCTGACGACGAGGCGTACTGGCGTCCCAAGACTTACAGAAAACCCCCTTTTTTCTCTCATCATCATATACTTTGCCAGACTTGCTCCTCGGCAGCAATGGCAAAGTCTTTTTCCTTTTTCGTCCTCTTCTTCTTCTTGATATGGGCAGAAGTCGCCCTCACAGTGGCAAGGCAGGTTACGTTGCCCGTCAAGATTCTGCTGCCGTCGATATCTCTAAAACGACAGATGATTGAGGCTGTGCAGAAAACTCTAAGCACCCGTAGCGTGTGGTGGGCCCCTTGGCAACCTTTCATTCATCTACTCTGGTATTAGAGAGCGCGAGGGAGCAGCCTGATAGTTGCCTCCTTCAGCCGACGATGCAACAAAGCCAAGCACACCTCCGAACAGGAACCGAGGATTCATGACTTGGGTAGCGACCTGGACCGCAACCTGATTTGCCTCATCGCCAACCCGACACAAGTATTCCCTCACTCTCACACTCTCCCCGACACCACCTTCACTCAAGTCGGGTCAAAGGATCTGTGGGGCCTTTTTTCTCTTTTCCCCCTCTCTTGTCTATATTGCGTATGCACGCCGTTCTGAGATCATGGTCACTACAGTACACAGCCACCACAAGTGTGTACCACCAGCATCGAATCAGGGTTGCCTCGGCCCTTTGGGGGCCCGCCATCGGGGTACATCGGCCCAGATCCATCGAGGCACCGTTTTATCCGTCTTGGTGAGATTTTTCTTTTCTAAATCTCCTATTTTTGATTCCAATGTGTGAAAATGGTGATGCGAAAGAATCAGAGACATGCAGAGAAACCAGTGGCTCAGCTACGAGGACCCCCTCCCGGTCGTAGTCATGGATGCTACGTACTGGCCAGCGTGATGGTGTAAGCGGTTGCGATAATTAGCAACACGCAAGGCTCACTCGCTCACTTTCGAAATAGAATGAGATTCACCTTGGCTTTTTTGTCTAGTTGTCTCGCAAGGCCGATCGCAATGAGACTAATACATGCGTTCCGACTTCATCAAAGAGTCCCGTGCCATGGTCTTGTCTATCTCTCTATCTGTCTGTCTGCCTGACCTTTCCACTATTTCACAGCCTCCATGGTCCGAACCGGCCGTGCTCTCCGTTCTCGTACAGCCAATTCCCACTGCCGCAGAGATGTTTTGGAGAGGCTGAGACTCACGGAGTCACAAGGAGGAGGAGGACGACGAGGAACGTTGAGGAGGATGAACACGCAGGTCCAACCTCATCTGGGACTGCCTCAGCCAGGATTCCATACACATTCAGCCTGGGTCTTGCTGGCATTGCGCTTGTCACGCTCCGCCTATACGATCTCATGCGCCGCGATGGATAAATGGCAAAGCCGCCTCCAAAATAGAATGAATTGGCTCAGCATCGTATGTGTGTAATTCGTAGTCCAGGCGTGCATGGTGTCCCCACGCCCACGCATGAAATATCGTAAGCACCAAAGCGTCGCAAAGCCTCAAACGAATACTCATCACCCCTCTACTTCCCTTCTACCTCCTACCCAGATCAATCTCCCTCACAAGTACCATCTGCGCATCATCATCATCATCATCATCATCGCCCTCGGCCCCGGCGCCCCCATCCTCCACGCCCGCCCACGACCCTACCCCCAATCGCAGAGCTCCCCTCCAGAACCCAGCCACAACCGTCTCCCTCAGCTCGTGGCCCGTCTGCTTGAAATCAGGAAAGGCGTTGACCTCCAGCAGCCACGGCGTCCCCGCCGCGTCGACGAGGAAATCCAGCCCGTAGACCTCGAACGCGAACGGCAGGGGCTGGAAGTGCACCATCATGACCCGCGCCGCGGCCTCAAAGACCTCGCCGCTGACCTCGCAGATCTGGGAAAAGATGGACTGCCGCAGAGCCGGGTCCATGTCGAGGTCCCAGAACCGCTGCACGGACAGGGCGTCCGCTCTGGGGCCCTGGAGACACGTGTTGGTCAGGTGGGCGTCGAGGTAAGAAGCAGCAGCGGGGTCCGTCGTCTCCCAAGGTGGTGAGTATGGCCTCGCTGCGAACAGGGCCAGCATCTCCCGGCACACGTAGACGCGCATGGCGCCGGCGCAGAGGACGTACGTCCTGATGTGGAACTTGCGGTTGTCGCAGCTGGGGAGCAGCAGGGGCGGGTGGATGTAGGGCTGCGCGACAAAGTGGCGAAGGTGTGAGGTCGTGATGTAATCCTTGTTGTGCTGCCCGTTGTCATCATCCCCAGGCTGATCCTCGTCCTCCTCTTCTTCTTCGTCGTCGTCATCGGAGGAAGGCTCGTCCTCCTCCCACCCGTCAAAGATCCCCTGCAGCTCGTCCATCGTAGAAAACAGCCGTATGCCCTGCCCACGATCGCTCATGCTCGGTTTCAGGATCCACCACTCCCTCTTCTCCGCCGCGTCGGAGCCCACCTCTTCGTTCGCCTCCAAGCTCGCCCGCAAGTCAAACGCCTCGACGAGCGCATCGTCTAGGAACTCGGCGTAGTCGACCTCGAAGGCCTCGCCACGTCGCACGTGGGCCCGCAGCGACGAGGTTGGGTTCTTGGCGACCCAGTGGTCCACAGTGGCGGACAAGAAGTGCTTGCGGATGAGGGCCTTGCGGATGATGTAGCTGTTGATGAGCGAGGTAGACGGGCTTGCCATGGCGCGGTCGAAGTCGATGGCCTCGTAGGCGCGGATCTGGAGGAGCTTTGTGCCTGGAGGTACGGCTGTGGCGTTGGCCGGTAGGAGACGGAGGCGGGAGGGTGGGACGAGGGACTGCAAGGCCGAGAGGATGATGGGCTGGACGTATGGGTCTTCATAGTCGACTATGGCGTAGAGGATGTCTTTCTCCTCAGCTGGCCTGAGTGGGAGGGCTGTGATCTTGGCTTCTTCTGGCACATCCCTAGAAAAATTGCACCGGAGTAAGAATCCAAATCTTACGGGGGGAGAAAAGAGGAAGAAGAGCAAGAGTGCATGCATCCATCACTTGTCTATTTCTAGAGAAAAATGGCTTCTAATATGGCTCTATACCCCTCAAGTCTTCTTCTCTTTCTTTTCGAAGGCCCAAATGCGAACCCAACCCGTGTTCTGAGTGAGACCATAAGACAACAAAGAGGGAGAGATACAGCAGATACGTTGATGATGATGCTCTACTTCGTATGCGCAGGCGAGGTCACTCACAGCTTCAGCTCCTGCTCGTGTAGGTGCTCCGCAGCATGCCAAAAGTTTGCCTTCAAAGCCGTCACGCTGTGTGTTTGTGTGCTCTGTCAGCAGAGGACGATGGAGGGAGAAAAGAAGTAGACCCAGGGTGCGTCGAATCGACGTCATCGATCGGGTTGAAGGAAAGACTTACCTCGTCTTGCCCGCTCTGACGACCTGTCCGTCAACGTAAGAAGGCGCCTCAGCCGTGGCCTTCATCACGTCGCCCAGCTGAGGCGCCCACTTGAAATGTCTATGCACGTGACCGCTGTTCTTCTTCGCCTCCTCGTCACCCTCCCCAACAGTAGCCCCGTTCATCTCCCCGCGCCGTATCCTCTCCTCCTCCTCGTCCGCATCCCCACTATCCTCGGCCGAAACCGCCTCGAACGCACTGTTCCCCGCAGTCCAATAGTTCTGCAGACATGGCGCAAACACCGTGGCGGCCTCCCCGACTCCTTCGACCAGTGGCACGTTCACGCTGTACACATCGACGCTCCCGTCTGTTGGCCACTGTCGCACCAGCGCCTCGATGACCCGCACGCCGTGTTTGCTTGCGCCTGCCACAATCTCCGGGTCGTGGTTCCGGCTGAAGAAGGCATACGACAGCGCGACGGCTCGCTTCCCGCACGCAGCGGCCTCGAGCGCACCGCCCAGCGTCCCCGAGCTCAGCGCGAATACGGCAGTCGTATTGCGCCCATAGTTAGGGCCCGATACCACTAGGTCGACGGGGCCTCGGTCGCTGAAGTAGTGGTACAGCCCGATTTGCACGCAGGAGGCGGGCGTACCGTCTACCAGGACCCATTCCTCGACGGTGCCGTCGGCTGATGGGCGGCCATGTGTGGTCCCGTGGGCGGTTTCGTCGTCGGCGGGGCCGAGACCTGCGGGGAGGGAGGAGGAGGAGGAGGAGGAGGAGGGCGACGACAAGGGCGGTGGCCTGTAGTAGAGCGGCTTGACGGTCTGGCCGATCATGTGTGCCTTGCCGATCCAGCTGCGCTGCGTGTGCGGCAGGCAGACGCTGACGACATGGCCGGCGGTCTGGAGCTCGCGGACAAGAGAGTGAACATAGGGCGAGGAGTGAGGAGACGGTGGGCCGTCGTCGTTAACCACGAGGATGTGCATCTTTTGTCTGTGGTTTGTGGTCGTGGTTGCTTGGTCGATGAGAGCAGAGTCTAAGAGCTCTCGATCAAGTGTCTAGGGAAGAGTGCGGAAGAAGGTGAAGACGTCTCTATACAAATCTAGAAATTGAATCTATCCAATTAATGGAATGAAAGGGGAAATAAAAGAGAGAGAAATTGATCTGCAGAGAATGTTTGCTGGTGTTGCTGAGAGAAGGCACCACGTAGGGAAAATCGAAGCTGTGCCTGCCGTCGACTCTGCAAAAGTCGGATGCATTGCGGGGGTGGGGAGCTGTCGTCATGCCGGCCAGGCCAAACGACATCGGCAACCGCCGACTCAAAGGTCAGTTCACCTTCACAAACATCTGACCCAGTTCGTCACTCGCTTACCATGATAATTTGGGAAGCACAATCTTTCTTTTCTGACCTTGTTTTGAGATTATCTATCTGACAATTCATACTAATTCTGACATACTGTCTGCTGGCATGAGAAAATCGACACCGGGACGCCATGCCCTTTTCCCTTTGGATATCGAGCCGTCGAATCCTGTCACGCAAACCTTTAAAAGTCATACTTGATGTCTCCCATACCGTAGCACTTGGAGTCGTACGCAATGCGCAATGCTTCGAGGACATAAAACAAAAACCAACAAGAACACCAATAGGCTCGATGCGATGATGTGAACCAGAGGTCCCCACACTAGGCCAAATCATCATATCCCTTCTTTCCCAATGTACCGCGCCAACATGCTGGCCGCTATCCTCTTTCACTTGTTGGACGTCCCTGGAAGTAGGGCCTCGACACCTCATAGGTTCTGTCCCTCGTGTGAAGCAAACAAAACCATGACATGACAGCCCCAACAAGACACAAGCAACCTCTCACAGCCATCTTCCTTCCACCTAGGCCTTGGCCCGCTTGGCTGCAGCATCGTTGCCGAGAGGCCCACCAGCGCGTTTCTGGCCGTGGGAGGAGGAAGTGATCGGGCTGTTCTTGGTCCTCTGCCAGCCGTCGAAGGGGCTTCGGCCACCAGCCCGCTTCCCCTTGCCTTTGATTGGGGTAGGCTCGTCGGCGATGATCTTCTTGGACCGCGTAGCACGGGAGGTGGCAGGGGGAGAAGCAGGTGCGAACTTCGGCGCCTTGGGGGTGTTGACCTTGTTCTCAGTGGTCTCGACAGGCGTCTCGACAGTCTCAGGCTCCGAGGTGCTGACGTGCTGCGGCTTCTGCTGCTCCTCGTCGATGTCTGTCTCGGCCTCCTCCTCGGGGATGAGCTCGTTCTCCTTGCTGGCCTTGGTAGAAGGGAAGAGCAGACGGGGCTTCACAGCCGGTCGAGAGGATGCCTCGCCTTCGGTGAATCTTCTAAAGACCCTCTTGCCACGGCTGAAAGGATAATATTAGCATCATGGGGTCAATCAAGATTAGGGATTCTGTGCGTCAACTTACAAGACATAGAGCATGCCGTCTTCGCGTTTCAGATTCTCCTCAACAATCTCCTTCTCAACGGCAGCATTCTTTTTGTTGCGGGAGCTACGACGAACGGCAACCGTCGAGGCGGTAATGCCAGCCTCGCCATAGAAGGGATTGTCAGTGCTGTCATCGACCTCAGGCAGACGGTTCTCAGAGTCAGTGAAGATCTCGATGGAGGCGCCATCGTCGTGGATCTCGAAGCTGTCCAGCGATATGTTGTTGGTGCGGTTGGCGCGCGACTTCTTAGGACTCAACTGCTGCCGCTCCTGCTGCTCCTCTTCCTGCTGCTGCTGCTGCTGCTGCTGCTGCTTGCTGAAGAGGTTGCGCGCGACGGCGGTGACGTCCTTCTCGCTCTGTTTGGAGTGCCTATTGGCGGGGGTCTTGGCGGGGGTGGGGAGGGCGATCGCGGCGCGTGAGAGTTGGGCTTCCATCTTGGAGGGATGGCCAAGGACGGCAGCAGCATTGCGGATGCTATCTGCAGTCAGGGAGCCTGAGACACTGCGCGAGGCCGAGGGGGCCTGGCGTCTCTTCTGGGGGGAGGTTGGAGGTGGGGAGCTCATGCTGTCGGATTGACGCTCTGCAGATTTGGATGTAGTGGGTGCTGCCGACGAGGTGTGGTGATTGTGAGAGGGCCGCGACGTGCGACCTGAGGAGTGAGGGGACGGTGTGCGGGTGTGAGTGGTGGAGGTGGAGGTGGTGTTGGCAGTGGTATGTTGCGAGGAAAGACGAGCTGATTTGCGAGGTGCAGGAGAGTAAGGTTCCCAGTGGTCGCCAAAGCCGCCGAGTCTTGGAGTTGGTGGAGTGGTGATTGAAGCTGGTGAGCCACCCCGCGTTGGGGTCGTAGCAACATAAGCTGTTGCCATGTTGTAAGGCAGGTCGATTGGCCCAGAGTTCGGAGACTGATCGGTTGGGACTCCCTTTGTGATTTCGCTCAGGCAGCTCGCTTAGCTGTTTGTTCTCAGTGAACAACGACCGTCGTCTGTCCTCGTCACTCCTGTGGCGTATGACGCACAGATGGTTTGCTAGAGTAATTGGAACTGAAGACTCGAGAGCAACTATCCGGAGGCCACGTCTTGGGAGTTGCAATGTGTGTAGAATGCGCCAACAGAGGTTCGGCGGGTCGAGGGTTGGATGACGCGGAGCTGAGGGCGAAGATGGGAAAAAGGGAGGGTGAGGTGGTCAGGGTTTGGGTTGGGAAAGGCAGGATATAAGGAACGAGCTAGCGAAAGGTGTGTGCTTTCTCCTTCCCTTAGCAATTCTTATTTTTATGTGCCACTGTAGTTCCCTAGCCCCGACAGAAAGAAACAGAAAATAAGAGGGCTGTTTAGTTTTGGAAATAATATTCTTTTCAATTACTGAAAGGGATAAGCCACAAGTTGGGGATAGTCAGTCATGTCATGGAAGAGATTGTTGCATTTGGTAGAAAGGGAAGAAAGGGGGGAAGAAGTAGCACCAGTTTGGTAGAAACAGGGAGAGAAGAGGGAGGGAGGCTGGTGCTGTCTGGCAGTGCTGAGTGCGAGTTACCCAACCTGCCAGGTCAAAAAATGGGGCGGGTGCTGTAGTGGGGCCCTGCCTGGGCGAAAAAGCAACAGATCTGGACCAATCATTTTAGAGTAAGCAGAACGCGTGTCGCGTCTCGACGCGTCCTTGTTCTGAAAAATCAACAATCAGCCTAAACAGGCAAACCATAAACCATGCCATGCCAACACATTCTGCAGCTCAACGAGATCGACGTCATACCTTTTTCGTCTCCATTACAGTCTCGACAATTTTCCCCGCGGCTGGCGATCAAAACAAAGCAACAGTGCATAGCACAAACGACGGACTTGCCAGGATTAATTGATTTGAAACATGGCAGACGACGAGGCTGACCCCTCCGAGCTCTTCTCGTCACCCATCAAACCCTCCGACCTGCCATCCAGGCCGAGGACGCCCAGGACGCCCAAGACACCCCCACCTCCCACCAGCTCCAGGGACAAGGAGAAGGAGCCTTTCGATGCAGAGGAGGTTCGAGAGGCAGCCCTCCGCCGGGAGCTGGAAGGGGTGCGGAACATCAACGAGGTGATCGAGGGGGTCATTGGCACGCTGGAGAAGGCTAAGGGGAACATGGGTGTATGTACTAGACACACACACACACACACACTTGCTCTCTCTCTCACTCCCACAGAGCAAGCTTATGGACACCTGAGCTAAGTATATTGACAAACTCCATCACAGAGCGTCTCTCGGACGGTCGACAACGCATCCACCCTCCTCAACACGTGGACGCGCATCCTCTCTCAGACCGAACACAGCCAGCGCCTCATCCTCAACAAGGACTGGAACGGTTCCACGAGGGACCTTGAGGCCGTTGAGGAGGACAGACTCGAGCAGCAGCTGGCCGCGCAGCGCCGGGCCGAGGCGGAGGACCGCCGGCGCGAGGAGGCTCGCCGGAGAGCAGAAGAGCAGGAGAGGGCGCGCCTCGCAGGCACAACCACGACCGGCCGCGGGCGGGGTGTCCCTGGGGCGCGGGGCACGAGGACGACGCGGGCACGGGGTGTTCTGAGAGGTGGAGTGGCGAACATATCTGGGCTGGACAGAGGTGGCGCGTCTGCATCAAGCTCGAGAGCCGGATCCCAGATAGGAAGGGGGTTCGGCGCGGGACGGACAGCGCGTGGGACCAGGGCGACAGGACGCGGCGTGAGATGATGTGTCATTCTTCTGTTCTCTTCATCGTGCTCCTGCTATGCATGCTATGCATTCATTCAATGATACCCCTTTTCCATGACTCACAAGATGCGTGCATATCCAAACCTGATTATCCTACAAAATTGTGACCCCCTTGGCACGTCATGTCATGACCGTATCCATCATGAGCTCTTCGGCTTGAAGAACGCACTCAACTTCTGCATTCCCGCCGTATTCACCTTCTTCAGCTCCCTCACGCCCCTGCTCTCCCCTGCCTTCTTCCGCTTCTCCTCCTCCTCCTTCCTCCTCCTCTTCTCCTGCCTGTCCTCGTCCTCCTCGTCCAGCGTCCGCTTCCGCGAGTAGTCCGAGGCCGACCGGGCCGTCATGGCCTCCTGACGCAGCCTGGTCAGCTGCGCGACATAGTCGTCTAGAGGACCAAAGTCGACCGCCTCGGGGGTTTTGTTTTGTGCGAGCATCTTCTTGAGCGCTGATGCCATGGCTGGCGGCACGTATGACGAGCAGATGAAGTTGAATGCGATCCGCAAGCGCTGCAGCCCGACGATCTGCTCGGAGGCTTGGATCGCCGAGGACACGTCCTTTACTTCCAGCGGTGCCCCCTCAATAGATTCCTCCACCACTGAGGTTGCAGCGGTCGATGTTTCTGATGCCAGTGTGGTGGTGGTGGTGGTGGTGGTAGCAGCTGACGACTGCGACCCGTCCCCCTCCGACATGGCCGACTCTTCCGCCTGCAGCACGGCCACCGCTGCACCACCAGCACCGCTAACCCCCATCGTCCTCTTGACGCCCAGCACAGGTGCCTCCAGCGCCTTCACCACAAACTTGTCCTCCATACTCTCTGGCAATCTGCTCTTAGCCATCCGCCGCGCCTTGGCCAGCACCTCGGCAAACAGCTTGTCCTCGCTGAAGCGAAACATGGTCTCGTCGCCCGCCTCAGCCGTGTCACAGCACGCAGCCATGCGGCTTTCGAGTCGTCGCCTCCATGCGGGCCACCGCACGACTGTGTCTCGAAGGTGCGGCGCCGCCTCGCCGACGGTGTCGAGGTGGTCGTCGCTGGAGAGGAACATGCGCCTGCCCGCGGCGGAGAATTGTGCTGCGAGGGCCGGGAGGGTTAGGAAGAGGGGGTCGATGGGTGTGGCGAGGTATAGGTCGGCATTTTTCGTGACCTGGGTTGTGAAGGAGGGAGAAGAGGAGGAGGATGTGGTGGTAGCATCTGTGCTGTCTAGCAGCCAACTCCGTGGGGTGGTCTTGGGTGCGGATATTCTGGTGAACTCGTAGGCGCCCGTCTCTGGACATATCAGGTATCGGGAGGGCTTTGAGTAGCGAGGATGTGTGAGTGAGACGACTCTTGCCTCGGGAGTGGCCACATCTGGAAGGATGAGGACTTTGGGTGGGTTGGAGGACTCTGCAGGTAGGATATATCTTGATGTGGTGGGTTTGGTGTCTTCCTCTCCTCCTCCTCCTCCTCCACCTCTGCCTCCTCTGCTCGCGGCGGCCTTGCCAGCACCCCTTCCTGTCCTCGTCCTCGCCATACTCTCATCAGTCAGCAATGTATAGTATGAGTCTGGTCCTAATCCAGGGGTCGAGATCTCAGAATGGGTCCGATCGAAATTTGGAGAGCAATGGCTTCGTTGTCATGGATGTTGTTGTTGTTGTTGTTGTTGTTGTTGTCGCAGCAGGTACGTGAATCTTGCAAGTCTAAACTCTAAGCACGTTGTTCACGCGCTATGCAGAACAGTACAGTGGCAGTCAATACACATAGCATAAGGTAGTACAATCATCTGTACCTATGGAAATATTGCATGTAATAATGTGGCCAGGTAAAGATAGCGTGTCGCGTAGCAGGCAAGGGTTCGCGCGTTCGTGGGGTTAGGGGATTTCGCGTCAGTGTCGCGACGCCGCCTTCTTTGCTTCTCCTCCTTCTCCTCTGGACCCCACCAACCAATCAAAACTTGAGCCACCCCACTGCACAAATACAAACATTGGAAAATTCTGAATAACATTATGAATGATTATGAATGACTGTTATTCAGAAGAAGGTCATCATAACTCGTATTATGGGTTGCATTCATGCAGGCAGTGGGGACGCGGTGTATCTCCTAATTTACATAGTAACATCCTGTTTTCTTGAACTCTCAGGCACGGATCGATCTTGTTTGGCCGATCTCCCCTCTCAAGACCCATAAACCGTCAGCCCTGTCGCTTGTTAGTTAGTTCGTCCAGGGATTTGCCCCGGGATCTAATCCCCCCAAAACAGGGCCAGGAGGGGGAGGGCGGCGCTCTCGCTTCAGGGCTTGTTTACTTTGACTGTCACAGTACATTTTGCCGCCAGCCACAGCCAAGCATGACCTGTACAAACAACACAGCCACCCTGGACCACCCACTGACCACCCACCACCAGACCACTAGCACAGACACCAACCACACACGAAACGACGACATCATCGCCCATCATCCAGTCACTATTTACTTTTTTTTCTCCTCTCTTTCCCCCGGTCCTCGTCTTCAGCAAAACATAAGACGACAGACGCGGACCCACCACCCACACCCGGAGTTAGTAAACACCACAAGACAGAGAGACAGAGAGAGATCCGTTCATCCAACCAATCAACCAACACATCGGTTTACCCATGCCCTGTCGTCGGGTACGACAACTACAGCTGGACCGTGGTGCAGGTGGTGCTCAGGCGTGGGCGAAATTAATTGGCTGGTGCCAGGACCTGTCCAGCAAGGCGAAACCCACTTCACCGCATCCTTTCCCATACGGTCATACTGCACGGGGCACGCTACAAGTCGTCCCAGCTGCTACTGCTGCGCGCGACACAGTCTGGGGAAACCTACACTGATTGAGGGGCAAAGACGAAGTGGCATCTGTTGTATATCCTTGGCAATTCAATCCCAAAGAACACGATGCCCCCACGTGAGTGTCTACTCTGAGAGAGAAAGGGAAAGAGAAAGAAAAAAAGGGCAAGGAAAAAGAAAGAAGAAAAAGACAACAAGGCAGAGAAGAATACAAGAGGAGGACATCATAGAAGGACTGCTCCACACTGTTTCAATTCCTCGCGCGACTGACCAAAAGCCGCAAACACCAGCAGCCGCCACCGCCACCGCTGCACCAGCAGGCCTCGAGCAGCAGTGGCCACCACGATCGCCCAAAGAGGCACTCCTCGGTACACCCGGCGGCCGCGAGCGCTACAGACAGATGCTCGCACAGCGATCCACCTCGCCCTCGCCCCTGAAGCCCAGACCGACCATCACAGATCTCGTACACCGGCCCTCGGATATGATGACGTGGGGAGGAGGAGGAGGAGGAGGAGGAGGAGGAGGCGGAGGCGATCCCATGGACCTGGACGATGAAGGCGATGACGAGGAGACCTTGCAGTTGAAGCTCCAGGAGATACAGGCGCAGTTGAGGCTGAAGAAGCTGCGCAAGGAGAAGGCCAGGGCTGCAAACGGGTCACAGGCGGCAGCAGCACCATCCTCTGGCCAGCAGCCTGAGGACAGTGCTGCCAGAAATCAAAGACCCGACTCGGCCTCTATTGCGCGACCGGGCATGAGGATAAAAGAGATCAGGAGGACAGAACCTACGGCGCGCCCCCCGTCACAACCACCAGTCGAGGTACCCGCGTCGCCTGTGAGAAAGGTCCAGCCACCACCCGCCGCACAGACATCGCCCAGCCGGGTGCTGCTTGGGATCGACAAAGGCCTGAAGGCTTCCGATGTCTCGTTGAGAAGGGCCCCGAGCTTTCGAAAATCCTTCGACGATCTAGGAGGATCACAGGGTGGAGGTTACCTGCGCAGTTCGAGGAACCCCGGGTCCTTCGACGACAAACAGAAACCTCTAAGCTTCAGCGAGAGGCTAAAGACCGCCCGAGACGAGGAGAATGTCCGCCAGGACACGAGGGACAAGGCCGCCAGGTCACGAAGCACAGCGTTCAACGTGGGAAGGCAAGAGATGGAGGACTACAAGAGCAACGCCACAGATATAGTAGACGAGCCTTCACCCATGGAGAGGGGTTTCACAAAAGACGAAATATTAGGCAAGACATCAGGCGACAGGTCAAGAGTAGGGTTTCTGCAGCGAAGCAACACCACGTCCAGCGCGCGCACATCATCGTTTCCGGCGCCTGCCAGCTCTTTTACCGACGGCAACGATCCACAGGCCTCTTTCACCTCTACGACCTCTGAGCCCCAGAAATCCTCGTCATCCGCCTCCTTCGAGCCGTACTCCTCCTTTCACCTCTCCAAGCGCATCCTTCCTCACCAGGTTGTTGCGCGCGCCATATCGGGCAAGACAACGTACTCTCTCCAGGACCTCCTGCGCCAAGTCAAAGCCCCCGACTGGTCCTTCCCAGACGACGTCATCGACAGCGTTGTCTTCGCCATCGTAGCGTCCAAGTCGGAGCCGCGCAGCCACAAGCCACAATTCGACGCCGAGACAGGCAGACTGAAGGCCTCCGAGAGGGGCAAGTACATGGTCCTCACGCTGGTCGACCTGCAGTGGGAGATTGAGCTCTTCCTCTTCAACTCCGGCTTCGACCGCTTCTGGAAGCTCAGCCCAGGCACCGTGGTCGCCATCCTCAACCCGGACATCATGCCGCCGCCACCAGGGAAACAAGACACCGGCCGCTTCAGCCTGACCATCAACTCAGATGCCGACACCATCCTCGAGGTTGGCATGGCGCGCGACCTCGGCTTCTGCAAGTCTGTCAAGGCCAGCGGCTCCCTTTGCAACAGCTGGGTCAACGCACGGCGCACAGAGCACTGCGAGTTTCACACGAACTCGGCCCTCGCCAAGACACGCGGTGCGCGCATTGAGATCAACGGTGGCGTCGGCTTTGGGCTCGAGGCGCCAAAGGAGCGCTCTCGTAGTAGGAGAGTGTGGCACAAATCCGCCCAGGAGGTCGCCAGAGAGGAGCGCATGAAGAAGTTTGACGACACCAACGGGAAGCTGGACTATGACACGGGTTCCCGATACTTTGTGAGCGGGGGCAGCCGCGGCGCGAATAACGAGGAGCTGGACGCCGCGGCGCAGCTGGCCGACACGCGCGAGAGGGCTGAGGGCCTGAAGCGCAGGCTCGCGGCCAAGGAGAAGGAACGGGACATAGCCAAGAAGCTGGGCGAGATGGGCGGTAGTGGCGTGGGCGGGCAATACATGCGCGCTGCGGCGAAAGAGCCCTCTGATCCGGCCAGGACGACCTCGCAGGCCTCGCGACTCGCCAATGGGAGGACAGCAGCGTCCATGGCGCCACCCACGGCCGCGCGCTTCAGTCCTGCGCTCAAAGTGCCCAGGATTCCGCTGCCGGGCACGTATCACCACCACCATTATGACGACGAGGGAGGTCAGGAGGAGCGCAAGGTCGACGCCCGCTCTCTCGGCCTACTCGCTCCGCGCGGCAGCGAGCCCAAGATCTCCCTGAGCCCCATCAAGCGCAAGCGCCAGGACAGCACGCAGAGCTCCTTCAACACGAGCTTCGACGGCAACGGCGCGACCGGCAGCCGCGGCCCCCACCAACACCAACACAACAACAGCAACAACAACAACAACGCCACCACGACTTCCTCCACTACATCCTCCTCATCCGTCTCGCGCACGTTCGGCTGGGGCGGGAGCCTGCGCGATAAGCTGTCCCGCATGCGCGACGGGGAGAGGCTGAACCTGAACCTCCACGCCAAGAAGGACAGCACCAGTACCGTGGCGTCCGCGTTTCGGGACAAGGACCGGAGCCCCGTGCGCAAGAAGACGCGATTTGTCACAGAAAAAGGCATCCGTGAGGCCGGTCGGGAGAGTCTCCCTGGCGGCACTGGCGGCGATCGAAAGAACATCCGCCCTGGTGTGGTTGGTTTGTACGATCGTGGTGGTGGTGGCGGCAGCAGCAGCAGCAGCAGCAGTGGCAGGCGAGGCGATCTCAGAGGACGGGAGGTGGTGCTGGATGAGGACGAAGACATGGACGAGCTTGTGGTCGTGAGGTGAGGTGAGCCTCCTTGGACGACTACTGCTACTGCTTATCTGGTGAAGGGGGCGGGAGAAGGACCTCCCTTTTTGTGTATAAAACACCAGGGTCCTTGAATATGTTTGCCTGGGCAGAGAAAACTTGACGACGGTCAATCGTCTCCTCTTTCTTTTCCTTCTCTTTTGTTCATATGTTTTCTGCTTTTCTCTCTGTATTCGGGCTAGAAAGCATCTCAAACGGAAATAAGGCATAGGATACACGGACACGGCATCGGCATGGGCACGGGGACACGGTTTATGATTCAGGGCATGGGCGCAACACGGGATGGGTATGGCGCTCTCTCTCTGTGTGTCTGTCTAGGTTGTTTCTATCACGCTTTTCTCGGGATCAGAGAAGGAGAACAGAGAGAGAGCGAGAGAAAGAGAAAGAGATAGGAATCAGGACACAATACAGATATAGGCATAACTACATGAGTGTGTCCCAATGAAAACAAGCTGAAAACAAGACAAGTACGATGAGGGAGAGAGAAACGAGGGGGTGAACTCTCTGTTCAGCCCCTTCTTCTCACTTATTGTTGTGATTTGGCTATGTTGATACGATGACTTGTCGAGGTCCATCTGTCTCTTTCAGTGTATGTAGTTGCACATGACTAGTCTCGTCCCGTCTCGCCCTGTACACTGAATCTCGAAGCTCACATGAAAACCGATGGCAGTCGTGCGTATCATGATGGTTGTACATAATGGCCCTTTTACTTTGGTGCAATGATTTGTTGAGGACAAGTCGTGGGAAGGTAATTATTCACTTATATTTTGTGAAGTGCTCCTTTCTCTTTTCGGAGAGCAGGAAAGTCGTGGTACAGTTGTACTATTCATCTATCGTGGGCCGCCTCATTCAGAGAAGGCTTGCATTTTCTTCAGTCTTTGGGTCAGTTAATTATTTCATGTGAGCATCCTAACCCCTTCATCAACTCTTTGTCTCTTTTCAGTACTTTCAAGTCGCTGCTCATACAATGTTGTTGAAGCAGCCATACACGCGTCTAATCTTCAATAATCACATCTCACTGGTCACGCTGTGGGTTAGTTAGCAGTCTTCGGCATGTAAATATATCAAGGTAGGTACAGCAGGTAAATGCTTCCCTTCCAAGGGTGAGAGTATGCCAGAACGCAAAACACGCTCGTCCCTCTGGACGTTTGTATTCATCGCACAGCTGTTCAGAGTGATCGAACGCAGTTGGTGAGGAAAAGAGAACGCACACCCAATCCAACAGAAAACAAAAACAAAACTATCTATGCTGTCAATGGACTTTCGCCCAAGATACCGTGTTGAAACCCTAGTTCTTGTTTGAGCATACTACCACCTGTCAGTTTTGGGTGTTCATGTGATTATTACTCCTCGACAACATTCGCTGCCACCTCTTTCGGCTCAACCTTGGAGTCGGCCTTGTCCTCTTGTATCGTGGCCTCCGCTAGGGTCTCGCCAGCTGTGTCTTGTCGAAATGTGAGTAATTGTATCTCCCAGAAGACGTCATGCAAAGAGATGTGACTTACTTGTGGTCAATGTCTTCGTCTTCGTCTCGACTGGGTGCTCCTCATCCTCCGCCTCCTCTGTTGGCTCTTCTACCTCTTGGGCACTCTGGGGGACCTCAACGTGGTCTGCAGGCTTGGACACTTCGGCTTCCACCTCAGGTTGGGACTCTGGTACCTCTGCTTCTTCTGCCACCTTAGTCGTCTTCTCCTCCTCCTCCTCCTCCTTCTCCTGAACCTCAACTTGTTCCTCCTGAACCGCAGCAACAGTTGATTCAGCGAGCTTGGGCTCTTCGGTAACATCCCTATCTGCTATCGACGCACCGCCATCCTCCTCAGGATCAATCGACCAGACAGTGACCGCCGTGGCAAAGCTCAACTTGGGCTTGTCCACAGCAGGTTTGGAAACGGGTGCAGAGGCTGGTGCCGGAGCTCTCCTCTGGGGGCCGCGGGCGCGTCCCTTACGCGCATCCGATAGCGGTGCCTTCTCTTTGGGCTCTTCGGCCACCTCTTCGGTAGTTTCGTCCTCCTTTGGCTTCGGTGCCTGGGGTCCGAGTCCCAGCTTCTTATTCAGATCGGACATGAACCCAGCTTGCAGCGCGGCAATCTTATTGCCCATGGGCCTGGCTGGGATCGCGGGTTTTGCTTTGGGCGCCGGAGCATCAGCTGATGTCGAGCCAGATTTGGCAGGCCGGGATGGGACCTGAGGCTTGGGGCGATCTGGAATCACTGGCTTGGCTGCCGCATCATCCACGGACTTCGGCTTGGGCCGCTCCGGAATCGCGGGCTTGTCCTTGGGGTCCGTAGTCTTCCTCTGAGGCGGACCTGACTTATGCGGCTTGTTATCGATAGGCGACGATTGCTCCATCTGTGGGCCTGAGACGGTGGTCTCCAGCTGCAGACTATCTGGGGTATCCTCCCAGACATCGCGACTGGGAAATCTAGGCGCGGCGTTGGGACGAGTGACCTCCTGAGCAAGTTGTGGCTGGTGAGCCGCCCAGGTGGGCTTCTGGGTCCGCCAGAGGAAGGCGTCGGGGTGAGTAGCCTCCTTTTCAGCCAGCTCTTCATGCTTGCGGGCGAACACGTGCGCCGGTGTCTGGGTTTGTTCGCGGGAGGGCACTTTTGCGAGATCCTCTTCCGGTTCAGGCGTGTTGACCTCGGCGGTGTAGTGCACACTGTTGGGAGCGTCTTCCCAGATGTCACGGCTCGGGAAGCGCTGCTTCATCTCCTTGATCTGGGCAGCTGTGAGATGTTTCTTCGGGTCGTGCTCATCGTCGTCTGGGAACAAAGGCTCATACTCGATCACATCTTCCAGCGGAGTCGATCGCATCTCCGCAGATTCAGTCTTGTACAGACTGGTCGGACGGCTGGTGGGGCGACTGCGGGGTGGTTCCATCTCGTAGTCGCTTCCCCGACGCTCACGAGAAAGCTCGACAGCTGGCACCTGGTCGTATCGGTTCTTGCTCTTTCTGACCTCGTCCTCTGCCAGAATCGGGGCACGGTAGTCGCTGTCCGCCACCTCATCCTCAGGTGGTGCAGGAATAGCCTCATCGCTAAACAGAACACTTCTCCTGCGGTTGGGCTCATCGACAACGATCACGTCGCGGCTCACATCGGTCTGCAAGTCTTGTTTCAGGGGCGAGCCGTCCTGGGGTTTCGTGGAATGCGGCCGTGAGGCTGCTTCCGAATAGACTGCCCAGGCGGCCTGTTCACTGGGCGTCCCAACATGATCTGTCGTACCTTTTGAACGCCATGTTAGCAAATTCGACCGTGCCCGAGAGATTGTCACTGAATATAAACGTACCCACGCCATGGCCATTCAGCTCAGCCGACCTGACCATCTTGTTCAGCTCCTCGCTGCTCATAGAGAAATCGGTGGCACGGTCATGTTGGTAAATGTGATGCTCCAGCTTCAGAAGCTCAGGATGCTTCTGATAATATTCCTTCTCTAGCTTGTCCTGAGGGACGACATTGTGGCCGTGCAGACCATAGCTCCCAGGAGGCAGTCCTCGGGAGCTGCTCTTTCTTTTGTGGCTCCGAGAGCTGCTGGAGCCCCCCTCAGCGGACCCGTGCGCACCGGGTGCGGGAGAAGGTGCCTGGACGTCGCCGGCGAAAGCCAGCAGAGGGACCTGGACACCAATTTCCGGAATACCATGCTCTTCGTCCTCTACTTCGCTCTGTGAGAGGCCGCTGGACGTGCTCGCCTTCTTCTTTAGGCTGCGAGTCGAAGACGAGGGGAGTTCGCTGCTCGGCTTGCCAATGCCAAAGGAAGCCGCCTTGTCCGAGTCGGTCCTCGTGACCTGCATGATGCGCTGCTTGGCGCTGAGAGCAGGCATTGTCGCCTTGGGCGCTAGGATCTTGAGATTCTCGTCGACGGTGCGTGTCTGCTCGGGCGAGGTGCTCGGTTGTCGAGACGGGAGCTGTTCAGCCAGAGCTGCGTATTCCATGCCCTCCTCACCCACCACATTGGGGATCTCGACGCTCTTGGATCGTTCGATGGGATCATCGTTGGAATTGGACCGCCCCGTTTTTGACGGGATGCCGGCATGTAAGGGCGAAGGCGCATATCGATCTGGATTGGGCGACAAGCCGCGCTTGATAGGACGAGGAGGAACTTTGGGGAAACCAGATGGATCGTTGTCCTGGGCCCTGTTGGGTCGAGGGGGGATGGTAGGAGGTTGCTGTTGTGTTGCTGCGGTCGACATCTTTGGTGATGATCCGACAATGGATGCAAAAATCGTTTTGGAAGGGCTCAAGTTGGAACGAATTTCCAATGCTCTGTTAGATCGACCAGTCGTTGGAGGATCTTGTCACCAATGTCGAGAGTTAGTCTAACCGGCGGTCAAAACACACTCACACCCAGTGAGACGTTAATTGAGGTATAATGACAAGGTAAAACTAGAAGAGTGTGTGGGCAATGTTGCAGGCTTCTGTGACGAGTGACAGCTTGAGAGTTTGACTGGGGGTAGAGAGGGTGGGCAACCAGGAGGATTGACTGGCTGGCTGGATTGGCTTTTGGCCCGGGAAGAGCTGCAGAGCTGCATATGAGGTGAGGGTGCCTGACCGTCGATGGCTGAAGAGGAAGAAAGCTCTAAACACGTCACTGTCTCTCGATCCACAGGAAGAGCCACAAGTACACGCCAGCTACAAGGAACCCCTCGTGGTGAGTCAATCTCAGAGTAGAGACAATGGGGACTGCCCTGAGAAAGTCCATGATGGTCTCGAAGCAACCCACTGGCAAGCCCGTCTCCTCGGTGAACACGGGGACGCCGTCAATGACCCAAGAGAGTCTGGGCATACGGGTTTCCACTCCGGCCGCAATGATAACTTGTTGGACGGGGCCCAGATAAGACGGAAACGGTCGACCTCGATGGCGGCAGCAATTGAGTGGTGCTGATCCGTCAAGGAAAAACCGCTCACAAAGAAGAAGACGAATAAAGGAAAGAAAAATAGCTCGTCCACTGTTTCCATAATTCGATTGAAAATGAAAGTATGCACGCGAGACTTGCTTGCTGGAGATGGTGATGATGATAATGATGATGGGGAAGGCGGCTTGCAGCGGCACTGGAACTCACCTACAATGATCGCCAATGGTGGGGATTCAAAGGTGTGAAGGTAGTTGAGAGTAGAGTACAAGACGTGTGGTGGTAAGCTGGATAGTCAATTGATGGAAGCAGGATATGAGATCCAAATAATCTGTATACGTTAGGGAGAACACTTTTGAACGAAACAACAAGATGCCAACGAGAATAGAGGCTTTTCACGAGAGAAAGCAGCCAGAGGGAAAAGAGAGCGGGTACTGACTTATACCGGCGATCGTGTGAAATGCCTTCCAGGTTATTCGCCCTTCGTCATTGGAGCTGAAGAGGTCTCTCCTTCCCCCCCCCCCCCCTCCTCCCCACAAGAAACAGGGATGTCCTCTGCACCTTACTGCAACGGATCGCAGTGCACAGGCACGCCATTTCTGTTCTCCTCGTAACCAATCCCCTTGTCCGAGTGACCTCTCCCGGTAAGGGCGCCGCGCTGTAGTTTCAGGTACTGGCTACCACCTCGACATACCGGATCACGATTCGAGCAAGCTGCACACGCCAAAACCTGCATTGCATTTTTTTTCATGCCCCGAAGCTTCTGGGCTTAGCACAGTGGTTGGGACGGCCTACTGTCAACCAGTCAATGCACCCCACGATGAAAAGAAGAAGAATACACACGGCCACACTTCTGTTGTCAGTCGCTCAGTATGTAGGCCATGGCAATTACCGATCAGTTGCGATCTACTTTCTTCTATAGTTCTCTCCTCCCCGTTGACACTAGCGACGATGTCCAAAGCAAAAGAGAGAAAGAAAGAAAGAAAGAAAGAATAGATAGAAAAGGAAGCAAGGAAACAGACGGTGAGACGGTGAAGCTAAACTATGCACAGGTGAAGAAGGCCTCCGCAGTACTTGAACATAGTACATAGCACAGTAGAATGATGCTTTGGGCCCCACCTGGAGATTCTAAAAAAGAAAACCCCGCCGTCATGCGCACCGGATCATCCCCCACTATCCCAGCTTGTCCCTTGCCGTGGGCTGTAGTGACTTCACACCCTTCTGCTCTAGACCTCCATACCATCAGAAAGGCTTTCTCACTATTCCCAACAGCAGGCTATACATGCCTGTTTCGTGACACCAGGACCTGAATCATAGCTGGTCATCATCCCGCCCCCTCCTCTCGACCTTCTTGGAACCCGAGCAAAAGAGAAATAAATGACATGCCATCTGTTTGCCAGACAAGTTCTCGAAGAGTAGAGGTAGATGGATTCTGCTGAGACTTGCTTCAGGAAAAATCAAGTACCTGCAGTCAATACAATACACCGTCGTCACGGAGTGGACGATGGGAGAGTCTAGACAGGGCAAGGGGTACAACAGATCGATCTCCAACTCCGGACCTTGGCTTGCATCTCTGCTCTCCCCTTGTGATCTGAAGTTTTTACGTAAAGACACGGGAACATCTCACACGTCTCGTCAGGCAATATTGCATCATCTCCACGTTTCCCCCTCTTGACGGACTGACGCCACTGTTGACTTAGACAGACTTGCTCCTACTGCACATCAACCTGGGGTAACGCCGCATAGCCACTGGGTAGACATGTCCAATAATGACTATTCATCCATGCCATCATACAGTAGTAGTAGTAGTACCTCGTCTCTCACACTATGTTTCCACCCGGAATAGCTGGTCTGGACGGATGACGACTGTGTATGGACCCGAGGCTCTGGTTGCCCCAATAAGTAAGTTCCCGTAAAAAGAGGTAGTCCTTAGTAACGTTCTACAGAGACCTACTATACACTACACCAGCCCCCGTAGCCGGGGATTCGATAGTAGCTACATATTTACAAGAGTCAACATGGTCAGTAGCACTACAAAAGAATACAACATGCCGGCTCCAGTATTGGAGGGAAAAAAGATATTCTTCAATAACTCTCTCCCTTGGGTCTGAAAAAAAAGTAATGAGAGAGAAAAGAAAGAAACCGCAACAGCCAGTGGTAGCAAAACCATAGACGCCATCGTACCATTCCCGAGGATGCGGTCTTGCAGTGCCACACCCATAAGAGGGAGGGTCCTTCCTATCCTCTGTACACACCGCAAGAATACCTCTCAATTCATTTCGCCCCATCCTTCTCCTTTTAGAAGTGTAACAAGAAAATCAACCCACCAATCCGACAGTCTTCAGCCAGGAGACATCTTCTGGTAACACACACCAGGTTCGTTCTCACGTCATAAGTCCCGGCTGGGCTCAATCTTCATTTTGATCTCTGCTCCTTGCCCAAAGCACACAAAGAGCCGAGCAAGGCCAGCACTACAACAGGAAACATCTCCCCCTCTCATAACATAGGGTCCAATTCCAGCCAGCTACTTCCAGCTGGCCACATCAATCAGCTATCTTCCTCCTCGCGATTATACGATCATCTGTGCCACGCCGGCGCCGCCCAGCGTCTTGGAGCCGACGAACTGCTGGTGCTTCACCGCGGCCAGGAGGTAGCACAGCGCGGTGGCGGTAAGCACGATGGCCTCGGCAATGAGCGATGTGGCCTTGGGGATGATGCTGAGCCACTGGATGATAGCCATCACACCATAGGCCGCGGCGCGCATGTAGTTTGTCGAGATTCTGCGCACGTAGCTGTCGAAAGTGCTCGACGTGGGGCAGATGCGCAGGAGGAGCGGGACCTCGATGAACAAGATGATGAAGGCGGATGCGCTGTAGGGAGGCCCCGAGGGGACACAGTTGGTCAGCTCTTGAGGTTTGACTCGACTCGACCCGACTCAGCAGGACATGGGAAGGGGTGGAAATGCAAAGGACGGGTTGGTGTGTGTTTTTGTCGCGCCGTGCGCTTTGGGGGACTTGAACTGGACGGCCGAGGGGTAAGAAGACGAGGTCAGCGGGTTGGATGGACTGGACCTACAGCAGTAGCGCGCAAAAGATAATGATGACGATGTTGAAAGTGAAGATATTTGCAATGCCGAGAGCAAAGCCTAGAATCATTGACAGCACTCCGAGCCTGTAGTAAGAGTATTGCGTTAGCAACGCGGGAAACCTCATGGTACGACGACCATCCCTGTTTCTTCACCACGACTCTCCCCCGAGCCCAGAATCGTCCCTCATCAGATGTCCGGGGCTGTGTTCATTTATTGACCAAGAGCGCACGCATCGTCGTCGCCGCCGAGGTTCGAGGAGGGGGAAGCTCACCATTGCCCGTAGATACCTATTTTCAGATGTTAACAACCGAGCCATGGCGCCAATCACGGTAGGCGGACTCCGTTGGGTGGTGGGGAAGCAGAAAGTGACATACTGAAGTTTCTAGTCGCGAATTCCTCCTTCAGAGTCATCTTGACTGTATTTACTTGCGATCGATTGTCGGTTCAGGTGCTTTCCTTGGAGAGTTGCTCGCAGGGGAGAGGAGAGACAGAGGGCCGGTGATGTCGGATCAGGGTCAAGGCGCTCGCTCGCGAGTCTATCTGTCCTCCGTCGGATGTCTCAGTCCAACTCGTGCGTCCGTGTAATGTGCAATCTCCTTGGCTCTCGTATGTGCGTCTGGCCCGTTCGCTCGTGGGCAGGAGGAGGTAATGTGGTGAGGCGGTATGTACTGCTTCGTTTGGGCGAGGAGGGAAGAAGAATAATGTTGTTGAATAGCACGGTGGTGGTGCTTGTTGTTGTCGTCGTCGTCTTCTCGGAAAGACGGACACGAGTAGGGTCTCTGAATACAGGGTGGTCGGTAATAACTTCTAAGCCTCAGCTTGCGCAGCTCCCTGACACGTTTTGATAGTCTGACGGCTGGTGTGACATGAGCTGTTCTGGTTTTCGCTGTTCAAGGGGGTGTCCTGTAACAGGGCTGGCAGGCCTGGTTATTCTGTGTCATACCAACAAGAGGCACTGTGGCCCTGTCAAAGGGAAGGCCCCACGGTGTGAGTGCAGTGACTAACGAGCGGGCCCTCCGCCCCCCAAGGGTCTGGTCACGGCCGTTTCAAACCTGGGCGGCTTTGTCCACCCGATCTTATTCACCCCCAGAAACAAATCTCAAACCGTGAACTGATGTTTATTAGGTGTGATCGTTCCTGGTCATTGGAGTCATCAGAAGACCGCAATGGCGACCCACAAGACCCTGTTCTTTTTGGTTCCTCTTGGAGGCCACACACAGCATACATTATTAGGAGGCTTCGACATGATCCGACTGACGGTTGGTCAAGTTGGTCTACGTGTAGTACTTACGCGGCCGTGGCCAGTCGGACCCAAGAGCTGCTGCGCCTTTTTTTCTTTTTAAGAGGAGACATGTCAGCTGCCAATACCCAAATCCCAACAATAGGTGAATACAGTCATGGGCATCCTTCGTCCCCACTTCGCTGCCCAAGAATCATGATGAGTTTGGCCAAAGGACATCCCCTCAGGAGCCGATATACAGCGTGTGCTGACTGCCCGGTCGTCGACGATCGTCCACATCACAAACATCCAGTTGAATTCGGATTAATATTCCTACAGGCCAGAACAGAACACTCACAGAGTCAGACTCTCCTAATTGATATTGGTCGTCTCTACATCCGAACTGGCCACGCGATTTCCAACAAGGTGACTGCGCTCTGGGCCGACGGTTCTGGGAAATGATCCGGCTGCCAGCTAGGGACCTCCACTCGCAGGACGCAAGTAGTAGGATCGAAATGTAAAAAGATAAAAAGAACAAGAGAAAGAAAAAAGCATAAGCGGGGTTGTTCTTGACCACGCGTACTCCCGTTGTTATCACGCATCTTGAAGAATTAGGTCGAACATGCCCCTTCCATCCGTCGAAGATGATTTCTTGTCCTCGCAAATCGTCGCTCACACACCTGCCGACTACTTGCTTGACCAGCCTCGACCCGGCGTTCTCTCTTATCCGGCCAGCTACCATGTCTCCCTCCTCCCACCCAACTATTCATATCATTCCCCTCCTCCTCTTCCTCCTGCTACGGACAGATCATAAGGTGCAGATATTTAGAAGATCAGCTTGAAGATGTCGTGAGAGACGTAGAAGCTGCCGCTGCTGGGCTCCTGCATCAGGTGGAAAGTCTGCGCGAACTTGAAGGGCTTCTCCAAGTCGCCGTCAACCTGTTATTTGAAGAGCCAGAAACTGTCAGCCTGTTGTTCTTGATGTTTGCACCAAACCCCTTGCTTCTTCTTCCTTCTCCCTTCTTCTAAGACGACTTGGTCCAGAGCCAAGGCGGTGGGTTTTGATAACGTACAACGATGGCACCGGTGACCTGGATCAGGACACCGTTATCCCCGAGGCCAGGCATGGGGTCGATGGTGTGGGTTTCGTGCTTCACGCTCTGAAAGGGCAGGTTCTGGAGCAGTTCGAAAAGGCGTCAGCAAGAGGCTCACTGTGGGATGAAGGGGACGAGGGCGTCGGAAAGAAAGCAGGCTGGGCTAGGCTAGTTGGCAAAATTATCGCGATCGCGCAGCCCCAGCCTGCTCCGCCTAACGTTCTCCTTCGTTCAAGCTAGGCAGCGGTGACTGGTAGACGCGGGATAGACGAGGTGGGTAGGTAGGTACCTTCAGCTTCTCGACGATGGCAGCAACACCAACCACCGATGTGGACTCATAGGTAAGCATGCTGTTATCACGGTACAGCGATGCCAAACCCTCGCGGTTGCCATCAAAGGTGTTGTAGTAGAATGGCACGAACTGGGTCGCGACCTCCTGGAAGTTGACGGCCATCTTGCGTTTGTTGATGTGGTGGTGCGATGCGACGCTCTCGATTCTGGACTCGGAAAAAGGGAAAAAGAGATAGAGACAGAGGATAGTAGCTACTCAGACGAACGTTTTGTCTCTCGCCGTCGGGTCGTTTCTCTTGTGTAAGAGTAGTGAGAAGTGGGTGCAAGATGGTGGTAGGTGGTGGGTGGGTTGGTGTTGGGCTGTGGCGGGGAGGACTGGTCGATGTTTTGCAACCTTGGGAAGCAGGGCGGCAGCGGGGTTCAACAGTGGCCCCCCCCCCCCTCCGTTTGATCAAGCTGGGCTTGCTTGGTGGGCAAGGTGGGGTAAAAATACCAACCTCCAACCCCTGTCTGGGCGCAAACAGCGCCCTCCTCTCGACTCAGCGGAGGGGGCACGGAGCTTGCGGGTGCTGCTGCTAGGGTACGGCGAGCTTCAGCTTCTTGGGGCCCTATTCTTGACCTTGGGCAGCAAAACATTCCGTTTGTTCTATAGAATCTCCCAGAAACCCAAGCAGCCTGGCACTTGATGATGATCTCACCATGGCCCCTCCTCTCTACTTCTGGTCCCTCCTCTCTACTTCTGGTCCCTCCTCTCTACTTCTGGTCCCTCCTCTCTACTTCTGGTCCCTCCTCTCCACTTCTTCCCAAATAAAAGGAAACAAGACATCTGAGCAACAGGCTTTTACTCCGAGCTGATGAATAGACGGACTTTTAAGAGCACGGTTGTCTTGACTGCTCGACTGAAGCCTGTCCGGGAAGCAGCACTCTCTAAGACGGTGTCATGACGATAAGGTGTGAAAGACAAGGAAGTGGGGAGAATAAAACTGAACCACACATTATTGACACTTCTGAGGAAGCCTGAGTTTACTTTTTCTTTTATAGTGAAGGGTTGGTCACTATTTCTACAACAGCATAAAGTGCTTCCCAAAGTATCTTTTGGGAACACTCATTACATCCCTCTTCAGCAACATGCACGTTATTCCTCCCAAGTATACACATAATCAACTCAAAGGCTGTCTATTTGTCCTCTACCAACTCGTAGAGCCGGCATGCATTGATCCACAAAGGCATATCACCGTACTGCAAGGGAAGCGTGGATATACCACGGAAATACTACTTCTCTGGGCCCAAACAATACCGATCTTTTGTTTTTTCTTCCTAATTACCTAAACTCCGTAGAAAAAGAAGCCCTGGAGAAAGGCAGCCACACCACCAAGAAATGTACCTCTTCCGTCACGACGACAACGACGAGGCGACAACCACTTCTTTCACCTAGTAAACCTCGAGCACATACCGCCCGTCCTCCTTGAGCCTCTCGATCTCCTTTCTCGGGTCAACCTTCTTGCCAGCATCCTTTGCCTCGGCGGCGATGGCCTCCTGCAGCACCTCGGTGACATCGGGAACAGGCCACGTGGGCCCGCACAGGTAGAAGCTGCCCTCTTCCTTGATGTAGGCGTCGACGATGCTGCTGATGCTCTCGCGCATGCGGTCCTGGATATAAATCTTCTGGGGCTGGTCACGGCTGAAGGCGGCTCCGAGCAGGGTGATGACGCCGGCGTCGACGTAGGCCTCCCACTCCTCACCGTACAGGTACTCCTCGCGCTGGTGCCGCGAGCCCATGTACAGCAGGATGGCGCCAATCTCCTTGCCCTGGGCCTTCTGCATCGCGCGGTACTGCACAAAGGCACGGAAGGGCGCCAGGCCCGTGCCCAGGCCGGCCATGATGAGGGGCGCCGTGTCCTTTGCAGGCAGCTTCATCACGCTTGGCTTGACCGACACCGTCACCGCCGCGCCGACGGGCAGCGTGGACAGGTACCGCGTCGCCTGGCCCATCCTCGTGCGGCCCTTGTTGTCGACCCAGTCCACGACCACAATCATCAGCGACACCGAGTTGGGTGTGACGGCCTGTGCCGACGCGATCGAGTACTCGCGGCGCTTGAGGGGCGCCACCAGCCGCACGAGGTCGTGGAACGAGGGCCGCGCCGAGCTGAACTCGGCCAGCACGTCGGCGTACGTGTCCATGTCGATCTCGGACCGCCGCTTGAACTCGTCCGCGCCGTCCTTGCCGCCCAGCGCCGCCAGCTTCTTCTGCTCCAGCTCGTCCGTCGCGAACTCGGCCAGCTGCTCGTAGAACCGCTTGGGCACCTTGCCCAGGATGTCGATGTTCTGCACGAGCGCCTGGTACACGGTGCGGGTCTCGAGGGCCAGCGGGTCCTCGCGCGAGGGGACCTGCACAAGGTCGTCGGCGTTGAGGCCGTACGAGGTGATGAAGTGGAGGACCTGCGTCGGGTCGTTGTCCGCGTGCACGCCCAGCGCCTCGCCGATGTTGTAGGTCACGCCCGACGTACCGAGATCGAACTCGATGTGGAAGATGTTGCGGTCATAGGTGAGCGGCGTCAGGCGGCGGTTCTCCTTGACGTGCACCGTGGCTGTCTTGACCGAGAGGTCTGGGCGGAGCGACGACTGCGTGCCATACGCCTCCTTAAAGACGAGCGCCTTGGCCGCCGAAGCCCAGCTGCTCAGCTGGAGGCCCTGCTCGGGCTCCTCCTTGTCGAAGCCGACGAAGGCGCTCGTCTTGATGGTGCTGGTCAGCGCCGTGGGCGTGGTGAAATCAGCTGGGAGCTCGGCCCAGGATGCCGGCACCTCGACCTGGCGCAGGCACTGGTTGAGCACGTCGCGGCATTCCTGGATCGTGCCCTCACGCGGCGCAGAGAGGTTCTTGGCCACATCGACGGCGCCGTCGGGCCTGGCGACTCGCAGGAAGGCGAGCTCGACCAGAAGCTCCAGATTGTTCTCCAGGGCCGGGGAGTAGGATGAGTCGAGGACAAAAAGGCGTACTGCTTTTTCCAGGATGGCCTTCCTGACCACAGGAGACAGGCGCTTCTCGAGCTCCTCGTTGTCCTTGAGACCAGGCAGCCTCAGCAGCAGCCTTCCGCCGTCCTTGACGCCCTTCACGACGTCCACATCCTGCAGAAGCTTCTCCTCGCCCACGTACGCGACGTCAGCCGCGTCCACAGCGTAGGGCGCCTCGATGGTCTTCTTGGAGCTGCGGATATCGGTGCGAATGATGCCGCCCTGGACCAAGTTGTCATGCGTCTCATACACATAAACGTTGTTCGATGACTCGCGTGTGAAGAACTTGCCGACCACAGCGGGCGAATTAACCGCGGCCGAGTTGTCCACGTCCCAGAAGCTGTACTGCTCCACCTGGCCAGACAGCAGGACAGAAGGGCTGCTGCTGCGGCTTCCGTCCTTGCTGATGAGCTTCTGGACGACCGAGCGGAAGCTGGCGGGCGTCAGGGACTCGGACGCGGCATACTTGACATCTGTGACGGCGGGAGCCTGCGCCCACTTGCTGGAGAAGGACACGGCAGTGAGGACATCGGAGTGCAGGATGGACTGAACAGCGGCGTCATCGACCTCGGACGCGTTGGCAACCTGGCCCAAGACTGCGATCTGGCGGACGGAAGCCGGCAGGAGGCTAAGGAAGGCCTCCTCTACGAAGGGCCGGTACAGGCGTACGCTGATGGCGCCAACCTTCTTGCCCTCTGCGGCGAGCTGGGAAACCACCTGGTTGGCGATCTGGGCCTCGACGCTGCCGAAGACAACGAGCACGGTATCGGCGTCCTCGTCGCCAAAGTATTCAAAGGGCTTGTAGTCGGTGCCCAGCTCGCCATTGAAGGCGTCCAGCAGGGCGAGGACCTTGCCTGCGGTGTCGAGGTGGCTGTTGAGGCCCTTGACGTGCGCGGACAGGTTGGTGTAGACGTCCCGGATGCCAACCTCGCCCAGGGCATCAATCACGCGCAGGGTCTCGCGCGAAGTGCGGATGCCGTCGTAGATGTGCACGCTGGGCAGGATGTGGGCCATCAGGGTGGCCAGCAGGGCCATGTGCTGGGCCTCGTAGGCGGACGAGCTGCCGACCAGGCCCAGCCCCAGGTCCTCAGCGAGCTGCAGGGCGGCGCCGTAGCCGGCAACCAGGCCGTGCTCGTCGGCGTACTCGGCAGCGGCAACGTGAGCCACAAAAGGGCTGGCGACGCTGTACAGCAGGCTGAGCTGGTCCAGGGCGCCGCGCAGGCTGCGCAGGCTCAGGCTAGGGGCCAACAGGGTCTGAGGGATGTGGCGGCGGGCCAGGTCAAAGTCGCTCGAAAACATGTAGCCCAGGGCGAAGGCGCCGGCGCCGGCACGGGTCTGCAATGGGTGAACAGCGGTGGTAGAGGCGTGGATGTTGGGCTCGGCGGAACGGGACCACTCGCGCACGGCGACATCCAGATCGAAGGTGTCTGGGGAGTAGGAGAAGATCTTGTCCGAGAGCTTGTAGGCGACCTGCTGGACGAGCAATTGGGCCGTCACGTAGGTCGGGCCATTGATGGAAGACAGAGGCACCATCTGGCCGAGGGGGAGGGTGGCAGCAAGCTTGGTGAAGGTGGGCGCCGTGCTGACCTGCTCCTCGGAGGCCATGGCGGTCGCCCCAGACTCTGCGTGCTTGAGCTGCATGGTGATGTGTTGATGGGAGAGATGTACAAGGAGAGGGGGGCTTGTGAAAGAGACTGTGTGTGCTAAAGAATAAGAAGGACAACACCCTCGATGATGTAAGTTGAGGACCAACAACGTCCACAAACAGCAGCTTACACACAAAAGTCACTACTCCCCACTCACAGTGCTATCACAATGAAAGGGGAAAGAGACTTATGGGCACGGAGAGGAGGTTAGTGAGGTAAAGAAAAGGGTCGAGACTGAGATTGAGTAGCTTGTTCTGTCCGCTATTAGAAATATCTTTTTCTCATGTCTTCTCTCTCTCTAAGCAACCACCGCAACCAAACTAAACGACCCACGAAAGATCCTCTTTAGCTTTGCGCGACCGGAGCAGTTCTTTCCCAGGCTGTCAAAAATAAGACCATGGAGCCCAGCCTCTTCTCTCGCTCCTTCTCTCCTCCTGAATCAGAAATTTCTTTCCTTTCCGGCCGCCGTATGATGATCCGTCGAAGGCCAAGCAAGCATTTGTAACCCAGCTCGTTTTTGGCATTAGATCAGGTCGTGAGAGAATTGCGCCATCAGCAGCCAATCAGAGACGGCATGAAGTCCCAATGCGGGAAGTTTTTCAAAGGGTTTGCCGCACCTCGGCGGCGGCGGTCCAGGGGGTTAGGGGACCAGCCGGCACTGGGGCAAAAGGCTGAGAGGAATGGGCGGCAAAACTGGGGAAAAGTCGGAAGGCTGAAGGCTGTCGGTGCGGGAGGGCCGGAAACAGGTTGGGCGTACCGAGCCGGCCGATGGGGGAAACCCAGTTATGGGGGTGTTTTGAGTGGTGGTTAGAAATAAAATACAATGGAATACAAGGGCCCAAGAGGAGTGAGACGAGACGTGAGGAAAATGGCGACATGTCTGGAGGATATGGCGAAAACTTGTCCCTGCTGCGATGTGATGACGATGATTGTCTAACCATGTACCATGCTTGCCGTGGCATTTTAGAGTGGTCCGTGAGGCTGGAAGAAGAGTGGAGCAACATTTGAAATGAACGAGGTCTTAGGGCGGATACGTAGTCTTCTGTACGCCTTTTCCACACCCTCTCCAGATTATCAGCACCAACCACCATGAACATGGAGAGAGAGAGATCATTTGCTAGACAAATCACCCTTTGGTCTCCTCCTTCAAACTTGCCCTCGAACCTTTTGATCGTTCCTTGCCTGCTCCAAACCTATGGGGAACTGACGATGCCGCAACGTACTCGGGTAAGGCATGTGCATAGAGCGGTGAAGGTCTCACAGGTCTTGCAATCTTAGACCAATCCTTCTTTAACAAATATGAATAAAAATAAAATACAAAACAGCAAGAAACAATAATAGGGAAAAGGCGTCGCGCTCAAGGTTAAAGGTGTCATATTGACACGGACTACCAGGCTCCGAGTCATCCATCCATGCAAAGCTGTTGGAGACCCAGATTTGGCTCTTTTGTCTTGTCCTACACACGCACTGGAGATCTGCTTGAGTTTCATTGCCTCTTATTGATCCCCCGTCCATGACCAGCCAAATCGACCTCGGGATATGACCATGGCTGTAAGATGTGATCCCTCTTTCTCCATCGTAGGGAGAACTGACTAGTGTATGTGGGGGCAAATCGATACCGACAACCTTAAAAAGTGAAGGAGAGAAGAAAAAAGGGCATGCGGCTTGTCTGCGTGGCTCGTTCCGTTCGGCAGCAGCCGAAGTGCAGCGCCAGCCTGGCGTGGCGATGGGGCTTGAGTAGAGTGAAAAGTGTGTAACTACTCAAGAAGCGACCAGGACAAGTGCTATATTTGTCTGGCCCGTCCTGTGTCTCATTTCTCTTTCTTTCTCTTATCCTTTTCTCGAAACACATAATTGGCTACAAAGGTAGCATTGTTGTCGTCCTTCTCAAGATCATCATCATCATCATCATTATCATCCTCCTCCTCTTCCGGTCCTTCTAAGTAAACGGGCTGTTTTCATCAATGGTTCGCCCAGTGTATGTTTCAGTATGGGCATTTAATCATGGGCACCGGTCAATTGTCTAAAGCCTCCATTCCTCTCGAGATCTTCTCAGCCGAAAAAGGGAAGAACAAAATGAGGAAAGAACCAAGGATGGATGACTAAACATGGCTCAGTATTGTATAGCCAGTCCACTAATGGCAGGGTTGACCCCCCACCCAAACGGCGCCCATGTGTGGCGCTTCGACTACGCGAAAACAACGCTTGTGTCAGAATGATGATGGAGAGGTAGGTGCGGCTTTTGTGCGGAAACCACAACCAGTCAAATCATCAACCAGGAGACCTGTTTATATTTCAAATGCCTGATCACAAATTCTCATATTCTCTTGATGGAATGGTCCAGAACAAATTAGCAGCCTGTGATGATTAGCATGTGCTGTCTGTGTCGCTCCTTCATCATAAAGTCTGCCGCTGGCTTCCTTGTTCCTGAACGAGTCGCCACTTCTTGTCGTCAATGTTCAGCCACACATATAACGACCCCTTGAAACAAACACCACCAACCACGCTTCCATCTCTGGACAACCGCTCCATCGCAGCCCGTTCCGTATTCCAGTTCAGGTACTGCAGCAGAGGAGCTGGAAAATCAGGATAATAGGCTCTGTGCAGATTTAATCTCACCGGCAGAATTGGCACCCGCCAATTGCACTGCCGTACGACATTGTACCGACCCAATCCATCACATCACTTACTCTACACGAGACCACAAGCCTTACCCGTCGTCGCCCTGGTTAAGTGTCGCACGCACCACGGTCAAGATGCCCTCCTCTTTATCTAAGCGGGCCCCCGGGTCGAGCAGTGGTGGTCGTGGTGGTCGTCATCCTCCTCAGCAGTCCGGTGCCTCTGTCGTCGTCAAGACCTCTTACAGTGTCTCGAATCTGCACTGTCCCACTTGCGTCACAGCCATCAGACATGAACTGATGGAGGCCTTTGGCGACAAGGTCCTATGGGTCTCGCCAAACATCGTCACTTCAGTCGTCACCGTGGAACATGATTCATCCGTCAAGATCAAGAAGATGGCTGATGTCTTGACCGACGCCGGCTACGAGGTTTCTGGCGTCTCTACCTCTGCTGATGATTCAGAAGATGCCTCGTCTCAGATCAACAACGCCACAGCCGCATCCCTACACGATGGACAAGCCACAGAGACCCGTCCTGCACCCTACAAGACACTCTCTACATGGTTGTCAGGGGATCACTCCCAGTCGGAAGCCGCCCGTGTTCATCTCTTAAACTGTGAGCAGTGCCGCAATTCCCAAGGCACATCTACAAAGCCATGTCACGACCAACCACATGGTGGTGCCGCTTCGCCACCAGCTTCGTCGTCTTCAGCCGGTGCCCAGCACCCGGAGGGAGCAGCCGCACAGAAACCCAACGACATGTCTCTTGTCACGGTGGATTCGGACGACAGTAGCTCAGCTGACAAGCAGTTATGGCGGGCGAGCCTGGCCGTGGGTGGCATGACATGCGCTGCCTGTATCAACAACATCAAAGGCACACTCGACGAGTTAGATTGGGTGACAGAATCCGCAGTCAATCTCCTGTCCAACAGTGCGACCGTTGAGTTCTACGGCAAGGGACATGCCGACGATATAGTGGAGGCCATTGAGGACAGCGGCTACGAAGCACACCTGGACAGCGTCGAGCCAGTCGAGAGCGAGCAGGCTGAGACTCAGGAGAGGACCGTCGAGATCCTGCTGGGTGGCATCTATTGCTCACACTGCCCTGGCCGGGTGATCAGCAGTCTCGCTGGTTTCAGGCGACAGATCGACATCATCACCGAGCCCACCCAAGCAAAGCCAATCATGAAGATTGCTTACGTGCCCGAGGCTCCCAACTTTACCATCCGACACATACTGGCAGCTGTGGAGGCCGGCGACCCAGCCCTGCAGGTCTCCATCTACCATCCGCCCAGCCTGGAGGAGCGATCCAAGATGGCACAGCACCAGCACCAGCGTCGGCTGCTCTACCGGGCCATATTCACATTCATCGTAGCCATACCAACATTCATCCTCGGCGTTGTCTACATGTCCCTCATCCCAGACCCCAATACCTCCAAGGACTTCCTGACGAGACCATGGGTCTCGGGCATCAGCCGCGCCCAGATCGCCATGTTCATACTGGCGACCCCTGTCTATTTCTTCGCGGCCGATGTGTTCCACACCCGAGCGCTCAAAGAGATTAAGACCCTCTGGAGAAGAGGGAGTCAGATGCCCATCCTGCGACGATTTTATCGATTTGGCAGCATGAACACCCTGATGTCCCTGGGCACGACAATCGCATATGTATCTTCGGTAGCACAGCTCATTGCAGCCGGCGTCAACAAGCCTGATCATGTGAACGACCAGGAATTTTATTTTGACTCGGTAGTGTTCTTGACCCTCTTCCTGCTCGTCGGAAGATGGATCGAGGCGTACAGCAAGTCCAAGACCGGAGACGCGGTCACAGCTCTTGGCAAGCTGCGTCCCACAGAAGCCGTGCTTGTCGAGCGCAAGGACGAAGGCAAGACGGAGGACAAGGTCGTCAAGGCCGACTTGCTCGATTTCGGTGACACAGTCCGCATACGGCACGGCGCATCACCGCCAGCGGATGGTATCGTCGTCGAGGGTGAGACCAGTTTTGATGAGTCCAGCCTCACCGGGGAGGCTCGACTTATCAAGAAAGGTCCCGAGGATGCTGTTTATGCTGGTACCGTCAACAAGGACAAACCAGTCGTCATCCGGATCACTGGCGTGGCCGGCACTTCGATGCTCGACCAGATCGTCAAGGTTGTCCGGGAAGGTCAGACCAAGCGTGCCCCCATGGAGCAGATCGCAGACGTCCTGACCACTTATTTCGTCCCTGTGGTGACCCTGATCGCCATTGTCACTTGGCTCATCTGGATGATTCTCGGGCTCAGCGGCGTAATCCCTAACGACTATCTGGACGTCACCTCGGGCGGCTGGGTCGCCTTCTCCCTGCAATTTGCTATTGCCGTCTTTGTGGTTGCCTGCCCCTGCGGTCTGGGTCTTGCCGCACCAACGGCCATCTTCGTCGGCGGCGGACTCGCTGCTAAGCATGGGATCCTCGCCAAGGGAGGAGGTGAGGCCTTTGAGAAGGCGAGCCGGATCGACTGTGTTGTTTTCGACAAGACAGGTACCCTCACTGAGGGCGGCCTGCCGAGCATCACAGACTCGACCATCTTTCCTGATCCCGGCGCGTTCTCCAAAGAGCAGACGTCAACCATGCTGGCCGCCCTGAAGGCTGTTGAAGAGAGCAGCAGCCATCCCATTGCAAAGGCCATCGTGTCGTTCTGTGCTGAGAGGGAGCTTGACCCCAACGTAGACACCACAGATGTGCAGGAGGAACCTGGCAAGGGTTTGAAGGCAACTTTCTCGAGTGGAGAGACTCATGAGATGCTGGTCGGCAACGAAGCCATGATGAAGGACCACGGGGTCGAGCTCTCAGAAAAGGTCGTGTCCATGACTGACACATGGAAAAAGGAGGCCAAGTCCATTGCCCTTGTCGCCATGAGGTGCACATCGTCATCAGAGCCACATTTCAAGATCGCCGCCGCCCTTGCCATCTCTGACCCCATCCGCCCCGAATCCGTCGATATCGTTCAATCTCTTCAGTCTAGGGGCACACGCGTGTGGATGCTCTCTGGCGACAACGAGGTGACAGCTCGCGCCGTCGCAACCCTCATCGGCATCCCGTCGGACCAGGTCATCTCGGGCGTCCTACCCACGCAGAAGGCAGACAAGATCAAGTACCTGCAGTCGACGCTGAAGGCCCGCCGCGGCAGTGACAAGAATAAGGAGGGAGAGGAGGCCTCGACACGTGCCACGGTCGCCATGGTCGGCGACGGCATCAACGACAGCCCAGCGCTCACACAGGCCGATGTCGGCATCGCCATTGGCTCCGGCTCCGACGTAGCCATCAGCTCCGCCGAGTTCGTGCTTGTCAAGTCGGACCTCTGGAGCGTCGTCACGCTGCTCGATCTGTCCCAGGCCGTCTTCACTAGGGTTAAGGTCAACTTTGCCTGGGCCCTGGTATACAACATGGTCGCGGTCCCCATCGCTGCCGGCGTGCTGATGCCCATCGTCTCGAATGGGAGCCATGTCCGCCTAGACCCGGTGTGGGCGTCTCTCGCCATGGCGCTCAGCAGCATCTCGGTCGTGACAAGCAGCCTCGCGCTGCGGAGCGGCATCCCGGGCCTTGGCTTTCGGGAGAAGTCGCATGGGAGGAAGGATAAGAGGGAGAGGGGGAATGGGAGCGAGGGTGTGCCGTCGGACAAGGCCAGGCTTTAGGCGCGCCTCTACCTGTGGCCTCGATTTGGACTGTTGCATAATTTTGATCTGAACATGGGCTCGAGGGACTATGCGGGGGGCACGAGAAGACGGCAGCGGTTCAGACCATACGGAGGGTCAGGGCGTTTTGGGTATTAATGTGGGCAAGAGTCTTATGGCCTCATCTACGCTCATTTTATCTTTATCTTTCAGATTATATGGTGCTTTAGATACCCAGCGGTGCGTTCCTGCTATCAGGAATAGGAATACATAACGTTATTAAGCGATTAATTAAACACAACCAGCGCTATGTACTTTTTAATTTATTATCCAGTCATTGTACTGTACTCCTGTTGCAACGATGGTGATTTAGTGGACATGACCTTAGATTAAAAAAGAAAGAAAAACATCATCAGCGCCTCTTAGCAGATACACAACGGGCAGCATTGCGTCTCCAAGCCCTTTCCTACACACAATGGTAGATCTGGTGGCAAGACAGAGCCAATCGAGAACGCAGGCTACAATATCTTGGTGAGAGTGAAGGGATATGTCTACTCATACGCGATATTGAAGCAGACAGACCACTCGACACCACATTCACGACCCAGGGATCTGTTGCGGCCTCTCGAGTTGGGTTCCGCCCTCGCGCGGTCTATCTCATCGCATCACGATGAGCCTGTATCATAAATAGAGACGGTTTGTCTGGGCTAAACCAGTTAAACCTTCTTTTCTTCCGCTCGCTTCGTTCAGACACCGAATCGACCACTCCTTTGTTTCTTCCTTTCTTCGCAACAACCAGAAGCCGGCATCCTTACACTTTATGCTGTCGTGTGCATGTGAGGGTTGTTATCCCACACTACCAGCAACGGTCAACCTCTTGCCGCTTGGGGGCCAGAACCGCGTCGCAATAGTCCGTTCAACCGACCCATCGTGGCCCTTGGGCTCGATAAACGTCTCTTTCTGCGTTATGAAAGCTAGAGCAAGTCGGTCGAGGAGGAAGGGAAGGTGGTGAGACAACGAGCTCCAAAGGCTATGAGAGTTGAGTCCTGGATACCACCCAAACTGTGCGGTATTGGCAGCTGCCCACTATGGATTAATCTAGCAATGGATTGGGGATTGGCGACGCCTTTGCGAGATCTCGTAACTTAGCACTGGCAGGTCATTGAGCCGGCTCTCCTCTCTTGCCGGGTGGCATTTGAATCAGTATTTTGCACTATTGCTAGCTTTGGCCTTTTACATTTCTCTGTCGCACCGAGCTGATCGAAGGGAAGGGTGGAGGTTGTCTCTGCTGACCCAGCAGGCCGAGGGTATCATATCGAGCCCGCGATGTGAATGGGTTGCATATGATTGTCTGTTGTGCCTTGCCTACTCTAGTCCCTGCAGCCAGCGGGCTGGATCAGCGTATCAGGATCATTGATGGGCATGCAAATCCAGTTTTGCAGATGGCTGGCCTGTACTTTTGTGCTATACTTGCCAGAGTCTTGCACGATACTTCTGCACAACAAGGGTCTGATGATTTCTATGTAGATAATTAATAAGCTTGAAAATTATTTACGTATGAGGTGGGCGATACTGTCTTTGGAGGTGTGTGCTCGAGATTCTAAGCAAGTTCTTTGCAAGCAAGCTGTCTCGTGTGTACTTGCAATTATTCACTAAATAAACCTGTTCACATAATGGAACCGGCGTTGTCAAATGAGAAACCCAGGTTTGAGATTCTATTGAGCAGTGTGGATTAGTCATGATCTATAATCAGAATAATATTTTGTCCACCTGAGCAATTTGGCTACTGTCCTTCCAATTCAGGCAGCAGCCTTGCAAAATTTCTTTTTTTTGAAGAGATCCAAAAAATTAGAGTAATATATGGTTGCCTTGGATGAAGATAACATGATTTAGCCACAAGCTTGGAAATCATACGTTCGCCCCTGAAGGTCATTGCAAACCTACAAATAAGTAGCAATTGACAAATCTTCAGGAAGGCGAATGGGCGTATGGGGACCGATTTGATCGAATCAAGATGTGCGGCTTCCACGACAATCCGAAGTCTCTCTCTCTCTCTCCCTGTGGAGTTCAACGACTACCTAGGACACCATGAGTACCTGAAGTAAACATAAAGCAATTACTTGATAGTAGTACTCGATATAACACCGAACACGTCTCCCTGGTTCCCCTTTGCCTGATTAACACTAAACTGATTTAAATACCATGTAGATCAAGACGTTAATTGCTGTAAAATGGTCCGCCAATTGTGTTATACTGCTCCTTCGTGGCAAGAAACCAGAAATTGGAGACACTGGGCTGAGCGAAAGCAACCCTGATGATTCTTTCTCTACATCTGCTTATTGATCAACTAGTGCACAGCAGGGCCTCTCCGTCCGCTTCTTTCTCTACTGCATCAGAAAAGGGTAAAACGAATGCTTGTAATTTGACACCCCCCAATATCTGCAGCCACATTCTGGCCTCATGAAAGAGTGCAACTTTGTGTGTACCGCCCTGGTACTGCGAGGAGTCGTCAGGGGGGTCTCGGGAAGGCGTAAGCTTTTGGTCACATTAACCCTCTCTGACTGTGCTGTGCGACATCTGGGGAGTGGTCAATCTAGGTGATAGGGCTTCTGTGTAACGGATCAGGTCATCAAAAGAATTAGCTTAAAAAGGCATTATTATCATCATTAATACATGACATGTCATAATACTCGTTCTGTTTTCCCGCAAAGCTCAAGCTCCCATCCCGGCTCTGCCGATTCTAGGGCCTTCTTAGCGGGGCCCGATTCCACTCAGATATGTTCCTTCCTTTTTCTTCTCGTCATTCTAAAACCTGAGTTGTGATAGCCTAACTGTTTGCTATGGTAGGGCGGTTACTTCTGAACGGGCTAATGTCTCCGGTGGTGGCATGCTGAACCAGCGTCTTGCAGATCGCTAAACTAGGAGAGTTTATCTGTACTTTTCCTTCCTCCAAGCAGGTCAACATTGGTTTCCGTTCAGTGGTTTTGGTGGCTTTGCTCACGTATCACAGTCGCATACTTTTTAGTTGTTACATGTATGATGATGAGGGGGGGATTGATACCTCTGTGGAGACACCTTTGGCACTTATTATGCCATATTTGCAGATCACCTGCATGCAGTGGTTTTGCAAGCGGGTAATGGACAGTTCCAACTTGAGTTATGCGCCTGAAATTCTGCGTGCACAAGAATGGCTTTATGTGGACCTTGCTGCTCTTTGGAAGCCCAGTTACCGGAACGGGAATTAGCATGGCCAAAATAAATCAGCGGAAGATGCCACGAAGGGAGGGAGGGACAGAGAGAGGAGAGAGAAAGAGAGAGAGAGTGTGTGTGTGTGTGTAGGGGCAAAAAGTAAATTTGAACCTAATTTCTAAGGGGGGGGGGGCCTCGGTAAAGTCCGGGCACATTCGTCTAACATGATTGTTCTTATCAAGGTGATCTGTAAGGAGATAGCTGCAATATGAGTCTGTATAGACTGACTATTTGTAAGTCTCGGACAAGAAATTATGAGGAGAGAGAGAGACAAGAAAGAAAACCTTTTTTGGTCTTTAAAGAAGGCCCTATGTGTCTTAAAGATGACGAGAGAAGACGTTATGGCATTATGGCACACAAGTAAGTTGTGAGGGTGATTCTGAAGAATGAGTTGCCAAGCATTCCGGAAGCTGGGGGCTGGGATAGGGAGACACTTCAGGCCAGCACGGAGAGACTTCCCGTACCGTGTCAACTCAGCTGCACTGGTGTGCTCCAGCTGTAGTCAAGGTGCCCTGTAGGCTGAGTAACAAAGTAAATTTGGAAGCTTAAAGAGAGAATTAGGGTCATCGTCCTAGCCTACCTTCTAGACCAGACACTGGGGAACTCGTCTGTTTGCACAAATGGTGGCGGGCAGGGGGCCTTGGAATGAGAATAGGTAGTGTGCACCACAGCCATGGATCAGCGCTGAGGGCAGCATGAAACAGGCCAACCTTGCCTAAAAGCCCTCTCTCTTTCACTCACTCACTCACTCACTGCCTCCTTCCCTTTTCAAGTGGCACTGCATCATACACAGGTGGCCGTCCTTCTCTTTTCACCTGCATTTCTACACCTTCACACCTTTGACACTCTGGATGCATTCAAGGGCCAACCTCCTCCCCCAACACTGATTATTCACACCCTGGACCCTATGATTTCTTATTCAGATAATTGTGTCGTTTGAAAATTCTGAGCCTCTACATAGAAATCTCAGCTCTGACGGCAACCCAATCCATATCCAGTTCTTTCCCAGTTTTGATTTGTGCAAAGGCCCAAGCCATTACTGCTCTCAACCAACCACCTCATCCAACTTCTTCCACTTCGATAACCACCACCACCACCCAAAGAGAAAATAGTCCTATCCTCCTGTCGCTCCTCTGTGTCACCGTTTCCCAAGAACACACAATCTCCGCCCCCTCCCCCCAACCTCTTTCTTCCTTTATCGCATTCTCAGTGATTGTGCCTCTGCAACGTCATCTTCATTTCTACATCCACACTCTCAACTCCTTTCCACGACCCCTTTCCTGACTGCAGCTGCATATCTACCGTGGTGTGCTCGCCGCCCAACATGAGCAATCAAGACGCGCGCACTCAGCGCAACTCGGCCAAGCGCGAGACTAAAGAGGCTGTTTCTAGCGTCTCTGAGGTTGTTGAGTTGGAGGACAAGTACGACGTCAACGAGGATATCAAGAAGGACATCCAGCACGGTGTCGCCCAGCCCTTGAACGAGCTCGAGGAGCACGTCAATGACCTCGATAACTCTTGGGAGACTGAGTCTCTTCTGGCTGAGTTGCTCGACGGTTTGACTGATGATAACACTCACGGCAGTAAGCTATTTCCCTTACTATGCCCCCCCCCCCCTTTCCCTTATAAGACATTGTGTGTGTCTTTATGTGCTTTCCCCCGTCTTGCCCGATATCGCGCACAGCACAGCCCTACAGCCAGCACTTTTTCTTGTGGCGCCTCCTCTAGTGGTGATGGTGGTGGTGTTGGGCTCAGTAGCTGATGGTGCCACTGCTTCCAGATCCTAACTTCTGCACGCCTGATGAGGCAGTCAACTTCCGCCAGCAGCTTCGTGCCCTGGGTCCTGAGGAGTTTTGTCGTCGTACTATTGATTCTGGTTATATTTCGGCTAAGAAGCTCCTCACTGCCTTTGGCGTCCGACCCCCTGACTTCCTCGAGGGTCATCCTGATCAGTCCTACCGCAGCCTGCTGATCCTTGCCATCACCCGCGAGCTGGCCAAGAGGGCCAAACTGTCCACGTACAACTCAGTCGACGATGCTGTCGAGCTCCTCCAGAAATCCAAAAACATCATCGTCCTGACCGGTGCTGGCATCTCCACCTCGCTGGGCATACCTGACTTCCGCTCTGCCGGCACCGGTCTCTACTCGAAGCTCCACCACTTGGGCCTCGACGACCCCCAGGAAGTCTTCAACATCACTGTCTTTAAGGAGGACCCTTCCATCTTCTTCTCGGTCGCTCGAGACATCCTGCCAGAGGCTGAGCGTTTCTCGCCCACCCACAAGTTCATTGCGCTGCTGCAGGAGAAGGGCAAACTCCTGACCAACTACTCGCAGAACATTGACAATCTTGAGTCCAAGGCTGGTATTTCTCCTGACAAGTTGATTCAATGGTAAGCCATCTTCTCTCGAGTCTCGCTTCCCCCAAAATCTCGTCCACTAAGCCAAGTCTCTCTCTCTCTCTCAGCCACGGCTCCTTCGCCACCGCCACCTGCATCCAGTGCGGCCACAAAGTGCCAGGTGATGCCATTTTCGGCGAGATCAAGGCCGGAAAGATCCCCTATTGCCCCGTCTGTGCCGTCCCACGCCGCACCACCAAAAACAGCAGCCGCAAGCGCAAGATTGTGCGCGACGGCACCGAGAAGAAGGTTCGCCGCCGGCCCGGTGACTACGATAGTGCCAGCGACTCCGAGTACGACATGCCTTCCAAGGGCGGCATCATGAAGCCCGACATCACCTTCTTCGGCGAGGCTCTTCCCGACGCCTTCAGCCGCCGCCTGGTCGAGGAGGACCGCTTCAAGACCGACCTCGTCGTCGTCATCGGCACCAGCCTCAAGGTCGCCCCCGTCAGCGAGCTGGTCCCTTTTATCCCGCCGCACATCCCCCAGATCTACATCTCGAGGACCCCGGTGACCCACCACAACTTCGACATCGACCTCCTGGGCGACTGCGACGTCGTCGTCGCCGAGCTCTGCAACCGCGCCGGCTGGGACCTGCAGCACGACATGATCCCCGACGACCAGGTCATCGACATCAGGTCCGACCCTGCCTGGGGCAGCCGACATGTCTTCAGCGCCCACCGCTCCGGCGACGAGGATGGTGCTGTCGCTGCCGCTGCCGCTGCCGCCGCCGCCGCTTCTACTGCCACCTCGTCGGTCAAGAAGGCGGCCACTGATCGCCGTGGCGCTGCTGCAGCCTCGAGCACTCCTGGCCGCAGGAAGGTCCTGGCCTCCACGAGCAGCAACGGCAGCGGTGACGGTACCAGCAACGGTGTTGCTGTCAAGACTCGCAGCGGCCGTCGGAGTGGCCGTGCCAGCCCCAAGTGAGCACCGAGCTTCCGTCACAACCTTGGGAACTAAAAGCAAGTCGAGTGAGCCACGACGATAGTTTCGGCGCAAGACTGTCGATGTTTTTCACTACGCATACTTTTGTCTCAGCTGGCATGATTTTCTCTGTGTGCTCAACCCACCCAGCCTCGCACATAGTAGTAACGCTTGCGAAAAGATGAAAATTGTGTTTCTTTTGGGCCCCTCGGGGGGGGGGGGGGCAGGCTTCCACAGCCTGTGTGTGACCACTTCCTATTTTTCCCACATGACCTCGAGTTGTATCCAGCACAGCCCCTGTTTTGTTCTCTCTTTCTTTTCCTTTTTATGATCTCCTCTTTTACAATCACAAGGTATAGAGGAACTTAATGATGATGAGGGTCAGCAAAACATTTGAATTTCCTGTTTCCTTTACCACATGGTGTTCCTTGCAAGGCGTTGGACGGTCATCTCGTGAAGGTATACCTTGCACCTAGCAACGTATCCCTCCTTCAGACAAATGTTTTTTGTTTTGTTCTAATATTCTCTCCCCTTCCCCGTCCACGAATCGTCGAAGATCATCAGAATGGCGTGTGAATTGGACCAGGGCGGCGGTTTGGGTCCGTGGGTCTGCCCTGTTTACACGCACAAGTTACATCTGAGGGAGAGCACCAACGTACATGCATGAGGCTGCTACCGGCGTTTAGCTTCTTTAATAGATCATTGGTCTACATTTTTTCTCTTATGACTTGTGTTTCGTTTGTGATGGCCCGAGAACAGGCTGAGGGCCAGGAAAAGGATCTTGAGGATTTCTGTTACGGATTGCACAGCTTGCACGGGGAGAAGTTCACAAGCCACGGCCTCTCCAAGAGACTCGCAAAGTGGGCTTGATGTAATCGTTCCTCTTCTCTCTCCTTATGACGATGTGTATCGTCCATGACGATTCTCAATGGTATGATCATATCCTCTTGCTTCGGTCTATCCAATGGACTGCCATCACAGTAGGCTCTGGTATTTGTCCAATCCACCCGTCGGCGCACTCTGTTGCGATTGTTGCGCCTGCTGCTGCTGCTGCTGCTGCTGAGCAGCCATTCCACCACCACCCATCATACTACTCATGCTCATCCCAGAGCCACTACCCATCGGCTTATTCACCATGCTGCTCATACTACTCATGCTCAAATTGCCACTGCCCATCATTGACCCCATCGACCCCGCTGGTCGACCGAACGTTGATGTCTGTTGTTGTTGTTGCTGCTGCGCGGTAGGTGGCGCCAGGCTGAACGCAGAGGCAGGGCTGGCTGTGCCGCTGCCCGGTGGTGGAGGTAAGGAGAATGCCGACGTGGAGCGATTGAGCGTGCTCATGGCAGGCCGCTGCTGGTTCATCGAGAGCGAGGCCATCGAATTGTTGAGTCCGCCGCCGCCGTAGTTTGTGCTTGGTGGTGGAGAGATGGTGCTCCTGCTGGGTTGTAGAGAGGGCGTAGTCGATGAGGAAGACCACGGGTTAGCGGTCGCGCCGCCGGCTGCTGACCAGTTGACGGAGGTCGACGTCGATGGCTGCGTGGTCGGGGGAGGAGGAAACGCAGATTGTGTGGTGCTCGGCTGGAGAGGTTGGGAATATTGTGTCGAGGAGGGCGTCAGGGTTCCAAAGGAGGCCAGATCGGGAGTGACGGTCCGGAAGGAGCCCTGCTGAGCTTTGAGTCCCCCTACTGAGTTTGCAAGAGCTGCGGTTGTGGGGCTGGGCGTGGACCAGGAGAATGCCGCTGTTTGCGATGCAGTTGCCGCTGGGTTCCTCAATCCCGGTGACCCTACCGAGGATCGGGGGGCCGTTTCATCCCAGCCAGTGGCGTCCATGGGATTGGCGCTGCTATTGGCACCCGACTTGCCCTTAACGAGTCTTTCAAAATCGTCTTCGGTGCCTCCTGTCGCGACGTCGAATTCCGTCCCGCTGATACCCCCAAATGACATAAAGTCGTCTGCGGGCCCTGCAGCAGAGCCGTTGGTCACGCCAGAAAGCTCCTGTAGCTTTTTCGTCTGCTCGTCTTCGACCTTTCTCGACAGGGTTTTAACAAGGTCCATGAAACTTTGGAACTGCTTCAGGTTGAGTAATGGTCCCAGACTCATTTGCCAGAGAATCGGCAGAATGTCCATTGCGATGAACTCTGGGTCTGCGTAGTCGCCTACGACCCTCAGCACGTTCAAAGCTTCCATCATCACCGCCGGCTCTTTGGTCTTGATCACCTTGATTAATGGTACGATCTTCTCTTGCATGGTGTATTTGTCAAGTGCCGTCGAGGAGGAAGCCTTCTTGCGCTCGCCGTCCAGTCCATCCAGACCACCACTGTCGGCCGAGTCCGAGGACCCTCCGCAGAGAACCACAAAGGCTTGCAGGCCGCGCACTTTAATAGCAAGACTGGTGGTTTTGCTGAAGACATGAGCGATGACTGGAAACAGCTCATTCTTTATTGTGCTAAAGTCCAGCACGGGCAAGACGACGGGTAAGCTACGGAGAGCAGCGTCTACCACAGAATGCGTCGGGGCTGCAATAGCCGCTCCAACCACGGGCAGCATGTCTAATACATCGCAAGTCAGTCATCATCACCACCGGCCGGAGAGAGAGCATAATTTAAGTAGTCCTACCGTCTTTGAACTCCTTGCCAGGTGTATTGTTGGCAATAGTGGATATGTTCTCCAGGACGACCATCAACCCAGCGTCTCGCTGAGGATCCTTGTCCTCGGTCTGCTTCGCATTCGTGACGAATATGTCTTTCAGGACTGGTCGGACCTTATCGGTGAATGCTCGTCTCCCTGATGGCAGAAGATCGATGATCTTGAAGACGTTGCCGAGGATGAGAGATAATAATGCCTTGTCCTTGGTTTCATCGAGAAGTGCCGGAAGTAGTTTCTTTTCCATCACCGACTTCGGGAACGAGGGAAGAACTTTGCTTAAGCCCCTCAGGAAAGACTGCTTTTCATTGGGCGTCTTTGCTGGGAAGGCCTCGATAAATCGAATCGTAGACACCAGTATGTTGTCGAAGAATTCCGTCTCTTGAAATTCCTTGGCCGTGAGGCGCTGTGCCGGCCGCCTGGTAATGAGTCGTGGGAGTACATGCGCAACTAGATCCTTAGGAAGTGGTCTGGAAGATTGGAAGTTGTTGTTCACTGTGGGTATCGTGGAACTGGATTGGAAGAATCGTTTGTATGAGGACAGGCTGGAGTTGCATTCCAGAGGAGATTTGTGAGGCGAATTATATAGTGCAACGCAGAGGATGCCGAGAGAGAACATGTCGGCTGACACATTGAGGTTGTTGTCCAGCACAAAATCTGGGGACGTGTAATCGAGGTTGAGCTGGAGTGATCGCGGTAACCTCGGATCCGGGTTCAGGATCTCGTAGAGGCTCATCGGTTGGAACGAGGTCGGCTTCGAGGAGTTATCGGGAGGACTGCAGAAAGAAAGACCACTAATCTTCCAGTCGGACTGCTCATTGTCAGTTCATTGTCCAAGTTGGATTTATCTAAAACCCTTTCTTGTCTCTACCCAACGCACCTTGGCATTAATGAGAATAGCCTCAGGAGTGAGGTTGCCGTGGACAAGGCCGGCGTTCTCGTGGAGGAATTCTAGTGCCTTGCTGATTTGCAGGAGGCCTTTTTGTATCTCCAGTTCGTCAATCTCGATCTCGCGCCTCCTTCTTGTTCCGTCCGAGTCCTCAGTCACATAGCGACTCGAACGCCCTCCAACACCACTTGCTCGTTCTTGGTCATCCTTCTCTTGCAGCAAGCTAGCCAGCGATGCCGTGACAGGCTCGGTCACGAACTGCAAGCCACCACCCCTCGTCTCCTCTACCGGCTCGACAAGTTCGAGGATGCTCGGATGGCGCAGCTTGGCAAGCGACGAGGCTTCCTTCTTCAACCTCTCGACCACCTCTTCAGTGACCTTCTTGAACGCAGATGCGCTCGACCGTCCCAACGAGGAGCCATGCGAGTCCAGCAGCTTCTTGTCGAAGATGAAGACCGAATAGACCTTGCCCGTATTTTTTCTCTTCGCGTCGTGTATCCTCCAGGGACCGGCTTGTGAAGTCGCATGTTGGGAGACGGTATAATTCTGGCTGATATTCGTGCCCTGAATGGACTTCAGGGCAGAGGAGAACATGGACGACATCTTCAAGTTTCGGGAATGGCGTCTGTCATGGTCGTCGCAGAAAGACAGTGGACGAGTTTCGCGCACGGCTCGAAAGTGTCATCACATGCAGGAAGCAAGTAGTCGCGTTTCGTTGATGGATTCGTGTTTAATTTCCAAGAGCCGCGCACCCAAGCACCACGGAGAGGGTTGGAATTTTGGCCGAGTTGGTCCAGAATTCGCCTGTCTAATAATTTGTCGCAATTTTATGCAGAGATAAGGCAAGGCTCTCTCTCTCTCTCTCTCGGCCACGCGCTCAGAAGGATCAATGAAGAACAAGAGATTCAGAATGGTGTCCTTTTCAGAGAGAAAGAACAGCCAAGTCAGCACTTACTAGATACTCCCGGAACATCCAATTTTGGGCTTCAATCGCATACAAGCTATCCACCTTGGCCAGGGTGTTATCGAAGCTCCCTGGGCTTATCTAAGACGCCTGTGACAGAGCCTAGGTCCCTCTGGCACCATACCCAGCCCTTGCGGTTACTAGCGGCCCTTCAGCGCCGGTCCAGGAGCTTTCGCAGGGTCCTTGCACCCAAAAGTCTGAGCGCCGACTCACCACTCCAGCGCTGGCAATTGACGATTGCACTGCGCCAGCCTCCGATCTACACTCCGATCATTTTCGACTTTCCCGCCCACGAGCAAACCAGCGACCAACGACGCCGTAGAGTCACAATTCAAGCTCTAAAGTCCTATTAAGTGGAGGATTTCGCTGTGTCAAAGTGTCCGCTCACTGCTGAATTTCAATTGATATATTCTGACGCTTCTCTTCTAGTCAATTGGCTGGATCTATATTTCTCGTTTTCTCAGAATAATTTTGTGCTGTACTGTTGGTGACCGCCCTTCACCGTACTGGCCGCAATCCTCTCTTCCCCTCCTCTCTCCACCACGATATAATTCGCGACGATCCAGTCCTCACAAGATGCGCGCCTCGATCGCTCGCTGTGGCGTCCTATCGGGATCGTCCCAAATCTCTCGTTCACTGCTTCAGAGGTCATGGCAGACCGGGAGAAGGTGTTACAGTATCAAGCCTGAAGCAGCTTCTACCTCCAAGCCTCAAGATGTCGACGCCTCCAAGCTCGTCATAGAAAAGACCAAGACCCCAAGCAAACTCAAGGACAATAAGGAGCTCATCTTTGGCCAGACATTTACAGGTAAGGCCCCTCTAACCAACATACTTTTGATCCGGGGCACCACAGAAAACTAAACAACTTTTGCCCCCCGCCGTAGACCACATGCTGTCGATCGAGTGGAACAAGAACTCGGGCTGGCTGAACCCACAAATTACTCCCTACCAGAACCTCGCCCTCGACCCGGCGACCTGTGTTTTCCACTACGCCTTTTGTGCCTTCGAGGGAATGAAGGCCTACAAGGACGCGCAGGGCAGGATCCGACTCTTCCGGCCCGACAAGAACATGGAGCGCTTCAACAACTCAGCCGCGCGTATCGCCCTGCCGACCTTCTCCTCCACCGCCATGATCGAGCTGATCGCAAAGTTCGCCAAGCTTGAGGAGCGCTTCATCCCCAGCGAGCACGGGTACTCGCTGTACATCCGCCCCACCATCATCGGCACCCAGAAGACCCTGGGCGTCGGCCCACCCGGCTCCGCGCTGCTGTACGTGATCGCCAGCCCCGTGGGTCCTTACTACCCCACCGGCTTCAAGGCCATCTCCCTCGAGGCGACCGACTACGCTGTGCGCGCGTGGCCCGGTGGTGTGGGTGACAAGAAGCTTGGCGCCAACTACGCGCCGTGCATCGTGCCGCAGCGCGAGGCGGCGAGCCGCGGTTTCCAGCAGAACCTGTGGCTCTTTGGAGAGGAGGAGTACGTGACCGAGGTGGGCACAATGAACATGTTTGTGGCTCTCAAGAACAAGGAGACGGGCCAGAAGGAGCTGGTCACCGCGCCGCTGGACGGAACCATCCTGACGGGCGTCACGCGCGACAGCATCCTGTCCCTGGCGAGGGACAAGCTCGCGCCCGAGGGCTGGATGATCAGCGAGAGGAAGTACACGATGAAGGAGCTCGCGGAGGCGTCGGCTGAGGGCAGACTCCTGGAGGCGTTCGGCGCTGGCACGGCGGCCATTGTGGCACCGGTGAGGACCATCTCCTGGAAGGGCCAGCTCGTGGACTGTGGGCTGTCGGAGCACGAGGAGTCGGGTGAGGTGGCTACGAGGATGAAGCAGTGGATTGAGGCGAGACAGTACGGCGAGGAGGAGCACGAGTGGAGTCATATCTGCGAATAGATCATGAGATGATAGAAATTAGGCGTCTTGGAAAAAATAGACAAAATGGTAACTCTTGGCAGAAAAGGACTTAACTCCTTGGGCATACCACACATTCAGCGTAGGTCATGGGCTAAATCACTTTGATGAGCATGGGATAGAAGTAGCAACTGCAATCCAGCAAAGATGCATGACAGTGCAGGTCCGGGGGCAACAAAAGAAATCTTTCGCGTTCAATTGATCATCTTCCCTTTTGAGTGAGGATCGGACTGTGAACAACAGCACCGTCCAAATCTATGCCGTGAACACCTCTTCCCGGTCAATAGAGCACACTCCCTCGTCAAAGCCTCTGTGCCCGGCCTGACCCGTCTAATCCATTTGCCTTTCTGTCCTCCAGCATATACTATCTCTATGCCGACAAGGCAACCGCCGTCATGATCTCCAACTCGTCGTCTATTTCTTCGAGGCGGGATCCTCCAGGATGCCCTCGGCCTCTAACCGCCTGCGAGCCTCCTCAAGAGCCCAAGTTTGTATCCTGTTGATGACACGGTTAATCAGCCAGCTATTCGCAGAAAGGCATGGGAGCAAACATCCAGCCCAGGTCTCGTCCCAAGGCACGAAGCGAACTCAACCGTGTCTGTCCTCCCCACCCCCAACCGACAATCCGCGTGCGACTCAACAACCTCCTTAGGACCGAAACCGGGGTTAAACGAAGGAAGAAAAAGACTCACGAGGTATCAGGCTTGAAGGCATACGCCACAGCAAACACCAGCAAGCTGCCGCCGAAGCCGTAGTAGGCCAGCCCCTCCCACCCCTCCTTCTCGGCCTTCTCACCAGGCTTGACGCCAAACAGCCAGCCCGTCGGCGGGTCGTACTGAGGCCCGTGGCCGGCACCTGCCCTGCGCTGCGTGGTGGAGGAGAAGCCCGCCCGGCGGCTGACAGTGGTGCGGGTGGCGGTCGATGCTTGCGCTGCCGCGCGGGCAATGGGTCGCAGGCCGCGCATGATGATGATGTGGTGGTGTTGTAGTTGTTATCGTCTCTCTTGTGCCTGCTTTCTTCTCCCCTTTTGGTCTATTGTTTTTTCCCCGAAGGCGCAGATTGTTTTCGTGTCAAATCGATGGGGAAGGGCGGTTCGATTAGGTTGGGGTGTGGATCGAAGCGGTCGTCGATGGCCCTGTTTTTGGGTGGTGACGATGTAGCTGAGGAAAGTTGGGCTGTCGTCGAGAGTGGAGATGGGTCCGGTTCTTGTTGTGACTGGACTTGGAACTTGACTGAACTGAACTGACTAGCACCGTCGTCAAGGGGCGGGTGAGGTCCGGTTTGCGGTCTTTCTTCGGGGTGCTCGTGGCGGCCGAGCAACCCCCAAAGCTCTGAAGGCCGGACAGGAGGAACCTGGGAGGGAGCTGATTCGGAACGGAACAACTTTAGTGCGATCTCGAACCTGGGCTACGGGCAGAGGGGGATGCATCATCCCATTTGATGCTTGGCAAGCCAATACTTTGAATCGATGGTGGCCCTTTCGAAGACTCGCCATTAATTCGCCTTGAACTACGACATTATAACATATAATTTGAGTATCTCCTCTGGCATAAGTTTCAGATTGCGAATACTCATGACTTCTGGTCACCTTTCTTAGCGTTGCGAGGTCAAATAGTCGATCTGAAGACATATTTAGAAAGCCTATATACTTGAACACTGGTATACCAATTTCCTTAGGACCGTGCCCCCCCCCCCCCCCCAAAAAAAAAGAGACGCCCAGCGACAGCACCCTTCTGCAGATGCTATCATCCTAAAGACTAAAGAATAGACCAAGATCATTCTCAATGTCTACCATACGCACGCTTGTCCAAGTTCATCACAATGTTCTTCACGAAGCCCTTGCTCATGCCATTCGCTCCAGCCCACCACCGCCTAGAAAATCCCACCCATCATATCATTCAAAATGCCTGCCACGTTCGGCTTCCCTTTCAGAGCAACTTCGGGCTTAATCGACGCCCTTTTCGCACTCAGCGGCACATTCTCTTTGCCCTCCGGACGGGTGCCCTGGTTCCTTTTCTTGGGCGCTTTGGTGATGCCCTTCATAGGACTTCCAATACCATCATCTACACTTCCCCTCCTCCCTGTAGCGGTGATCTGCGTCTGTGCATCCTCAAAACAGTGTGCCTCCAGCGCGTCATGCTTCATGTCATAAATCCAGCATCGAGTTTCCATCAATCCGATGAACTTGGCCAGCATCTCCTCGCACCCGCTGCCCTTCAATGTGCTCTTACTGCCCACGACAAGTAATTTCGTCTTGGCCCGCGTGAAGGCAACATTGATCCGCCGCCAGTCCTTGAGCAGGTCGCCAATGTTGCAGGCCTCGTTTGACCTGACTAGCGACAGAATCACGACTTCCTTGTCTCGTCCTTGGAATCGGTCTGCTGTGTGCATCTCAATCGCGCCATTACCGTGGCCGCGCAAGCCGTGCTTCAGGAGAGACAGCTGGGAACGGTAGTGTGTCATGACGCCAATTTCGGCTGCTGGCACACCAACAGTGAGCAGTGCGTCAACGAGCTGCACGACAATGCGCGCTTCGCATGGGTTGACGATCCGATTCCCTTTGGCTTCTTCGCGGGGTGAGGGGAGGTAGTCCGTGTTGATGAAGCTCACACGCGTTTCGGGATCAATCATGTCGCGAAGCCAGCAGGACTGGCCACTGCCGGTGCAGAAGGTGTTCGGCGTCGCTTGTGGTTGGGAGAGAACCATGTCGATATTGAAGTGGTGGCGTTGGAGCGCATTCATGTTCGGAACGTCAAGCTTGCGGAAGCGCAATTCCTCGGTCCCGCATTTCAGGTGGCCTTCGTAGATGAGGAGATTACTGAGCATCATAATGTCCTCTGACATGCGATATTGGTGCTCAAGGTTGACCACCGAGTCTGGGTGCGTGTCCGAGAGGAGCTTGAACAGACTGACATCCAGACCACCCAGCCTTGCTTCCTCGTTCTGGACCAAGGGAGGCAGCTGATTGTGGTCACCCACAAGAACGAACGTGCGCGCCATGCGGATGGGCCCAAGACAGATAGGTAGGGTAATCTGAGATGCTTCGTCGACGATGCAGTAATCGAACGTCCTCTCGTTGAAAATGGCGTGATTCGTCCCGAGGCAGGTGGTGGCCACAACAGGCGTATCATGCCACGCACTGCGGATTTCCTCAAAGGTGTCCATGGGCTCTCCGGCCAGAATGGCAAAGTCTCGAACATTAGGGTGCACCTTGGCAGGAGCCCCTAGCCTGAGAATGGGCAGATCATCGTCGTTCAGCTTCAGGAGGATGTTGTCAACGGCAGTGTGGGTATACGAAGTGAGCAAGACGCTCTTCCGCTGGGCAACGAGCGCCCTAATGATGTGAGCAATGGTTGTTGTCTTGCCTGTGCCAGGCATACCAAGCACCAAGGCGTAGTCCTTGGCGCTCATGACCTTCTCGATGGCCTTCCTCTGGTCCACGTTCAGGTTGTCTCTGTCAGAAATGGTATACTGTGTGGCCGCCGCCTTGAACTCCGGGGGCTTCAGGTCCACAACGAGGCGTCTGATCTTTTCAGAGCCAACCTGAGAGTCGGTCATGATTGACACGATGTTGTTTCGCACAAGCGCCATGCCGTTACTGAACTCATCTTTGTCAAGCCGAAACTTGAGTGGTGCTTCTTTGATCTTGCCACTTGACTGTTCCGGTCTCACGCCCTCGGGCACAACCTCCATGATACCGGCATAGACCTGATTGGTATGCTCGTCAAAGCCAGGCTGTCGAATGCGAGCATTGTGAAGTCTTCGGTCCACTGCTACGCTGATTCGCTGCTTCCTAACGGCTGTCACGAAGCCAAGGGCTAGGGCAAAATGTCCTTGCTCGTCAGAGACCACAATAGGTTCTCCGACCCCTAGCTGGGAGTCCATGAAGGAAAACCCGGGTGCTGAGTCCTCCTTGATGAAGGTGTACCGAAAACGGTTGATCTTTTGGGTGTGCAAGTCTTCGGACGCCGACCCTTCTTCGATGATAACGTTGGCAAAACACCTTCCCACCTTCTGCCGTTCGCCACTGAACATCGTCCACAGCTCACGGCGAAGCTTCTGGCTTTCCTTTTCTTCTTTGGTCAACAAATCCTCCCATTTCAAGAAGAACTCTTGGTGCGTTGGCGTCAGGTGCTTGACGCTCTGATCGAACTTATCCTTCACGCCACTTGTCTCGCCGTCGCCGTCGTCTGCAAGCTTGTGATACACAAAGCATGACGATTGAGCATAGCACTTCCCGCACATATGCTTACTCTTCTTCATTGGGGGCAATTGCACACTTCGCTCGCGGATATAGACGGCAAGCTGATTGCGCTGCTTGATCATGTGCCGAAGTTCGTTGCGCACTGCAGGTATAATCTTGGTGAGAGACGTCTCCATGTAGTACAGGATGCCGTACATGATCTCGATGTCATATCGATCCGACAAAAGCAAGTTGTATAACATGGTCTGAGCTTGGTGATTTTCGCTGACGTTTTTGCCCGTTTTGACCTCAAAGGGAACTGTCAGAGTCTTCCTTTTTTGGGCATCCTTGACTGTCACCTGGATGGTGGCATCGATGTTGCCCTTCAGACCATATAAAGGTGACCAGACGTGCTCTTCAATATCAAGCAGCTTGCTGACACAGATACTGGTCTTCTCATTGTTCCGGCCTTGCGCGAGAGCATCAGGCTTGGGGAATGATGAGATGAACCTTTCCGACCAGGCTCGAACCTCGGGCATCTTGGACGCAAGATGCTCTCGGGCGTCGGTGAAACTGACTTTGATGGTGTAGAGGTCCTCGATGTGCTTCTTCATCGCCTGGTCTATCACCTTGTTGAGAAAACCCTGATCCCATTTGTTGGCCAATAGCGCTTCCTGGAAGATCTCGTGCAGCAGTGTTCCGTACACAAGTGGTGCCGAAGCCTCACTTGTAGCCTTCACACGGTCTTGTAGGACAGCACGTCGCATGCAACTGAAAGAATCGGCCACTACTGTGGCGGAGATGAGTTGATCTGGATGGAGGATCAAGATATTTCTGCTATTGTCGATGATGCACCGACCGCTTGATTCGAAGTCGCCAATGATGTGAACAAAGGATTTGGGGCGTGCAGGCGTATCAGCCCAGTCTCCACGAAGATGCACTGTTTTGGAGCCAGGCGACCTGTCCGCCTGAACAATCAATACCAATTCCGGAGCGTCTCGGCCTCTGTCATCTGTGTAGACATTGTGGAGTACATTCGTCACCAGATATCTCTGGATTGCTGCCCGTCTTTGACTCACCTAATTATTTGCTTAGCATTTCTGGGGAGACTGAGCTATGGGTGTTTTTGAGCTATCAGACAGAACGTACAGGCAATAACGATGAAGCTTTCTGATCCACCGATTGAGTTGCAGCAAGCTCAGCGGCCTCGAAGTCAAAGTCCCCGCCAAACTCATCGTCATATATATCATCTGAACCGTCCGTGCCACTATCCACTTGTGCAGCATTTGTAGGCGCTGATATGCCGGATCGTGAACTTGGTTCTGGCTTGGAGTCCGCGAGCATGTTCTCGGCGGCCGCAAGGAGATCGTCATCAATATCACCGAACTCATCATCATCGAGCAATGTCTCCTGCTCCCTTCGAGATTCCTCCGTAGGCATGGGTTGGTCAGCAGCCATGCGACGTCCTTCCTGCACCTGTTCACTAAGCAAGGAAGCATCAATTTCCCAGAGGGCGTCGTCGTCAAAGGTGTCGTCTCCATAATCCGAGGTAGGGGTGTCGTTATCTTCCTCATCCATTTGCTGAGCTTGGTCCGTCGTCACTGCTGATATTTTTGCCTGTGAAGACCGTAACGACCCCGCTGCCTCGGCACACCATTCTTGTCTTGTTGGCGAGTGTCGTCTCTTACATGGTGACTCCATAGCAACGTCGTCTGCATCCAGATCGTCAGAATTGTTGATCTCGCCGTTAACAGTCTTGAGAAGCGAGGTGATCATGGATGATTTTGATGTATCTCTCTGTTCCCTCGACATGCCGGTTTCCGAAGTCGATTCGATGCGTCGGCGTTTCGGCCAGTGAGACCCACAACTCATTGTTCGTCTGAGTCCACTCTCTCCATGACTTTGGCTCGTATTTCTTGCCTCCTTCGGTGGACGAGGGGAGGAAGACACCATTAGATGTGCAAGTGCCGGATTCGTCGCGCCCAGGGGGTTCCTGCTTTCCGGGTCGCCCACAGCAAAGCGATCCCATAAGTCGAGAGCTGGATCGGCATCTGGCAACTTCAATGCCTGCTTTAACCTTGTTGTGTTGACAGTTGGTGTCCTGCGCTTCTCGACTGCTGGAGAAGAAACTGGCGATGAACTCCGGGCACGCTTCTTTCCTCGACGCCTGATGATTGGTGAAATGGCTGCGGCAATCTCGTCTTCTCTGTTTTGCCACTCAAGGTGCTCATTGGGAGATGTATTGTTGTCTTGTGTTTCGGCGTCTAGCCCTCCCATCAGATCCTGCCAGGCCAATCGACTGACAGGCGTCACTGACTTGTCATCTCTTGGTTTCTGCTCTTGAGGCGAAGCTGTCACACGAGGATCGGGTCGGCCCTGCAGCGCATTCTCTTTATTCGAATCATCTTCCTTGAATGAGCCATGTGCTGCCGTACTGCCTTCCTCCTCTGTGAGAGGCGTAAGATCCGAGGTTTCTGCGGTCGCAGACTGCTGGAATTGGAACTGCTGTAGCTTGTCCTTGGTTTTTGCGGAAACCGAAATGGACGGCCGAGGCGGCGCCTGCCTGGGAGGTATCTGAACTGGATGAGTATTCGACCTTTGCCATTGGCCTTGTCGCTGCTAATAGTTGAGGTCAGCATCGCGAGCACCTGGACTGCTCCGCAGCACCATGACTATTTGTTTACTTACCCTTGGAAATCTCGACTGCTCAGAAAACGATTTTTGGAGAGGCATATTGAGAAGCTTGTTCCATTTCTGATCCGGGTGCCGACTATCCTGTAGTACTGGAGCACGATCCGGGCTTGAGGAGGGTGGCAAGATGAACCTTCAAGGAGAGTGTTTGGATGAGACTGAGGAACTGTTGGTAGGTTGCTTCCTCTCGACGCGTCGAGGGCGCGTAATTAGCGGTTGACCGCGTTACAGGGGGACGCCTGCAAAACGTTGTAAGATGTAGTGCTATGGGCATAGTACACATACTACTAGTACGCATAAGGCATGCAAGGGGTTGGGCTGTGGCTGTAGCGACCCTTAGCGCTAAGAGTCTGTGGCGCGAGCTTACCCCGGAAACTTGGGAATACAATACGACCTCAATGACGTCTCATATTCTACGCATGAGCTTGTCACCCCACACACCACACTACAATACAAGTTGTCGTTGACGCGAATCTGAAGCGACACGTGCAGAAACAGAGCTCCAGGCTTATTCAGCCACGGCGATAAGAGACTGCACCAACTACCAACACGCCAACCACGTCCTGGTGATTCCACCAGGGAGAGGTCACAATCGGCCATGGACAACAGACTCGACGTCCCCATTGAAGTCGCACGCAGAAACGTTGACAAGCTCGGTATCAAGTACGATGAGCTGCCCCAACGGCCCTTCTGGTCGTCCCTCTTCGGGAAGACCGAGAACGACTTCAAGATCCGCGTGGCGGCCAAGGTCATGGCGGGCTCCGTCCTGACGGGGAGGGAGCTCACGCAGCCCGAGAAGGACGCGCTGGCATACCACTATGCAAAGCTGCTGGCCACCCAAGTATACGACGTGCCAATCGCTATTGGCGCCGGGATTGGTTTCTACCGCTATACGTATCAGTCCTACGGTTTCCCCTTCTGGAAACCAAACCTCGAAAAGTTCAACCCAAACAAGTTCGGCCCGCTCCCTGAGGGCTTCATATCGCAAAGGGCCTGGCATGCCCTGAGGCTCGTCGCGTGGTACACTGGCTGTCGAGTGGTCAGTGCTATCTTTCTCGCCTCGTACTCCATCTCCGTGTACATGGCGAACTACGGCACCGATCCCCGACTTCAGGATTACCGCGAGGTGATCAAAACCAGAATCAACCAGCGACAGGCAGGAATTACACCGCAGCGCGGTCAACCACCAGCCTACCGTACGATTGAGGCCAGCGCACCGGCATTCTCACAGTGGGACAGCACTGAGCAGAGCACCCAAGACGCCCAATCGTCATGGCCTGGGATGCAAGCCCCACAACCGGAGAGCCCCCAGGCCACCTCTTTCAACGACGAGCCCTACGTCTTTGATGATGCGTCTCCCGTGACGGCGTCGGAGCAGCACAGGGGCAAGCCACAACAATCGACCCAGGGCAGCTCTACATGGGACAGAATCAGAGGCCAGGCTCGTGGGGCGCAGGGTGGGCAGGCGCAGGCCGGTGCTTGGGGCCAGAGACGTCAGGATGAGCAGACTTCTCGGGGCGCACAGGACGGGACTTCCTATAATTTCTCATCTGGAGACGAAGAGAAGTCGTACGCGAAGAGCCAGGCACAGAAGGAGTTTGATGAGATGTTGGAACGAGAACGGCGAGGTCAAGGCGATGGCTCGCATCGTTAACGGACCCCGGGGGGGGGGGGGGCTCGGGACCGCACTGGCCACTGGATTTGCACGCGTCAATCAGATCAGCTGGGCTGGATACGTATGTCTTGTCTATTCTCGTCTTAATACATCTCACCGCCGGTCTCGATACACAATTGTCCGTTCTTCTCGACACATCATTTACTTGGCTATGAACTATTACATTGCTCCATTAGTCTGATAAGCTTGACCAGCCTATGCAGTAAGAACCACAACACTATGCATCACCTCGCTAAAACATATCACGCTGAGCACTGCCAGCTCCACGCTTGTTCTAATTACAGTAGGTGGATCACATCTGGGCATGTATCTGCCAGCAGGTGCTGGACTGCAGCGAACAGGGTGGGAGTTAACAATGTTTTGTAGCTATCATAAGACGCAAGATCTGCATGAAAACAACTCCAAGTCTATCGCAACTGATTTGAAAGCATACTCAATTTTGTCACAACCAAATGCACTTACTTTGCCAGTGCAGCATCAGACATGAAGTGCGAACCCCCAGCACAGCGATAGCCTCCTGCCTGTCGAATCCATCGAAAGCCAGCCGGGCACGCCCCCATCTCTTGAAGTTGTCGGCGGGCCTCCTCTTCCTCCTTTCGCCGCCGCTCTTCTTCCAGCAGTCTCTTCACAATCTCCTCCCTGTCCGCATCTCGTGCTTCCCTCTGCGCCTTGAGAAGCTTTTGGTACTCCTCCTCACGCTCCTGCTCTGCCTGCCTATCCCTTTGAAGCTCTTCCCACACTTCATCACTAACACCAGCATCCCTGGTCGCCACCTCGATGTCAGGCGAGTAGAGATCGTCAACGAGCTGCCAGGGATCTTCCGGCTCTTGTTCGTCAGACGGCGGGCTCGGCGGTCTCTGTTGTGTGGGTTGATGCGTTGTGGCTGTCATCAAGGAAGATGGCCCAATAGTCGAGGGAGGTAGATGGGAAGGGGCTGGGTTGACGAGATCGTAAGGAATTTGCAAGAGCGGATTGGCACTCTTGCTTCGGCTGGCGCGCTCCTGGAGCATACGCCTCAGCTCTGTCTCGATGATGTCTAAACTGGCTGTCAGACGGCCCTGTACCAGACCGGCCCTGTCTTTGATGGTCTTTCTGAAGATGGCCTTGGCAGCCTCCTTGACATCTCGGGCGCTGGCCCAGTTATCTTGCCGTGACAGCTCGAAAAATAGACTAGTGAGCACTTGTGAATCTGCATGAACGGTGTTCTCGAGGGCAGATATGTCAAAGTGCGTGCCCTTGGCTTTCAGATCGGTCTGTCGTGCTTTCAAGTCCTGCGTGAGCAGCTCGACGCACTCCTCAGGCGTCAGACTGCGGAAGTTAATCACTTCGGGAAATCGAGAAGTTAATCCCGGATTCGTCATCATGAGCTTATTGATGTCGTTTTCGTAGCCCGCGAGAATGATAAGCAGTCGCTTGGCATACTTGTCTTTGGTCGTGGCGTCGACTAGCTCGTCCATGGCTTCTTTTGCGAAGTGACCCTCTGCCAGACGGTAGGCTTCGTCGATGAAGAGAACTTTTCCGAGTGCCTTGTCAAGCTGTTGCTGGACCTTGGGTCCCGTCTGACCGATGTACTCGCCAATGAGATCCGTTGCAGAACACTCAATGACCTCGGCGGTAGATAGGAAGCCCATGTCGTAGACTGCTCCGAGAATTGTTAGCATCAGATCTCAAGGTCTAGGATAGCCTCCCGATAGTAACAGCCAGTCACACCGGTAGCAATGTGGTAAGTTGAGAGGGGTGGGGGGGGGGGGGGGTTTAAACTCTCGTATCCGAAAGACGCACAAACTTTGCCCATTTTCTTCGCCGTCGTAGTTTTCCCAGTTCCAGGGGGTCCTCTGAAAAGAAAATTGAAGGGAATGTTCTCCTTCGGGTCGATATCCAAGAGTCTCATCGCCTGGACGTTCTCTTGATACTCGCGTAGCAGAAGCACAACCTCTTCATTGCCAACGGTGCCTTGGAACAACTTCATGACGTCCGTATCAGAGCGCTCGGCACGGTCAAAGTTCTCGTCAAAGTCCCGAGCATCGAGCACGGAAGCAGCTTGCGTCTCCTTCCTCGAGAGCCTCGACTGGTGCTTCAGTTTAGCGGCATCGAGCATAATGTTGATCTCGCCGGCGTTACCAAAGTGCGGGCGATTTCGCGCCCGGTCTAGCATCTCCATTACCACGCTCCTGGCCTGGGTCGTAGCGTCAAACCCATCCTTCTTCAACTTGAAGTCGAGGATCTTGCTAAGCTCATCGCTGCTAAAATCCTCGAATTTGAACGCTGAAGACATAGGAAATCTCCGACTGAGTCCCGGGTTGACATTCTGAAACATGGCCTCCATCTGGTCCTTGTACCCGAGTAAGAGGACGCAGCGGTCATCACCCGGGACACTCTGTACGTCCGCTACTATAGTGTCAATAACCGAGGTCTTGAAGGGATCATTGGTAGCCCCATGGCCTACGTAGAGGCCATAAGCCTCATCGATAACAAGGACCTTGCCCAGAGTTGCGGCCAAGATCCCCTTGGTCAGTTTCTCGGACTCGCCAATATGTGCTCCTACAAAGTCTGATGGGTTCCTGATAACAACTATATCTCATGTAAGCTACCACGCATACTTCTCGGAGTTGTACAGAAATCCAGGAGGCCACGGAAGTATAAGCCAAAAAGGGGCTGTACTCACCTTCGCCGTTGGAAAGCATGCCAAGGTCCACAAGAATTCTACCATACAAGTTGGCAACCGTCGTCTTTCCTGTGCCAGGGTTGCCAATGCACACTCGATTGAGCGAGTACTCGATAATTGGCTGTTCCTCCAACTCTCTCTGGTAATTCTGCTTGACGGTATCAACCAGTGATCTCACCGCCTCCTTGACCGTGTTGATCCCAACAAGCTTCTGCAGTTCTTGCCATGCTTTGCTCTTGGATAAAGCTTCGCCGGGCTCCGGACCTATGAGGTCTTCTTTGGTGAATAGCAAGTCGTCTGGCTTCTTTCCTTTGCGACGTTGCCGAGAAAGCCTCACCGCCTGGCGCCCCGAGATAGTCTTCAGGGTGTTTTCAATTGTTCTTGCGTTGCCGAAGCCTTCTCTCCCTCGACCTTTGCCGACTCTCCTGGTGACGATGCGACAGTAGAGCCCCTTCAGCCCATCCTCACACTTCATGCGGCCCTTGTACTTTTTGTGGATGTTGAGCTCAAGGATTCGCAGGAGCTCGTCGTCCGTGTAGTCCTCAAACTTCATCCGACCAGGGAACCGTGATAACAAGCCAGGATTGTGACTGAAGAAGGATTCCATCTGCTTATCGTAACCAGCCAGGACGAAGACGATCTTGCCAGTGAGGTTCTCTACTTCCGCCAAGAGGTAGTCGAGCACAGCCCCCCCGCCTTGACTATTACCGGACGTCAGTTGATACGCTTCATCGATGAAAAGGACGCCGCCGCCATTGTTCAACATGTTTTCAATGATCTTCTTGCATCCATTGACGCCAGCATTGGCAAGGCTGGCTCCGGTATCTTCATGAAAGCAGGACCCAGGTATGACGGCGACGGATGTGAGGAACTTGGCGTAGAGACGAGCGACCGTTGTCTTCCCCGTCCCTGGATTTCCCAGAAGGGAACAGCTGTAACGCTCTTTTTGGATCGAGATGTCCTGCCGCAGTGCAGTATCGATCCTATCCTTGATCTCCAAGAAAGCTGACTTGACCTGTTCCAATCCGATCATGCCCATGATCTCATCAAGTGCTTCGTTCTTTGCGCCTTCGAATTGCTTGAGAAACTCCCATTCTTTCTTGGCACCGTCAGACATGTCGAGTTCATCACCCTCCTTCATAGAACTCGGAGGACAATCATTTCCCGCTGCTGGAGGCTGAGGCTTTGGCGCGTTCAAGATCCTCTGTGTCGTGTCCTTCAAGGCCGCAAGTTCAGCACGCTGCTGGTCCAGGGTTTTCTTGTGTTCCTCCTGGTCCTTTTGGTCCTTGATTATCCTTCGGTGATGATCAATCTCATCCTGAATTTCCTGAAGCTCTTTTTTGTATGCCTGTTGGCGCTCCAAGCGCTCTCCCTCGAGTTTGAGATCTCGCTTGATCCTCCTCTCGGCGTCAATGTCTTCCTGTACGCATTTCGAGCACTTGTCCTTCTGTTTGTGACAGGGGACCTTCATCTTATGACCACGAGGGCAACTGGACTCGACTTTATGAGGGCATTGTATTTTCGAGTGATCAGCGACACGGTGGCACCGCATATTGCAGTTGTGCATACCGCAGTTCAGTAGTGCACCGCTGTGTATGGTCAGCTCATCGAAAGGACATAAAATTTTTCAGTTGTTCAAGATGAGGAGAACTTAAAGGGATTATCAAGTGAAGAATCTTACCAAATTTCGGCACATCCACCATCTGGGCAGCACGTATCGAAATCCTCGGGTGTTTGCAGCAAGAATGTCTTCTCCGGATGGTTCTCGCAGTGGATTGGTAGCCCATCGTATAGGTGACTCTTCGCCGTCATTGACTCGAAGAAAGGCATCCAAGTGTCTTTGCCTTTCTTGCTCTGCATGTAGGTGTCCATATTGCCAAACATCACAAGGCAGTTACGTGCTCTAGACAGCAAAACGTTGAGCCGTTCGCGAGCAGCGAGGAAGCCGATATCACCATTATTGTTGCTTCGCGTCAACGAAACAAGGACGATGTCTGCCTCTTCTCCCTGGTAGTTGTCTTCACAAAGAGTCATTAGTTCATCAGGGCAGTTGACAGTCTGAATTGAGCTCACTTACCAATGGTAGATAGACGCAACTGTGACTTATTTGTCTTCGCGGCTGCCTGGGTCAGCAGGCCCGCGCAGATGAGCTCGTGTGAATCGAGGTCGCTGAGCAAAGGATCAACATCGTCCTTGAGCATGTCTCTGATAAGCCTCAGCTGGCCCAAGTATGGCGTTAGGACAACCATGTTCTTCGTCCCGTATCCCTGCTGTGCGAGGTAGCGCACGGTCTTGAGGACCATCTTGGCCTCGAAGATATTCTCCTTGCTCGATTTGGCACCTTGATCTCGCCGATCTGCAAGCTTCTGGTTTTCCTCCTCCGGGTGGCTGTGGTTGACGAAAGTGACACGATCCTCGAGGCCGCGAATCGGCTCACGACTCTCCGTCTTCGGGCCGTCTTCGAGCTCTGGATAGGTGAGCTCTCTCACAAGCACCGAGATGTCCGGGTGCATACGATGCTGTTTATTCAAGCTCGTATAGGGATGGCCCTGAAGGATCAGTCTCTCGAAGAGGGACCGGTTGAGGTCAAAGCCATCGCCTTTCTCGACCGTCAAGTTGTAGTTGTTAATCTTGGGACGGAGTTGTTTGTGGTCACCGATCAACATGAGTTGTTTGACCGAGGGCGTTTGGGCCGTGTGCACATGCGCTTCCTGTATCTCACCCGCCTCTTCCACAACCACGACGTCCCTCTGCGCTGCATTCAGAAGTTTCGTGTATTTCGCGGCAGCGGTCGTAGTGCAGCCGATGATGCGCCTGCCTCGCAAGATTTCAGCTCTGTGATCGCTGAATTGGGCATCCAGCTGATCCTGAGTGAGATCATACTGCCTTGCAAGGTTTTGGACACTCTCAACCTTCTCCTGAAGCATGGCCGTGAGCCATTTGTTGATCAGCTTCCTGCGTTCGGTAGCCTCTATAGCCCAGACCTCTCCGTGAAGGCTCAATGCGTGTTGCTCGAAGACACCAGGTCCAGCTCCGGCCTGCCAACAGTTGAAAAGATAATTGGGTTTGACCTTATTACCTTTCTTCGCAATCTTCTTAAAACCGTCCTCCTCAGTGGGGACGACAAAGGCGTTGAAGAACCTCTCTCCATCTTCGGAGAACTCGAGGTAATCCCGTATGTCCTCGAAAGATGGTTGAGCCTGGATATACCTGATAAAGGCCTGTTTAAGCTCTTCGCTATGTTCATTTGCATCCTCTTTCAATCTATCGATCAACGCCCATGACTCTATGCTGCGACGGTATCCAGATCGTTGAGAAGACATGAGCAAGGGTGATGTCCGGTCCGTGGACTTGGATCCAAGACGAACCATGTGATGCGGATTGATGCCGAGGTCCATGAGGTCTTCCAGGAACTGATCCAGAGCATGATTGGTGTATGTGATCACAAGAATCTTGAAGTTGGTATGTTCGAGGATGTGATGCACTGCGAGGGCTCCGATGAAAGATTTCCCGGTGCCTGGAGGACCTTGAATCACCGAGACCTTGGAGGCCAGTGCATTATGCAAAGACCGCTGCTGCGAACGGTCTAACTGAAACGCCTTGTTGACAGATTTGTTCTGAACGTTGATCATCACAGGAAGGCTAGATGTGAACTGTTCTATGATCGGTTGCATCTGCGGACCGGGAATGAAGTCATCGACAGCCTCTGAAGGGTTGAGGAGCTTGTCTTGCAAGGGTATTTCCACCATGTTCTTGAGTCGTTCCAGAATGGGCTCATATGCAAATACAGGAGTATCAACCAAGGTGAACGCGACGTTTTCCATGGTCCTCAGGGCCACCAGTGCCTTCTTAAACGCATTGTCGTCTGTGAACTGTAGTGTGATGACTGGCGGAGACATGATCAGGCCATCCAGGTTCCGTTCGACGAAGGCGAATCCAAAAATCTCCTGTCCTTGGTACAGAGCTCCAAAGGCTTGGTGGCGAATGAAGTTCTTGTTGTCTTGAAGCCATGCTTTGCGGCTTCCCGGCGTCACGCTCTGCAGCCTCTCCAATCCAGCCTTGCATTCGATAGCCAAGGAGGTCTTCTTCCTTTTTTGGTCATCACCGAGGTCCAGTCCTACGGGCCGTAGCTTGCGCAGCGTCAAGGCAGACCTTTGGCCCCGATTCCGAACCTGGGCGTTCTGCCAATCACTCCGCAGCTCTCCAAGGAGATCCTCACGCGTTAATCGAAACATGTTATCGAGATGAACGGCAGGGCGTTGTGCCATGTCGACGTCAAACACGTCTTTGGCTCGCCGGTAGAATGGCCTCTCAGTAGACAAGAACTCATCCGTGGTAGGGTAGACCAGGATGTTCCGAAAGTTCTCGAAGTCGTTGTCATGTCTTCCACCAGGAGCGTATGTGTCTCCTGCTGTGATGGCGGGAGACTTCCGAAGCTGCAATAGATTCTGTATCTTGTAGCCTAATCGCCGAGTCTTAGGGCATGATGCCTCGGCAAGCTTAACTCGTTGCACAACAGCCTCAACGTCGTCTTGAATGTCGACGTCGGCAGATCTAGGCAGGGACAACAGCTCGACGCAAAGCCACGAGAAGACCATGAGCTGCTCGTCTACCAACATGCCAGTCTTGACGACGCTGACAAGGGCATTCCAGAAGGTAGGGGGTGTAACAATGGCCTTCAGGACCATCTGGAGAATCTGGCCATCGGCGAGAAGCTTCAGCTGGTCATCAGCCAGGTAATTGATGAATTGGAGCGTCTGTGACTTGATGGATGCAGGACTTAGGTCGACTTTGACGGACAGCTGGAGAGCCTCAATGCCATGTTTGCTGGCAACGATCCCTTCGATGCACGTACTTGGCGCAGGATGGCACCGAACAGCCTCAAAGAATAGCTTGGCGTCGTTGGCAGATTGTATCTTCCGGTTGCCTTTCAAGATGTTGCGCAACAGCCCGGCAAGACGCGCGGCTCTGTCGCCTGTATCCTTTGTTTGCAGGGTCATCTTGAAGTAGATGGTGGGTAAGAATATGCGATTCTTGTGAAGATGGGGTATTTGAGATCAGTGATTGAGAAAAACGAGGGTAAAAAGAGGTGAGCGTTTTGTTAAGAGAAAGTTCCCGTTAACAATAGATGGCTCACGAGATGCTCAATTGTGCTGGCGGCGGCTTCGGACGGGGCAGATGTTGATCAATATCAGTCAACCTTGTCCAGCACTCAACCAGCATGCAGTGGAGCAATCACACTCGCTTGTTCAGTATAAAGGATTCTAGGGGCTAAAAAGGTCAGGGGAGGTAGAAATAAATTCTGTGAAAAAGTGGAAAAAGGATGGGTTTCTCGCAGGGAGAGTTATGAGGTTCCGGTTGAGGCTGGGGAAAGTGCAGAATGATATTCACCAACATCTGTATATTGACTTTCTGAGCCTCAGTCAGACCGCTCTATGTGGCCCATCATCCTGCACTTCAGAGAAGCTGTGTCATGCGCTCGTTGGCTGGGCAAAATTTCGGCGGCAAATGTGTACTGTCATTCGTTGGTTGCTTGGTAGGCCTCCTGCATTAATTAAGACAACCACATACGTTGGTCCTGCAAACGGTAAGCCAGCAACGCAACACAACACGGGCATAACAGCACTTTCCCGCATACACGAGATAGTACTTTGCTTTGATTTGATGGTTGAGGATGTATCTAAAGTAGTTATGACGAAATGGATCTCGTGCCAGTATAGCTGCAGCGGTGAATTGTTCAGGGCTGGCAGGAGTGGTGGTAGTGTAAAGTGGCAAGTATAACCGGAGATGTGCTTCCACTCGTCATTCCCTGTGCAATTGTAAGATAAAGCCCCATCCAGAAGCTCCCAACTGTCTGGGGTTTTGCACCCTCCTATCATATACTATCGACTTCAACCCCTTCAGTCCTTATTTCGAATACACACCTCGACAAGCCCAGCAGGATGTGGATCCCAAGAGAGGCTCACGATGAGCGCCCTGGTGGCTATTTCAGAAGGGACAAAACCTCTACTTCATTCAGCAGGAATATTAGATCTATTAGGACTTCAAAATTGAGCAAGCCCCATACCATCAGCCCAGAGCCTCCTCTAGGTTGTCTCCTCCACTCCTTGACCAAGTTTGATTTTGATCAAGACGCGAAGCACTATGAGACGAGCTCCAGCATCACCCAATGCAAGATAGTGGCATCTTACAACTGGCTTGACAGAAGAGAAGCTACAATCATCGTTCCAGGTAAGTTCTTCGCATAGATGAATGCTTCTACAATGTTGTAGGGTCCGTAGAGGAGACACAGAGTCACTGGGTGCTGAGAAAAAAACATCGCAGGAAAACCGCCCAGATGGACACCTCCCATCCAAGCTCGCCAGCTCAAGCCCGACAGCGGCGAGTATTTTCGGGATCGGAACGCGGCTAACTTTCCTATACACCCCATTGAGCCTGCTGTCGTGGCCGCTCTGACGATGGACCCGGACGCAGCACGAGAGATCGACGTCGTCACCTGCAGCAGCACACTTGGCAACCTCCTCCGCTTCCTTAGGGAGGAAGACAAGAGATTCCGTATGCTCGTCGAGCTCGTCGGCAACACCGTCTTCTTCGTTCGGCGTGAGAATACGCCTCGGGAGCTGATCCCTGGGGTCAAGGGGTTCGGCCATTCCTTTCCCGAGGCGTACACCACGTGGGACCCTGAGGTCAGGGGATCGACTTCGCATCAGCGGGTTCTCTCGTACCGCTTTGGAGGGTTAGGATGTCTGGTACGATTCGAAAGCGATGGATATATTGTCGATAAAGATGAAGAAAGCATACAAAACCTCTCAGAACACACCGGCCCAGCTGTCGCCGAAACGGCTGAGGACTTGTTAGCCGCTTTTTCGGGAGGCCGTGTGACTTTGAAGCCACCCACGGACTACAACAGAGGCCTCAAAGTGATCCGAGCAGGCCGTCTCATCGAGCAGGACAGCATCTTTGAGCTCAAAACGCGATCCACCAGGCGTAAGGAGGCAGGCTTTTCCGAGGACACATTTGGAGTCCAGCTGCCAAGACTGTGGGTGGCTCAAGTGCCCAGATTCCTTCTCGCATACCACACTTGGGGATTTTTCAAGGAAGAGGACATCACGATCAAAGATGCCCAGAAGGAGGTCAGTGCCTGGGAAAAGGAGAACGTCGACATGCTCTCACGCCTGGCAGCTCTGATGCATCATGTCATAGCTCTGGTGAGGACAAGGCCTGATTCGAAGTTGGAGCTCCGTCATGACGCCGTTGGAATCCTCGAAGTACGCGAGCAGCTTCCGGACGCTGGAGATGCGCTATCTCAGCAGGCCCGGGCATCGTGGGTGAACGATGTAGAGAGTATTCATGACAATACCTCTGGTTTCGGGACCGCTGGTACAGATCTCATTGATTTTGAATCAGAAGGCTATGCTGAAAAGAGTGGGGATGATGACAAGTTCACGCCCGACTTCACTGCATGTTCAGCAGATGGCTGCGGATACTGTGGACGATGCCCATACTGAAGGTGGAAAAGTAAGAGTTATCTGTTTACCTAGGTATCAGTGCCCAATATCTCATCCCAGGTCCCGTGCCCTGGCTTGACAGTTTAATGATAAATGACATTTCAACTCGTCAATGGAGCCACATCCTACTTGTTCCACAGGCTCTATTGTCAACCCGAAGAGTCCATCAACCTCCCTCGCCACGTCCTCGCCTAATTGGGGCAGAGTCAGGCATGATTTTCTTCCTTCCTTTCTTTCTTTCGGTTCCTCTCCCCCTTTCTTTCTTGGCAGCACTCGACTGCCGGTGCAGACAGCCATTACGCCACCCTCGCCTCTCCAACAACGTCACCCAGGACTGAACTTCCAGGAACCGAGATGAAAAGTATCGAACGAACAAGTCGATTTTCCCGTGAAAAGGTTTCTAGCTAACAGACGGCGGCTCCATGGCAGAAGCAAACAACCTCAGAAAACAACACTGCCATTGGTGAACTCGCGTCTTACCTATAAGTCATGCCAAGCTCCATATGTCGCAGTCGTGACACGGGATCCCGAGCAAGGAGGAAAAAGCAAAGCACTGGACGCTCAGCTGAGGTTATGAACCAGGCCAATGACTTAATTGAGCACACCAATCCTGCGTGGCGGGAAGATTTCCATAACTTGGCGTCGCTTGGGCTGGTCACAAGTTCTGATGTGCGGTCTCGTTTCCTAAGAGGAGGAGGTCGGCGACATCTGGGGTGCCGCGATCCGATGGAGGGTTGCTTGTCTGCAAGCCAAAGCATCAGCATCAGGAGATTCTTGCATGCTGTGATACCCCAGGATGTCGCACTGGGGGAGGGAGAAGAGCCACTCGGAGCTGGCCGCCCAGACGGAGATGAGTTGAGCAGCGGGCCATCATAATCCTGCAGGGTGGTTCAGGGGGCGTCATCACTGAAGAGTTGGCGAGTGGGAGGGATTAGGGTCGACCATTCGATCTTCGGGCCGCACCGCTGAGGCTTGGCGGGCCCTGGCGCTGGAACCGCCACACATCACTCTCCTCCCCTTTGACCAAGCAAGACGACAAGAAGTCGCAAGACACAAATGAATACAAGAGACTGTGGATTTTCACGCTGCCTGCTAGAAGTTTGTAGTTGTATTTTTGGTATGCAACCTCGGGTGCTCATTTCCCGAATAAAAGATTCTCAACAATATTTCCCCTCCTCATTGCATAGAAAATATCCGAGCCAGATGCGCGCTGACCACTGAACTTTGTGCGTTGGCTTTTAGGGCTGGAAATGTTCTATGGTTCGGTCTCAAAAAAATCTGGCAAATGGTCGATTCGATCTCGTGACACCTGCAGAAGGTTTTTCTTTGGGGGGGGGGGGAAGGAGGGGGAGGGGGAGGGGCAGGAGAGGGAACCAAAGATGCACAGCGAGTGGTAATGGTACGCGACATCCCGTCGGGCGTGGGGGCAACTTCCCCCATACCAAATAACTTCTTTTCTATTTTGAGTGTTGCTTAGGACATGCATGCATGCTGCGAGTCTACACCAAAGCTCTCTGCTCCTCTTAGTTCACAAACTTGTTGTGGCGGGCATCCTCGCATCACGTAGAGAGAACGAGGTCTGGGGGGTTTTCAAGGACCTTGTCGAGTCAAGTGGCATGCATCTGTAGCCAGTAACACCTTCGAGAAACTTCTCAGCGCCCTACGGTCTCGGACCCCCATTGTGTCCTTGGCGGGTGACACGTCAAAGCACTGATCAGTTTTGTGATGGATCTGTGGTGGATACTTTACACGATGCGGAGAGCGCTACGACTACGTGCTGTATGATATGCATGCAGCGATGTCGACATTGGGACTTGCTCGGCAGGGAAGATACTTACTTATACTACTGATTCAGAAGTGTTGCAAGTGGACCCTGAAATGGCTGGACGTCAACGTCGTCGCCGCTGTCGACTGGCCTGGCACACCCGAAAGTGCCTAGTAGAGAATAGGTATTACCATGTTGCCATTGAATCAGCATCAGCTCCAGCTGCCATGACAAGTTGGTTTCGTGTCATGGCGGGTTTTGGTTAGCGTAGAGTTTTTGTTCCACCGACGGAACTTGATGGAGACAAGGTTTACTGTAGTAAAAGATAGATATGGTGGTCCACCCCTCTCTTCTCTCGATCATGACGATAGGGGAGAAAAAGAGAAAGAATGAAGAGCAAGCTGAGATTAAATTTGAGTTTGACTCTCGGGGCTCAAACGCATAGCACCACATTGGTCACTTTCCACTGGAACGGGCTCCGGACCCAGGGCAAGTCATTACGTTACAGTATTCACCCCCAGCCGCAGGAACCCGGCAAAGGGTCTTTATTTTACCTAATAGTCCTCCCCTTCCGGCACCTCTTCGTCCACAATCTTTATGGTCCGGGGACGGGGGGTGAAGTGCTTTTTGGTACTTTCTACCTGTCATGTGCGCGGTGCATTATCTCGAGTTGGATGTTCAGCCTCATCCGTTCTTGGTACAGGGTGGGCTGCGAGACGGGGGGGGGGGGGATCCGGAGTACTCCGTGTTAGGGTCTCGAGAGTGGGCTGAAGTACAGAGGACTTACTGTACAGCTCAATTACGCCATGGGACTACCCAGCCCAGCCCCAACTGACTCTCTACGCATACGCTCTCTCCCCCAACCCAATTGCCATTATGAATTTCGTGTTTTAATTGTCGACAATGATAAGGTCATGAGTTTGGTACCCTTTATCTCTCTCTCTCTCTTTCCCCCCAGACCAGCGCATCACAATACCACCACTCCTGGTCGCCTTGGACCAACCAACATGAAACATTTTACCCATCATGCCGGTCCCGTCCAAGACCAGGGATCTCAAGAATGACGATAGGTTTTTTGGGCTGCTTGGGAGTTGAGGAATGGGGTTTACTAAGTATGATCTCAATTAGGACTAAAAATTTGGCGGGGCCCCGGCAACAACAGCACATGGCCAGTGACATGGATTTGCTCTGGTCTCTCCTTCCTTTTCTTCCAACTCCTGCTTCTACTACGTAGCTAAAGAAAAAAAGAAGAAAAAAAAGAGAGAGAGAAGAAGCAAAAGTAGAAAGAGCGAGAGAGGAAAAAGACCAAATCTCCAGGATTTCCTCTTGTGCGACTTGCGTGACTCACAGCTTCTCTCTCTCTTTCTCTCTCTCTTTCTCTCTCTCTTCCCTTCTCTCTTCCTCCCACCGTATTTGATCTGTTTCCCCCACCAAGGGCCAAGCCAACACAAACGTCACAGGCCACACAGGCGACCGCTTACCTAAAACATCCAGATTGGTGTCTTGCACTGGATTTATCTCGGCGCCTTGAGAGTATGTTTCCATCAGCCAGCTCCTGTCCTCTCCTCCTCCTTTCCACATGGCTTCTCATTTGCCCTTTACTTTTTCTCTTTTCTTTTGATTTGAAAATATTCCACGATTCGGGTTCTAAAAACATCTTACGATAGGAAAAAGAAAAGAAGAGGATACCTCGCATTGTCGTCATTCACCACCATTCGCCGAGGTTGTGTAAGAAGCGTTGGCTTTGACAGAAGTAAAACCAATACAAATGACACAGATAAGCCAGGCTTATCTCATCCTGGTTTCGATCGTCACCTAAAAACATTCCTAGCCAAGAGATCTGGCTTCCCGCCCTTCATTCTCTCCCCATTGACACAGCCGGGAATAGTCGAGACTCGCTTTGCTTTCTGGCAAACCATTCCAGGCGTAACGGCTTGAAAGATTTTGCCCGTTTGATAAGCCCACGAGGTGGCCTGTCTTCTGATTCAACGCCTCACACGACCCGTCATCTCACCCCTTCAAGGGCGAGACAATCTAGACTTCAAGCCACATCCAGACTTGGGCTGTACCACACACGCACACACACATACAACGCCCTGAAGGATAGGACAGTGCCAAGTGGGTGCGCAAGGATTTCTCACACGACTTACTCTGTGTGCCCTTGTGTGCAAGACACACACATCTCTATCTTGTCGGATCTGGCCTGTGCCTGTCACCACCCCTTGGCAGCAGCAGCAGCAGCAGCAGCAGCACCCTTTCGGAGCGTCGACAAGCCAGCCTGGGCAGGGGCTCGGATGTACATTTCAGCCTATACCCTTTGGACCTGGCCTTTTCCTCTCTCACATACCTTGGAGGTGCCGTGATTTCCCTTATCAGCCTGCCCCAGCTCTCGATATCGACCCCTTCCTGGCGACGAGGTTTTGTGCCGATGGGGAGAAGCTAGACTGTGGTCACCACCTTTTCCCGGCTGTCCTATCTCGCGGACCCTGTCACTCAACTGCCTAAGGTGGTCTGGTCTTGGAGAAGCTGCATTACCAAAGTGACAATCTACAGCCAGGAACACATATCTGAAGATCCTATCCGGGAATATCAGCGTGGCGGCAGAATCTCGGACAAGACAGAGCTGCCCTCTATTACTCAGTACCTCCGGCCAACGACGCAGGAATACGATATCAGCAATATTCCGGGGGCACCTGTCAACAAGGGAGTAGAGCTCTCAAGCACACACACCCACACACACCCTTTCCCTCCCTCGGTCCAAAGCCGCCCCAGCTTTGGGTCCAGATCGGACCTGACGGCGCGCACTGTGGTCTGCCTGCTGCTTTGCCCTATTACTACTATTATTATCTTTCATTTTCACGCCAACCTTGCACACCCCAACCTTTTTATCAAAGATGTCGATACCAAGCGCCATCTCCAGGACGGCACCTATTGCTATCGCGCCCAGACCCTCCCGCTTCACCCCGAACCGCCAAGGAGGCACACATCCAGACGCCTACCCTGGGGGTAGTTTTCACCAACAGCATCCCTCCCACCACCAGAACAGCGGTTTCGACACCCCAGATTCAGTCGGATCCCCTTCGACAGGTTTTCCGGCCTGGCCTTGTGAAGCCTGCCAGCAACGCCGGAACAAGTGCGTCATGAGCGACGACGACGACGCCTGTATTGCCTGCAGAGCCCGCGGAACCGAATGTTCGCTGGTCGGCAGCCCGCCTCCACGGAAGAGGAAACTGCACGGTGACTATAGTGAGAGCCTGAGCAAACGAGGGTAAGTTGAGAACATCCGGTTCCCTTTGACTAAGTGATCTCTTTGCCCCCTCTCTTCCCAATGCAATCCCACCTTCGACAGGCATTTCCAGCCACCACTACCATACCCTCAATGTTTATCACCACTATTCACCACCGCCAACACCACCAACACCACATACCCACACCACCCACACACCCTCTCCTTAGACGATCCCCCCTGTTTGGCTTCCCTTCGGGCCGCGTGCGCACAACACCATCATACCTTATCGTTGGGAAGAAGGAAAACAAGAAAGGAAAAGAAAAAAAAATAGTTTGCCACGCAGCTGCTCAGGATTTATTCTTTTTTCGTCCCCCACACCCCTCCTTTCTTTACCCCACTCAAGCACAATTCTTCACGTGAGAAGAGTCCCTTCGACAGGCTTCTGAATCTGATTGGTCGTACTATAATACATAGGTCCCCGGGGCTTGACACCAACAGTAGAGGTGGGCGACAGCATCAGTCGAGCCTGTCCAGCACCGCAGCAAGCAGTTCGTTCATCGAGGAGATGGCCAATTTTGGCGGGCCGACCCTGCTGAAGAGGACATTGGGTCTGCAGGACGACCGCTATAGTCAGTATATCGGGCCCACGACGGACTTTGAGCCGTCCCTGATCAACCTCTCCACTTTTGACCCCCACGACGAGAGCCTCCTGTCACGAGGAGTCCTCCGCAAGGTCAGCGAGCATGACACGTTCCTCCTCCTGCCGGATCAGAACACCATCGGCTATGAGCACATCCTCGAAGATGTCGACGAGATCGAGAGGATTGTCGCACCTCATGGCCGCAAGCTGATAGACCTCTACTTCCGCATCGTCCACCCGGCCTTCCCCATCATTCAAAAGAACGTCTTTTATGAAAAGTACGAGCGCTCGCCCAGGGAGTTTTCCCCGCCGCTGCTGGCCGCCATGTACATCCTGGCCATCAACTGGTGGGACCAGGACGACGACCTGTCGTCACAGCTGCGGCCCAACGTCAGGGACCTCGAGAGGCTGGTGCGCACCACACTGCCCGACGCCATGTACAGACCAAAACTGTCCACCGTGCAGGCAGGGCTGCTGCTCTCCCAGAGGCCCGAGGGCGACCAGTGGGCACCAACGGCCCAGCTGATTGCCATTGCTCAGGAGCTGGGCCTGCACCTTGACTGCTCCAGCTGGAAGATCCCGCTTTGGGAAAAGGGGCTGCGGAAACGACTGGCCTGGGGCCTTTACATGCAGGACAAATGGGGCTCTCTCGTGCACGGGCGGCCCTCACACATCTTTGCCAGCCAGTGGGGAGTGCTGCCCCTCGGCGGAGGAGACTTCCCAGATGTAGAGTGGGACGAGGAGGACGTCGATGCCAAGCAGGACATTGAGAAGGGCCGCGTGCTCTTCATGCAGATGATCCAGCTGTCGCAGATTCTCGCCGAGATCCTCGAGACCTTCTACACGCTGCAGGCGATGCAGAACGTTACCAATGCCGGCGCCCAGGGGACGCACCTCGTCCTGTCGCTGGCGAAACCCATCCAGCTGAAGCTGAAGGAGTGGTACGCCGCTCTGCCCGCCTCGATCCGCATGGACTCGACATACCAGACCCTGTCTGCCAACGCCAGCAGCCCAGCCCGCCTGAGCAGTATAGGCTACCTACACCTGGGCTACTTTGCCACTGAGATCACGCTGCACAGGCGCATCGTGCGGTCACTGGCCTCGACGCACCCGTCTCCAGCGTCGCCAAGCGACCCGCCCACCGTGGCCGCCGCGTCGCCATCTGGCAGCGCCGCGAGCGACAGCTACGTCCTGCACATTTGCCGCAACGCCGCCAAGGCGCGCCTCATCTCGGCCATGGACTTTGTGAACCGGCTCACGCCGTCGCACCTGCGGGCCTTTTGGTACTTTGCCTCCAAGACCAACTTTGCGCTCATCGGCACCTTCGGGTCGCTGCTGTGGGCGACGAGTCCTGGGCGCGAGGAGGCCGAATGGTACCGCCGGCGGCTGGGCGAGTACAGGTGGACGCTGTCTGTGTCGTCAAAACCGGGCGAGGGCAAAGGGCTGACCGAGTTCGCCATGGGCATGCTCGACATCTCGACGGGCCTGCTCAAGAAGCTGCCGGAAAAGCCCACCATGAGCCGGTCCGGGTCTATGACGGGCCTCGCTGGATCTGCAGGCGCGAGGCGGTCGAGTCTGCTCGCTCTCGGTGGGAGCTACGGGCTCGGCAGTGGGCTGGGCGTCATCGGTGTCGATGGCGGTGGAGGTATGGACCTCGATACTGGCGGCGGCAGCGGTGTGCCCAGCGCCATGTACAGCCCGCGTACGCCTGACGGAGAAGGGAGCGAGGCCAGCGGAAGTAGTGACGAGGCTATGTATGGAGGCGAGTATGCCACGTCTTCGCGCCACATCTGAGGCGCGAACCCATGTGTCTTGTTGCATGGCCCACTACGATTTCGATGTACATATTCAGAGGAAGTTTTATCGAACGTGACGATGGAGGGGTGGAGACAGAGCAAAGATGGGGGAAAAAAAGAAAGGAGGAAGAAAAAAAGAAGAAGAATAATGGTATCTGAGGTGAGGAACGGCCTAGAAGAGGAGGACGGTCCGAAAAATAAGCATCAAAGCAAGGCATATGGCATCTCGTAGGGTCATGTTTCGCGACATATGACGTGCTTAAGGTGTATAATGGGTTCGTTCGGATGGGGAAGGGGGGGGGGTGGTAGAACCGCCCAAGGGCAGCCCCGGGCCGCAGGCTGAAAAGACGGCCGGGGGGGGGGGTGTCCAACTCCTCACCACAAACAACCAGCGGCAGAGTTTCTCTTAAGTAAGAGGAACGGGGCCTGCATGGTCACCACCAGTCATGGCCTCGCAGCTGCTCCCTCGTACCACGTGTCGGTTCCCATCGGGTCGGTCTGGATGATGAAAGAAAAAGGTTCATGTCAAGGAACACCCGGGGCGTGTTCATGATCGATCGATCCTCTTTGTATGTGTGTAAGGTTATGCTTGGACGACGGATCTCAGCGGGCATTTCTTTTGCCTCGTTTCTTATTTTTTTCCCCTCGTCTCTTCTTTTCTTTTCTCTGTCTCTTTTCCTTGGTTGTGGATGTATAGATATCATGATGGATGGAGATTTACGTCTTTTCCTTTTGACCTTCGTTCTTTTCTTCTACATATCCCTCTTTCTGGATGTTGATGATCAGTGAACATCATGGCTGGGTCACTGGTAACACTCACACTCACTCACTGTGTACATAACTTTTGCACTCATGCTTTTCGTTTTGGAGCAGATACCCCCCGTTTAGATAGAGGTGTCTGCAATGTCGCGTTTAAGATTGCTCTTCAGCCTGCCCAACACAGGGCTTGCCACATTTTTATGTTTTGAGGCATCATCATCATCATCATCATGATGTTACTCCTCTAGATCGTCTTCTTTCGCCGTTTCGAGCATCTCGCCCTTCCGCGTCTTCGTCCCGACAAAGTTGCTGCCGCCGAATAGATCATCTTTGCCACTACGTTTCGTCACCGTCTCTCGTCTCTCAGATCTCATCGTCAACCCTCGATAGTTGTCACTAACACACTCACTTGCTGGACACCATCCAGGCTGACTGACTGACAGAGTAATCGCAAAGTCAATTTAACTTTCACAGCACATAGGATTCTCGAAAGCTCCATTCATCGCTCGCAATCTGCTAGACGCCCAAAACTTTTTCGTTTCCCAAGAAAAACCATGACAAAAATCCAACAAAGAAAGGAGCTACCACACTGTAAACATTATCATCCAACAAGACCAATGAAATACCAAGTCGCTCAACCTCAAAGAAATCTACAAGAAACACTTCACCCACAAAACACCCCTCAAATCAAAGACCGCCCAGGCTTCCACGGGCTCGTACCCCCCTTCCACTTGAACTCCATATACCGCGTCAAGTACCCCGCAACAGCACCCATCTCCATCCTCATCAGCCGCAAGGTCGGGTACCCAAGCGACTTGCCCACAGACGCCGGGTCTCTCAGCTGCGCGTCCACCTGGCCCAGGGCGCGCTGGAGCGCAGCAACCGCCCTCGGTAGGCCGAGGGGGTCCTGCTCGAGGTCCTTGAGGTAGTGCGACTTGTGGATCGGCTCGGCGTGGCGGTTGAAGTGCGTCAGCGTGTCCTCCACGATCTTGTTGATGGCGGTCTCGCTTAGGCCCTCGAGCACGTCATCGGGTCGCAGCGGCTCGGGCTGCTCCTCCTTGGGGGGCTCCTCCTTGGGTGGCTGCTCCTTGGGCGGCTGGGGTCGCTGCTCATTAGGAGGCTGCTCTTTAGGAGGTTCTTCCGTGGGAGGCCCTTCCTTGGGAGGCTCTTCCTTGGGAAGCTCTTCCTTGGGAGGCTCTTCCTTGGGAGGCTGAGGCTTCTCCTTGGGTGGCTGAGGCTGCTCCTCCTTTGGGGGATCTTCCTTGGGAGGTTGTTCCTTGGGCGGCTGCTCCTTGGGTGGCTGCTCCTTGGGAGGCTCTCCATTAGGTGGATTGGTCTTCGACGGGTCTCCCTGCGATGGCTCCTTCGTCGTGGGAGGTTCCGGCGTTGGGTTGTGCTCCCCAGGTCCCGAGCCAGGTCCCGAGCCAGGTCCCGTGCCCTTCCCCTTTGAAGGGTCAGGCTTGCTCTGCGGAGGAGGAATCCCAGGAGGAGGAACGCCTGGAGGAGGCACACCTAGAGGGGGAGGCGTTCCAGGAGGAGAGACCCCAGGAAGAGGAGACCCAGGAGGCGGAGTCTCAGGAGGAAGGATTCCAGGAGGGGCTTCAGGGGGAGGGACACCTGGAGGAGGAACGACAGGAGGAGGGACGACAGGCGGAGGAACCACAGGCGGAGGAACCACAGGCGGGACCACGGGCAGAGGGACCACAGGAGGAGGGACCACAGGAGGAGGGACCACAGGAGGAGGAACCGCAGGAGGAGGGACCACAGGAGGAGGGACCAGAGGAGGAGGGACCACTGGTGGCGGTACTGCTGGAGGTGGAACCAAAGGAGGCGTCACAGGCGGAGGAACCGCAGGAGGAGGGACCACAGGCGGAGGGACCACAGGAGGAGGGACCACAGGAGGAGGGACCACAGGAGGAGGGACCACAGGAGGAGGGACCACTGGTGGCGGTACTGCTGGAGGAGGAACCAAAGGAGGCGTCACAGGCGGAGGGACCACAGGCGGAGGGACCACAGGAGGAGGGACCACAGGAGGAGGGACCACAGGAGGAGGGACCAGAGGAGGAGGGACCACTGGTGGCGGTACTGCTGGAGGTGGAACTGCAGGAGGCGGAACCTGAGGCACCTCCGGAGGTATGATCTCAGGGGAGGGAACCTGTATAGGGGTCTCAGGAGGGAGAACGTTAGGGGGCAGCTCTTCCGGAGGCGGGATCAACGAAGGAGGGAGCTCAAGATGCCCCGGCTGCCCCGGCAAGGAACTGCCAGGAGACCCAGAACCGTAACTAGTGGTAGGCGGCGTCAGGTATCTGAGGTCGGTACCAAGTTCACGCATGGCCTCAACCAAGCGGTCAATCTGCGCCTCGGTGAAACTTTTGACGAGCCAGCTGAAGAAGCCCAAGGCGGGGATGCCGCCTCCCAGACCAAGGCCGAGCCCGAGGGCCAGATCCTTCTTTCTCCTATCGTCGTCCTCGTGGCTGATGCGGTCGCCGTCGTTCATCTTGGGCCTGTCGGGCCCCGTACCACCGTGGCCCGGACCGTCCATCTTGGGCCCGTCGGGCTTCTTGCCGTCGTGACCTGGCCCATCCATTTTGGGTGGTGGGCGAGATGTAGGCCTTGACCTGACCGACGAGGAGACGGAGGAGGAGGACAGCGAGGTGGGAGACCCCAAGTCCGAGGAAGAGGAAGGAGAGGAAGGAGAGGAAGGAGAGGAAGGAGAGGAAGGAGAGGAAGGAGAGGAAGGAGAGGAAGGAGAGGAAGGAGAGGAAGGAGAGGAAGGAGAGGAAGAAGAGGAAGAAGGAGGCAAAGGAGAAGAAGAAGCCGATGTCGAGGGTGAAGCCAAAGATGAGGACAAGGACGGAGCCAAAGACGAGGACGAGGAATGCAAGAAGCCAGAGGAGGTGGGCTTCAAGCCAGGTCGGGTCACCGTCGACCAGCTACTCGGCTCAATGGAAGCCCGTGAAGTCGTCGTTGGATTCAAACTGCGACTGGGCCACCAGGAAAGGCGGGTCGTCGTCCAGCTTAACCCGTCGCTGGGCTCGGGAACAGGAAGGACCGTCGCTGTCGCCGTCACGGTCGCCGTCACAGTTGTCGGAGCGATTGGCCCCGAATTGGTCGGCGTTGCCGTCCACCGGTCGCTCGGGGTCGGGCTGGGCTGAGCCACCGTTGTCGTCGTCGATGTCGGGGCGGTGGGCTCCGAGCTGACCCAAGTAACCGTCGTCGTCGTCGTCACTGTCACGTCCGGCTCCGACGAAGTCGGCCTCTCAGTCGGCTTGACGACGACGGGGCTGCTGGTGGTGGAGGGGGTCGGGGTTGTCGTCGGGGCCTTGGGGCGTGAACCCCCCCAGTGAAAGTGGCACTTGGGAAGCCGCGGGTGGTTGTCGTCCCAGGTGCAACCAAAGTCAAGACCGGGACCAGGCAGAGGGGCAGTGGGGGATGTGTCATTGTTGGCACGGCACTCCGGGCGAAACGGGACAAAGCTGAACCTGCAGCCCACCACAAGTGGCGGGCGGTTAACCTCCATGCCGGAGGCGACGGGCGCCGCTGCGGCGATCTCAGCCAGCAGCAGCGCCCAGGAAAGAAAAAAAACCGAGAAAGAGAACTTCATGGTGACGGACGGGTCACCGAGCAACGAGAAGGCACAACAAGAAGGCAGGACAGGAAGGCAGGACAGGAAGGCAGGACAGGAAGGCGCGACAAGAAGGCGCGACAAGAAGATCCAAGAAGAAGGCACGACAAGAAGGTCCAAGAAGACACAGGAAGAAAAGACAGGTGGAGTGTTCTTCTTTTTGCTTCGGTTGAAGAGACAAGATCAGAAGAGTACGGCCTCCTCAAGGGAGATTGTCTGCCTTTATATATCCTTTCTGAGCTGGAGTTATTCTTGTTTGCCCAAGGGCACCGTCTTAGCTTTCTCTCTAGGACCGACGATCGATTTTTTGAGCACCTTTGAACCGGTTCTTGACGGACCGTTCCTAGCTCTTTCGCATTGATATGTGTTTAAGTAGGTGTTTTAGGTGGTGTGTATGTCAATGACCTCGACATGAAGCGCTTATGTCCACTTGAGCACTTTGGTACACTCATGTGCCCAGCTATTTCAGGCTTTCCATACCGTACGCACGTAAAACAAGACGGTGGGATCCTAGTTTGTGAGCAATCTACTTAGTATGTACGTACGTGCACGAAAGAGATGTTTGACTTAATTTGGACATGATGACCTACACATGATCATTAGAACTAAGCTATCTCCAGGTCGCGTATACATGTTCATCATAGCGAGATCATCTTCAAAATCTGCACGGCCATGGAATAGTCTGCTTTCTGAACAAGGGACATAGATTTAATCACATTGGCATGCGTACATAGTATCAGGTATTTCTATTCTCTATTCAGCAGGTGTCTAGCATGAGATGGATTTTGCATCGCCCATCGCCTGTGATTGAATTCTGGAAAAATATATGAACATTATAGGAGGAGGACAAGCCGGGCTCCAACTTCATCATGAAGTACTTGTGTACATGTATGGACGAAACTTTGAAACAAAAAAAAAAAAAAAAAAAAAAAAAAGGATCTTTTTTTTTTTTCTATGAGAAAGATTGAAGACGTAAATAAAGCTTTGCTCATTGACTCATGATTTGGCGGTGGCTTTAATCCCGTTTTGTAGAAGTTGTTGTAATGGGAAGCAAAGGCCTGGTTGAATGTGTTCTTAGTTCAATAAAAAAAAGACAGCAGACAAGTGACACGATCCGGAGTCGTCCATATATATCTTTGAAGGGCCGGGACACTAACTAAAGAGCCTCGGGCAGGGTTCGGGTACATGTCGAACTGAGGCCGGGCCAAGTCGAGCCTTTCTACTCAAGTTCCAAGTCTAGGCGGATCGTCTATTGCGCGTATACCTCTTTGGTCGTCTCTGCCTAGGACGACGAAACAGAGACGACGAAAGGGTCGAGCGGCCGATGACCGCGCTACATCTTGAGATTACGGCGTAGCAACCGGCTCCGACAGCGGCTAGATATCGCTGGTAAACCTGACGGTTCTAGGGTTGGGGATCGGAAGGCGGTTTCCATGTGGTGACTCAACGGGGGGTGAAGGGCGTCTGTCGGTGCATTTCAATAATGCTCATTTGCGCACGCTGCCAAGCAGATATAGTCATCATTCTTGTCAAGTTACTTCTAAACCATCAAACTCGATCTTGATGCTTCTGACATTCCACTTGTTGAGCGATACACATAGTCTTGTTCTAGCCATACACCTAGCGATATAATTCCAGAGCTCGCTAAGAAAGAAAGAAGAAAGAATGGCGGGCCCTCACAGTTGGACGCATCATGGTGTAGATGCCACATACATGTGCTCGACAGACTCAACCATACTCGACCTCCAAGCCCTGAATGCAGCCCTCGGCTCCGATATGCTCTGGTGGGCTACCGCCCTCTCCGAGGATCGCCTTAAGACCATGGTCGATAACTGCTTGGTCTTCGCCGTGTACCACGTCCAAGGTGAGCAATATCGAGCCGCTGCTGGCCGGACTGGATGGCTTGCACATTGTCAAGTTGCCAGTCTATTCTCGATTCGTCCAATTGACCCTGTTGCAGACTCTCAGAAGCGTACCATGATTGGTGCCGCCAGACTAATCACCGACCGTGTCACATTCGGCTATTTGACAGACGTGTACATGCTGAAGGAGCATCAGCAGAGAGGGCTAGGGACGTTCCTGATGAAGTGCCTGAACGAGGTCTTGGACAGCTGGCCAGATCTCCGAGCCTTGTGGATCCTCTCGAGCAGTCCAGAGAGCCGGAAGCTGTATGAGAAGATCTTTGGGACGGTCGACTTCTTCGAGGAGAACTCGGACCCGAACTTGAGACTGCTAGAGAAGAAGGGCCCTAGATCTAACCACTGAAGGTGCCTCCACTGCAGGAAAGCAGAAAGGGTCGGGGCCTCCACAGACTATGAGCAGCGTGGACAAATCTCGGACCCTCTTCAGCTCCTTACAGTCTTGCCGTATGCGCCTCCAGCTGCCCTACGCATCTCGAGAGCTCGTTTGTATGGAGGTGCTGTGGGCGGCTGCACAGGGTCCAGTGTGACATGGTCTTCTGGTAGTTGGTAAGACGCGTCAGAGTCGAAGGCAGATAGATCTCCACAGGCAATAAATGGTGCGATCCAGCCAACATCGCTCCTATGAGCTTCCACCTCATCCTCGATCTCGACCTCCACGACGCCGTCCGCCCGGGGCTGAGCTCCACTGTCGGGCGTCCAGTCCCAAGCACCAGTCACTGGGCTTTGCATGGTCGCTTTCGCAATGATTGGTAGCTGTGACGTTCTCTCTTTGATCATGTCTGGCAGTTTCTGACCGACGCCAAGCGGCTCGTCCAAGCTTGCAATGAATCCAGGCGGCGGCTGGAAGTTCAAGCAGACGATGAAGGCCTCGATGCTGCTAGCTCGTGACGACCTGGGCTTTGCAACAACTACCCGCTCAAAGAACAACTTTAGCTGTGCGTAGAGCACATCCACATTCCTGCCCCTGAAAATCTTGGCCACAAATTTTCCGCCTGGCTTTAACACGCAAAGGGCGAGGTTGAGCGCGGCAAAGAGGAGCTGGGACTGAACGTAGATGTCCAGATCATGGAGACCAGTGACGTCCGGTGCGCCATCGCTCAGCACCAGGTCGACTGGGTGAGAGGCCTGCTGGGTCATGCTGCTGGGGTCATACTCTGGATCGAGCGTCTTCAAAAGAAGCGGCACGGTCGCAGGGTGCGTGATATCGGCGCGCAGAGTGGTGATGCCCGACAGCGGACTGATGGGCTGCAGGTCAATGGCGACGATCTTGACATCCTCTCGAGGCTTTGGTGCACCATCCTTCCCTTGGACTGAAAGCTCTTGAACATCGACGGCGGCGGTCTTCTCCGGAGAAAAGACACGCAGCATCTGCTGGCGGAACTGGGCCTCCTTGTCCTGCCATGCCGACCGGCCAAACTTCTCACCCTTGATCAGCACCCGGGACAATACCTGCGACCAACTCCCCGGGGCGGCGCAGAGGTCCACCACACGTGTGACATCCTTGAAGAGGTCGAACTCTGTTGGCAGCTTGGTCAGTTTCTGTTGGCGGCGTGTGTGCTAGAAGTGATGATTTGGTTACCTTCATCTAGTTGCAACAGCTTGAATGCGCTCCTGGCGCGCCAGCCTTGCTCTTTTGCTAGCCGGTAATATGCATCACGCTTATCCTTGGAAGATTTACCCATTGTGACGAGGTTCTATGAAACAAGGCTTCAGAAACTTTGACAAGGAGGACAACTTTACGCATATCAATGCTATACTAGAAAAAAGACTCCAGCGCCTGTGATCACTGAAAAATCCGCTGGCAGGGGTCCGCTGTAAGGCCTGCATCGATCAAGTATAGCTTGGCGCGGGCAATTCTCTGGACCCACTTTATATTTTTCTACAACCCTTCTGTACGTCGTAGTATTTTTTTGCGATGCCGCCCACCCCTCGCATCACACTCCCAGAACCCACTACAACGACTACGAATAAAAAGACTTTGCAGGGCGCCCTAGGGAACGATGGTCGACAACACCAAGAAAAGAAAGCTGGCAGCAGCAGCACCAGCAACACCAGCCATAGCAGCACCTTCCAAGAAGCGAAGAAAGGGTGCGGTCGGACAGAAGAAGGGCATACCAGCAGCACCCGCGAGACCAAAGCGAGCCGTCGACGCCAACAAGCTGCCATGGAAGGCCGTCGATATCCCCGAGATGTTTGACGATGCCGAGGGTTTCTTCGGTCTAGAGGAAGTCACGGGTGTCGATGTCGTGCGCAATGGCAACACGATCAAGTTTGTGGCCGCCGTGGACCCCGAAGTGGACGGTGAAGAGTTCCAAGGCTTCGACGATAATGAGCCCGAACCCTCTGAGGAACCGAGCAAGAATGGAGACGCGCCTAAACAATCCGATGCTGAAGTAAATCCAAAATCGAATAAAGCAGTCAAGACGGACAAGAAACAACAAGAGGCAAAAAATGACAAGAAGGAGAAGAAAGCGAAGAAGACAGCGAGAGCAGCGCCGTCCAAGGCTGATTCGGAGCTGGAGAGCAATGTGTTTACCACTGAGGGCGGTGCGGCGGCAGATGATTCTGCCGAGGATATTGACATGTCCGCCTGGGTACCTCTCGACCTGTCGCCCCGAATGGTCTCGTCACTCGCAAGGCTGAAGTTTACCAAGCCATCCGACATACAAGCAGCTGCGATACCGAAGATCCTCGCCGGTCACGATGTCATTGGAAAAGCCTCCACAGGATCCGGAAAGACGCTGGCATTTTCGATACCGATCGTGGAGGCTTGGTTGTTAAGACAAGAGGAGGGCGTTGCTGAGAATGATAGGTCACCAGTCGGCTTGATCATGTCACCGACCAGAGAGCTGGCCCATCAGCTCACGAACCACATCAAGGAATTATGTGCCGGCCTGCCTACTGCACCGTATGTCTGTTCCGTCACTGGTGGCTTGTCAGTGTTGAAGCAGCAGCGCCAACTGGAAAAGGCAGACATTGTGGTTGGAACGCCGGGTCGTCTGTGGGAAGTCTTAAGCTCGAGCACTGCGCTATTGGACTCGTTCAAGAAGGTCAGCTTCCTGGTGGTAGACGAGGCAGATCGGCTTCTCACGGAAGGACACTTCAAGGAAGCCGAGGATATCCTGCAGGCAATTGATAGGATTACGGTGGACGAGGAGGACGACGAACCCGAGCTGTTTCCAAGGCAAACACTCGTCTTCTCTGCTACCTTCAACAAGGGGCTCCAGCAGAAGCTGGCTGGCAAGGGAAAGTTCGATTTGATGAGCGATGCGCAGTCTATGGAGTACCTCCTGAAGAAGCTCAACTTCAGGGAAGAGAAGCCAAAGTTTGTCGACGTGAACCCGGTTTCGCAGATGGCTCAGGGACTCAAGGAAGGCCTGGTGGAATGTGGTGCAATGGAGAAGGTAGATGCTTTCCACCCCGTGCTCCGAACTGGGTTGCTGACTCTGCATTTAGGACCTCTACCTTTACTCCTTACTACTCTTGCAGTCCACACAGCGCACTTTGGTCTTTACAAATTCTATCAGTGCCGCCCGACGCCTTGTACCCATGCTGCAAAACCTCAATCTCCCCGTCCATGCCCTACACTCCCAGATGCCTCAAAAGGCCCGACTCAGATCCGTTGAGCGCTTCACGGGCGCGAAACCTGGAACAGCATCCATTCTGATCGCCACAGACGTAGCTGCTCGCGGTCTCGACATTCCGGGCATCGACGCCGTCATTCATTATCACGTCCCACGCGCCGCCGACGCTTACGTCCACCGCTCCGGCCGCACGGCAAGAGCAGACAAGTCTGGTCTCAGTGTCCTGCTCTGTGCGCCCGAAGAAGTGGTTCCCACGCGAAGGCTGATTGCCAAAGTGCACGCCTCAGCCAAGTTGCCCTCGGGCGCCAAAAAGACCGACTTCTTTGTGCAGACCATCGACCTCGACCGGCGCCTTGTGAATCGCTTAAAGGAGCGCTTGACCTTGGCAAAGAAGATTGCCGATACGCAGCTTGCGAAGGAGAAGGGCAGCAAGGAGGACGACTGGATGAAGAACGCGGCGGAGGAGCTGGGTGTTGACTATGACAGTGACGACATGGAGCAAATGGGCAAGTGGGGCGGCCGAGGCAGCGGTAGGAAGGCGAAGCAGGACGAGGCGAGAGGACTGTCCAAGGCAGAGGTTGGTGTCTTGAGAGCGCAGCTGAAGCAGCTTTTGTCCAAGAGAGTCAATACTGGCGTCAGCGAGAAGTACATCGCCGACGGCACCGTCGATATGGACGAACTGCTCAGGGGTGCCAAAGGAGATTTCCTCGGCAAGGTTGATGGCCTTGAGCTCGACGACTGAGTTCCTCAGCTCACGTAAGAAGCGATTATTATTCAAACTCGTTTATCATATACCCCTTTATCATTGATGTTGTGATTCTTCTTGGACGTATGCTGTTCCACTCCTCTTGTTCCGTTGGTCCTTCTCATCTGCCCAGGGTATCATTCCTCATCAGAATTCGACCAGGTACGACAGCTATGAGTGCTCAAAGTGATCCGTCACCTCGATCCACGCAACAACATCGCCGACCAGCTCTTAGCAGTGGCCAAATAGCAGGCTATCACCCAGCGCAGTCCCGAAAATCTTTTGCAATGGGGTGACTGGATTTGGTAGTCAGATTTACGGGTGATCAAATTTCTCGGAAAGTAGAAAACGGATTGATATGACGAGCTTGTAATGGGGCTTGTTATTGAGATGTTCAAAAACCCCCCTGGGCACACAAAGATGCAAGAGGCCACAGATTCCGTTCTGCGCCCTCCTTGGTCCTGGTATTCCCCCCCGGATCTGGGCTGTTCGATTGGTTGGAAGGGTTATTATTTCTCAGAGGGACCTTCTCACCAGGCGAGATACCCCTTGGCTGGTGTTTGGACGGTGACAGATAAGCTTGAGGTTGTGCAGACTTGAGAGACGCGTCATCTGAAACCATTTTGACGTCCTTTTTGGTTTCGAGGCCTACAGAACCTTGGATACTCATATTTGTTGCATTAATAACTGTTGTTGCTTGCAAATTTCTTTAGGATAGAACTGTTGGAAGGTTTCGCTGTCGAATGGCCAACGTTGGCTGGAGTTAATTGCGGTGGTGGACGGACAGAGGATGACTGGACGCCCGCAGCGTAGTGCTTTATTCATATATATATATATATATATATATATATAGTAATTTCCATATATGGATAGACCTTCATACTTCAATGAAAGGCTATTTGCAAGCGTATCGGTGCCTGCTGGCTTCAATGTATCAACGTAAGAGAGACTAACAAAATCCACTATCATGCTTGTCATCATGGACCCTCTAGTATGATATCCGGCCCCGTATAAGTGCTCGCCGGTACTCAATTAGCACAATCATTAGTGGTAACCATGGCTGGCTATGCTCCACAAAGCCATATGGGGTGAGCGGAGCAACTTCACATGTGTGTGGCAGTCCTATCAGCAGCCACAAATGCTCAAGACTGACGCATGAGTAGACTCTAATCCACTAAAGGCAGACTTGTCATTTGTGCCTTATCTATGTGGTGTACCATCGACGCTGACCTTGAGGGCTTTTGAAGCTGCAAGGTTGATGACTGTCGTAATAGAGTCGAGCCAATCTCTAAAAACTCACTCATCTTCTATTATCCTTGAAATAACCACAATGCTGAGTCTCACGGCCACACTTCCTATAAAGACTAAGAAATAAATGAAAACCGTAGCCCAGCCCAGTCCCATTGCCACAGACCCGAGGCCTGTCCTGACAGCCCCATTTGTCATGACCGCGACCATCGTTGCCACCCCTGAACTTCCCAGATGTTGCCAAAAGACGGATAGCAATGCCATGATTGCGGCCACTAGGGTGAACGATATCGTGACATTCAACAGAGAAAGTTTTCGTTCCATGTCCTTTTTGCTGCTTCTTGCGCTGCTGCTTCTTGCGCTGCCGGAGGACAACTCGCTGCCGGAGGACACCACTGTTGCTGCCTCCTCTCCTACAGCCCCGATTATGATTAGGATGCAGAGACCAATGAAACTGCAGCCTACTGCTATGAACCTGTTAGGAGATCGTTAGTTGTATACCATCGCCTGATTACTGGGATATTCCGTAGTTGATGGCTCACATTAGTCCATCGAATATAATTTGGTCTCTGAAACTTTTGCCCAGATGAACGAGGCCGAGCGGATCATACGATGATGTTGCATTTGCATCGACTGTCGCGGACGATACCTCGGAGACTCTATTGATAATCGTATTGAATTTGGGCGAACACGACCACCCTGAGGGTAATTTGGCACACGCCCCAATGAAACCCACGCGTACTTCCAATGAGTGACTGGCGTTTCCGACTGCGGATGCAAGCAGCGCTGATACGTTGCTATTGGACGTTTGATCGGGGGTTGCGTAGGACAGTGAGAGAAGGTAGATGTCGCGTAGGCCATGCACGACACAACCAGCTGAGACGAGTGCTAAGGGTGTGAAATTCCCGTTCAGTTCATGATCATTGAATCATGACTAGGCAACTTGTTACTTCACGAATAGATTGCCAACTCACAGAAGAACACCATCCCAACCGTGATCAATATCATCAAGAGGTGGTGGTACCCAATGAAAGACACGAACCTCCTCCAGCCCCTCTCTGCCGGCATGGTCCATGTCGTGTTAGTAGTCGTCGCATTGGATCTCCGAGCGGATCGAGGCGCGTTCGAGTTCCTCGAGGCATGGGATCTATTTGATCTCTGCGAGGGGCGCACCCTACTCGACCTGGAGGAGGGAAGACTTGTTTGAGACCCTCGCGAGACCCTGGTCTTCTTCGACTTCTTTGACGACCTCAGAATCGCAGACAGCCAGGTGGGCGTCTCATAGACGGCCATGTCGGATAATGAACTATGAGAAGAACGGCAGTTCGCTACAATCGGGACAACACGGTCGTAACGTATCGTGTGGCCTCAAGATGCCAGCTGACCGCTGGAGCATTACTGAAGAGAAGGGGCTGACTTGACGGAAGGTGAAGCCTCCTCATTGAGTCTAGTGCCTGCAGGAGATTGCCTGTGGTTTGGAAAGTGTAGTAATACCTAACATAAGGGTAAGCGCTTAGCATTCTAGGCAACCTGCATATATTATCAATCTGCAGTGTAACCTCGACCAAGGCGTTGCAGCTCCACTGAAGACCCTAGTCCAAAGGAGCGTTCAGCCGCAAACAAGTGGTAGAAACTCGGTCACGGATACCCCCTCGACTTGATTTTTTGTTTTGGTTCGTGAACTCATAACCCTCACCAAGTGTTTCCTTAAATTGCGGACAATGAATGGACCAAATCAACCGTCGCAAGAGCTCGGATCAGTGGAGGAGGATGCAGGAGATAATGAGCTGGCGCAGTTGTCGTCACGAGAGCCAGCTCTCGCTGATAACGAACATGCAGAGGAGGAGGCCGATCAGGTCCAGTCCACAGAACAACCACCCGCTTCCACCGAGCGCAACCGAGACGATGATTTATGGACACCTCTACATGTTGCCGTTGATTCTGGAGATAAGAATCTCGTCCAGGAGCTTATGGACAGAGGTGACAACTTGGAAGCCGCTGCTGCAGACGGCAGAAAGCCCCTGCTGCTCGCTGCGGAAAGGGGGTTTGTGGACGTTGTTGAGTTATTAACAAACGGTGCATCCATCGAATCTGTCAACGAAACTGATCACTCGACGGCCCTGATCCGGGCGTGCGAGCAAAATCATGACGCAGTGGTCAAACTTCTCATCGAAAAAGGAGCAAATATTGAGGCGAAACGCATAGACGGTCATACGCCTTTGCTCATCACGGTAGCATCAGGAAACAAAGACCTGGTTCAATATCTCCTACAACACGGAGCAGACAAGGCCGAAAAGTCGGAAGACGGAAAGACAGCCGAGGACCTCGCAAAGAACGATGAGGGCCTTCTCAAGATCCTCCGGCAGAACTACCTGCTTCAAGGGCCAGAGATCGGACTCAAGAAGAGTGAGCCAGAGTTGCGGTTCAAGAATGTGCGCCTCCCCGAGAAGCCAAAGGGCATACAGAAATGGGAGGCTTGTAGATCTACACAGGCAGTCGTTGTCCAATTCTTCATCGGACGCAGCGAGCAACGTTCTCAGCCAGCTTTGGTCTCTATAGATGAGCTCATATATGGCAAAGGTCCCAGCGCGCTCTTTAGCTCGCCTCCAAAGACTTCACCTCTCAACACGCCCGCCAGCCCTCGGGGCCAAAAGGCTGGAAGAGGAGAACCAACCTTTACTTGGTACCATATTCCGGCAAACAACGTATGATCCCACTGTTGTCTCTCTGAATTGGCCATACGGAGCTGACTGGCGCGGACAGATAGCATGGGTAAACGTATGAGAGGCCACTCATCAAAGGGGAGAACGAAAACGAAAATCAAAAAACATACTGATCTGTGGGGATTAGGATCTCATCGTACGCTTGCTTGCTGAACGAAACCCAGATGCTGCGATGCCAGACAAAAACTTCCAGTCAAAACTGGGACTCAGTCCCATCAAAGGACGTGGCACACGCCAGAGAACCGGTGCCTTTTCTTATATGAGACCGTTTTCCAAATCTCTCAAGGTCGGCAACCATTGAAGCCACTCAGACATACCATGGCGATGCTGACCTTGTGGCCTTCAGACGGATCCGACTATGTCATGGGACAGTGGAAAGACAGAGCAGGCTGTCTCGTTTGTACGTTGACATTTCTTTCCAGGACACTGTCCAATCAAACATAACGGCTAACGTACTACCCCCAGATCCCATATCTCCATTATGAGACATCCGCAAATCACAGAGAAGCAAGTGCCGTGACAGCATACCTCAATGTCATTAAGAAAACCCAAGGCTTCAATAGAAATGTCTCCCATGCTCCTCCTGTACCTGGGAGCGCGTTTCTCAATGCGTCACGTCGCCAAGGTCCCCCGCCAGTTCCTTTTCCTGGGCCTCCTCCTGGCTCACGAGTTGTCCCTCATATGCCTCGCCAGTCGTACGGACCAACTGCTCGTCCACCATCTGGTCCACCGCCAAATGCAAGCAGGTTCCGGCCAGAACAGTCTTCATTTCCACCTGTACCTCTTCATACACTGCCGGGAAGTTCTCCACTCCCGGCTCCTAATTTCAATCCTAGGGTCCGAGGGGGTGGCTTGGGACCAGAAGCGGCCTTTTCCGCACCCCAACCAACAAAAGCGCAACCAAACTTCAAGTTCGCGTCCTGGTTTGCAGGCCATGGACGCGCAAAACCATCCAAGAAGAAGTTAAAGAAGGTATACGTCGAAACCCTTCGCGGACCTGACATGTTTGAACTCCCTAACGCGCGTCTCATCCTCGGCTATGGAGTCCCCGAAGAGAATGCACAGGTCCCATTCCAACCACGGAGGACACTAGATCAATACTTCTACTCCCACCTCGACGACATCTCTCGACGTGACCAAGATCAGGTCGTTTATCGCTACACTAAACAAGAAGGACTCCCCAAGATCTTCATGGTTGATCAGATGTGGCTGTGGGTCATTAATGGAGGTATGAGTACTGTTGATATGAATCTGCTTCTCGTCGCTTTCGCTAATAGACTCGAGCTAGACACTCTGATCACTTGTCTTCCTGCTAGGTGGCGTACTGAAACCGTCAAGCCGTCGTTGGTGACAACGGTATTACCTAAAGATGACCTACTACAAGGCCCATCAATCGAGCCACCAGGACCAACAGATGATCCTCCTGAGCCTTTCTTCATGACCCCAGCCGTTGAGGATTTGAATCAAGATCCCGACATACCGGATCTCATTGACGAGATCATCGTCGTCGAACCGACTGATGTGAAAGACTTGCACATGCACACTAGGCCTCACAGTCAAGAGGGCTTTGCTGCAGATCCTATGGATGTCCAGCATAGAGTCATGCGTCATCTCAAAGAAACAGCGAGAGAGCCCATCACATCCATTTATGACTTGGCTGGTCTGATTGCTACCTGCTGTGTTTCTGTGTTTGACGAGAATCAGATCCCCGAGGAGATGCAATTTTTCGACTTTTTCGAGCGCTCGATAGGCAGTATTGTAAGTGGTCCACCAAAACTAATATTATGATTATGAATTGACTTTTGACTGGGAGTAGATTGAGGGCGCGACTCAGAGCCTCTACGATTTCAAGAAAGAATTGAGTTCCGACCCCTACCACCTCGACGAGCCAACGGATGATGACCTCAACATCGCAAAAGAGATTGACTATCTTGTTGAGATAGAAGACATACAGGATGAGTTGCGGATTCTGAAACTAGTGCTGAAAGACCAAAAGATGGCTTCAGAACAGCTGGACTCCGTCCTTTTGCAGGGGAAAAGGAAGCTTAGCCTTTCTCACCACGAGAGCGAGGAGATCCATTCCATGATCGACCTGAGCTGCCTCAAACATCACTCCGACCGGATAGTCGAGATGGAGAAACTAGCCAGGACTGCACATGATTCGGTGAGTAAACTTGACCAGGCCAGGCCAGGTCGGATCTGAGTCTATTACTTTTGGCGTATGCTTGGCCAGTTTGGCGTTTTGGAGATACTGAATGGCTGGCAGCTTAAGCACCTCATCGACCTCAAACAGAAACAAGCCAATTTCTCTGAGGCTATTTCTTCGCGCAAATTAGCAAGAGAGACGGCCAAGAACACGGAATTGCAGATTCAGCAGACCGAAGAGATGAATAAACAAGCATTAGAGACTGCTAGACAGGGGAAGGTCCTTATGGTCTTCACGGTCGTCACAATCATTTTTGTACGTCTTCCAACCATCTTTGAAATAAGAAGAAATTTACACCTTCCTTTGCTCTATTTCCCTTCTCTGAGGCCTCCTCTAGAGAGAGGACATAGAATGCTGGGCCGTTATCAATTCACTGACCAGTCCACAGCTACCCTTGTCGTTCATGGCGACTTTCTTCGCCATCAATATCGATGCCTTCCCCGTCAATGAGGCTGGCAAGCTTGAACTCGGTTACATTCTCAAGTACATGTGTAAGTAGCTGCATTGTGTACCATCGCATTCGTTTCAAGCCAGACAAGTGCTTCTAAGATCAACGTCATCCTCGCACTTTCCGATCCTCGGTCATCTGCTAACGTGAATTGTAATTACTTCAGTAAGCATTAGCCTCGCCTTGGCCATTCCATTTGTGCTGGTCGTGTTCAGGATCGATTACGTGAAGCAGATGGGCAAATATGTCCGTGAGGGTGTCCTCAAGGCTGTGAACTCCCCACGTCTTATCCCAGCTATTTGTTACAGCACTCTAGGTTTGATTTTTGTTGTGGTCCCGTCCATCACATGGACCTCGAAGCTGGCCACAACGGCAAAGGTCGCAGTCACGATTTGCCTTGCGCTGGCCGTGGTGCTCGTCGCTGTAGGTGTGGGTCTGAAGAGGTTGGTAAACCTGGCGCGGAGTACGGCAGATCGTTCGACGGTGACTAGTGGTTCGGAGTACTTTACTGAGACGAGCAGGCGTTGAGGTCGGTGAGGTGGCGGGGATGGTGCTTCCTCCGTCTCATCCGGACCAGCGAAAGTAACATCTCGTTCTCCTCGCCAGCTGGGCCAAGGAACCCGTTGGACTCGTGGCGCAGATCATAACTCGTCTCATCATTAACCCACTATCGCCGTGACTGTGGCACTGCTGTCCTCCCTGCCGACTTCGCCTGTGACATGTATGGTGGTGGGATTTACCAAGCCGTAGGAAAAGATATCCCACGGGACTTGGGAGGGACAAAACCCAATTCCCGAGCATGGGACTTCTCTGGGGTTACCGACCTTGAAGATAAGTGCAGGTGCCTGGTAATACCCGTGCTGACTTCATATGCAGAGGCACGCAGAGGCACGACGACTTGCATGGTACATTGCATGTGTCTCATGCAACATAGCCTTTGGACAAGACAATCCTCTATCTCTGCCCAGCCCTTCGACCGCGAACGGTTGTTTGCATATTCTAGGTATCGCATCTTGGCCGCCCGGGTAGCAAAAATCTCTCGAAAGGCACTCCGCCATTGACAGGCAAGTATTTGCTTAATTCGAGAGACGTTGCGGGACCATCTTTGTGCCTCTTGCCAGGTGCCAGTGCCCAGCCCAACATCCACGCTCCTCTCTGAAGGTCCCTGCAAGTGTCTGTCTCATAGCTGTATCTAGACATCTGACGTGGCGGTTTCCTAAGTATGCTAATTCGCAGTTCCCCCGTCGAGGCTTGGTGCTTGCAGCTGCATTACCCGCTAGGTGTCAGAAGGCTAAGCGCATTACCAGGTGCTGCGCCTTCAACGATGGGCTATACCCCGACATCTCTTGGTGTCTGACCCCTACAGCCCTCTAAATACTCCATAGATTCCAGTTTGTTCTGGCGATTCGATCTCATCATTGTTACTGTGAGTCAAGCCTTAACCTAGCCAAGTTTCCAGAAGATGGCGACCTCGACGACCCCTTACCAAGATGCTCACAAGGCCTTCTTGGCCGATCTGTCGACAGAAGACCGGGAAACATTTGGCTCTTCGGTGGAAAAGCTCACATCAGCTGAGGACGTGATCATTACTTTAAAACTTCTCGTAAATCAACGAGATCGCAAGAGCGGACTTCATCGTTACGTAAATATCTTCAAGGGACTCAACGATCTACTCAAACCATACTTTGATGCCCTCAATACTCTAGCAGCCACCAACGATCTAGCGGCATGGGTCTACGGAGCTTTTCGCCTCGTCATACAGGTATTTATCGCGATAGGCCCAAGGTCCTACATATACAAGTACCAACCTAGTACTGATCTAATTTGAAAACCACTTTAGATGGCGAGTGCGTTTCCGACATTTCTCGACAAGTTCATGGAAATTCTTGGTTATCTAAGTAATGTGTTTCCCCAATACGAAGCCATTTCCAAGTTACTCGACGGCGAGTATCCGCCTCGACTACGCCGCCATTTCGAGCTTGTATACAAGGACCTGTTAGGGCTCCTTCAAGCTGCAGCCAAGATATTCACCGCGTCAAATGGAAGTCAGTACCTTGGGAAACTGTGAGGAAGTACCTTTGTCGTCTTTTGAGCCATGCTAACGTAAAACCAGAGATCAAACGTCCCGCGACTCTCATCGCAAACGCCATTTGGCGGCCATCTGACTCTCGTTTCAGCCAGCTGCTTCAAAGGATGAAGAGTCACCAGGCCTTCATCATGGACGAGGTCAAGATATTCATGGCATCACAGTCCATAGACCATGCCAAGTCCAGCAGCGATCGAGAGCAGCTCATCCAATGCAGTCTTGACAGGCTACAAGCACTTTCAGAGGACATGCAGTCGACAATTCATGAACAGTCCAAGGACAGCTTCGTCCGACGTCTTTTGAAGTGGTTAAACCCGCCACCATACGCCCAAACATTGGAAGACGCGCGGGATAAGCGGGGAGAGGGCACGTCTCAGTGGATATTCGAAGAGCCCATTTTCCAAAGGTGGCTTTCGTGTGAGGACACTCCCACCAACGACGCCCCACTCAACAAGCGAGAAACGCCTCCTCGCATGCTATGGATTCATGGTAGGCATATCACTTGCTACTCTTCATTGCTTCACTGCATTTCGATGTATCTAATCTCTAGGTGTTAGGTAACCCAGGGTGCGGGAAAACAGTTCTGGCCTCTGCAATAATCGACCATTTCAAAGAGCACCAGGGAGTCCAGGCCGAGCCATCCACCTTCATTGCTTACTTTTTCTTCAAGTATGACAATAGTCTCTTCTCAACCTCCAGCAACGCATATAGCTCTATTCTTGCACAGTTCCTCCATCAAAATCAACAAAACACGGATGTCTTGGACAAATTTCTCTTTGCGCAATTTGAGCCGTCCTTGGCCTCGGGGCAACATGTCGCCACCGACAATGATCTGAAGACCTGCCTACTGCGCATATTGGCGACGGTCGCTGGTCCGCTCTGTGTTGTGGTTGACGGTGTGGACGAAGCGAGCAACGCAAAGATTGTGTTCCGGCTTCTGAAGGAGTTGGTTACAAGCACGCCGGTGAAGCTTGTCTGTCTCAGCCGAACCAGTGTCAATGATTTATTTCATCAAGTTCCTGAAAGCAATCGCATTGCTATACAGCGAGAGTCTACCAGTCCCGACATCCGCAAGGTTTTCATACGGCACCTTACCGAGATGCACGAGGAGAATCAGATCCCGGGCAACTCAAACGTTTCAGACCTAGTCAATTCTCTCGTCCTGGGAGCCGATGGAATGTTCCTCTGGGCTGTGCTCATGGTCAAGTTCCTCGAGTCGCCGGCTTTGACTCCAAATCGTCGCATCAAGACCATTCAGAGTGTCCGGTTCCCAGAAGGTCTCGGAACCATGTATGACAGAATCGTGACGCTGATCAGTCACTCAGCGAGTCCAGAGCGGTCGCTTGCTTGCCGAATACTCCTATGGATTCGGTACTCACGGGAAATTTGTTCAGCTCAGATGCTCGAAACCTGTGTGAAGGATCCGGAGGAGGAAGATGCGTTCGATAATTTCCCCGCCCTTGCGCTGTCAGTATGCTGCGGGTTGGTTGAGTCCACCATGCGAGATGACACAAGTGCTCTATGTGCCTTTCGTTTCAGTCATCTTACGGTTGAGGAGTACCTTGATACCGCCCCATGGTCACGGCTCAACTTGGACCCGCCATTGCTGCCGTCCCGGCAGGTTGCACAGATCGAGATCGTCCAAAGATTGCCAACGGTGTCTTGCGCACCTTCTTTGGGCATCACCTGAAGTTGCCCCAACCCGAGATCTATACCGGGGGGGTGGTTGGGACACTGGATCATTCGAGGTATATGCTTCCAGGAACTGGACTTCCCATCTCACCGAGATTAGTGCATCTCAGCTCTCCGTCCTGAGTGATCCTGGTTCCATGCGGAGCGCCTTGGACACCTTGCAGACATTCACCTACTCCGCTCTTGCTGTGGCGTATTGGATAGAGGGCCTGCATGTGGCCCCCCCTTATACCCCTCAGATATCTCTCCTGTCAGCTGCAAGAGATTGGTCGAGAGAAATGGAGACGAGTGTGCATTCTGTATTGTCTATGCATTGCGTCAAGTCTATCCTTCAAAGCCTCTCCAAGCTGCTTGATCAGCTCATCAGTCTGGAGACGAACTGGGAAACGAAGCTGAACCAGAATCCTTCATTGATATGGGATGATATACTGGTCTTTCAAAAGACAGGCATCCTATCAAATATCGAACAATCCGACCAAGGGCCAAGTTTGAAACTTGCGACACTGGAGCCCAGTGCAGTGAAGGTTGCTGTGGGGTCTGACCTTCATCGCATCTGTGTTCTTAGTACCACATCAAAGGACGGATCGAGAATCGGAGTCCTCAGCGCCTATTGCTCGTCCGACTTCCAGAAGGTAATCTGCCCTGAGGATGACGAAGTTGACTCTCCACCCTGCAAAGGCTTTGAAGGCCCCTACGAACTTCGTTCCGAGTTCCTTCATTGGCATCCTACGGGACACATATGTCCTCAAGCAGAAAGGTTCAGTGTCGGGTGGGTCGCAATATATGAATTGTGGGATGCCGAAAGCAAAGATCGTCTAGTAAGTCACCGCATTGACTTGCCTGAGAAGGAGGTGGCTATCTTGCTTCGGCAGTCTCTGCGCAAGCAATCTGGACACAAGTCCAGTTTTCACATGAGCTTTCCTTTGGCCATCAGTCAGGACTGCCTCACTTTCTCAATTCTGAGGACAGTCTTCCGCTGCCAAATCTCATCCTGCAGAGTGTCTGCGTCACTCAGTTCTGTTGTCCTCAATCTTCACTTCTTGAGACACTATGAGGAGTTTTGGACTTCAAAGCGGTACAACGATGAGGATCGCCAAGCCGGCTGGAGCGAATGCGAGGACTCAACCCCAGTGGAAGATGCGTATATTTACACCATAATGTTCAGCCCGAACGGCAAATGCCTGTCCTTCGTCGACCATCGGAAACCCCAGTTAGCGGGAGACCTGCTGTTGGCCCATCTGACTGTATTCGACATATCAAATTACCCTGAGATCAGTATGCCGAAGTGGACCAGCATGCTTACCTTAGGTACCAATAGAATAAGCAGCGAGGTCTTCCATCCTACTCAACCTGCAATTGCATACTTAGCGAGCAGAAAAGCTTGGCTTTGGAACTTTCAGACAAGTAAGTGGAAGAGGCTTGTAAGCTACTTAGTACCTAGGTATTTTCTGGCAAGATATGAGACAGCTCAACCATTTCTCTCTAGATTCCAGACCAGTCCATCTGCCCATGGACTATGACAAATGTGCCGAGTACTGTTTTTACGGGTCATGTGCAACACATGGCTGCAATATGACGAACTGTATCTACAAGTCTCTCGACTTCTCCGCCTGCGGCCGCTATATCATTGCGAAAACAGGCCTGTTCTTTGCAGTGTCCGACTTAGCACCATTTACAAACACACAGCATGCTTCGGTACAACAACTCGATCAAAGCAAATGCGAAGATGATGCGGCCGCGCAGCCAGAGCAAACCAACGCAACTAGTCTCCAGAGACTCAGTAACCAGATGGGATTGGATGGCTCAGCCTTACAACCAGGAGCGCTAATAGACCAGTCGGCACTTGTCACAGGCCCCGGGCATGGCGACGCGACGCTCCTCACAGTTTCGTCTGCCACCCAGAACATCACATTAAATGTATCGACAGATGAATTATCCCAGCCCGTGCGGTCTCTGCAACTTCTCTCGGTACCAGCTTCTTTTGACACGCGCGACACTGCCGTCAGCGTACGCCTGCCAAGGACTGGGGACGACACCTTGCGAATCATTTTGAACAAAACGCCGTCGTATACTTATCACTTGAATGAGAGGAGAACGGGTTTCCCGAGTGTTGTTGAGAGAAGGATTGGGTCCTTGTATGAGGTGACGCCTGTGGGTCTCCTGGATAGCGAGGAAGCGGGCAGCCAGGGAAGCCTATTGATGCCCCCCGGCCTGGATAATGAGATTTTCGAAGCCGAGGACGATGAAGATGCCGCTGAAGAAGGTCATGTTGCGCGTGAATGGAGGAGGCTTGACTTTTCATGACTTGGACCTGTTTCTCGGTCTGTTTCTCGCCAAATGGCCGGCGTTGATCTCAGCAAACTCAGATACGTTCCGCACAGCTTATCGATGTGAAGTACGCTTTCTAAGTGCATTGTGAGATGAGATATCCGGCAGTGTAAGCAGCAATATTCGTCAGCAAAAATTACATATATTTTTGTATAATTATGAACGCAACGTACTGCTTGCTAATACCTTTTTCTTCTCCCAGGCGAACCGATGTTGTACATAATTTTACCGGTCTCAAATCTATGTAGTTCCGAAGAAATATGCAAGGCATAGCTAAACTGTACTCCACCATAAAGTAAGGGATCAGGGTTGTTACTGTTCTTTGGCAGCTTTATTATCTCTAGAGCAATACATGCCACACTTACTTAATTCGTAGTTTATGATATTCAGATCTTAGTTGGAAGTCTTTACCATGATCATGAGATCTACATCTTGGCTTTGGCGATCATGTTCATCAACAAAATATCATCTATCTTTCTCTAAACCCCTCATCAAACGCCATGGACAGGGCCTAGCTACGTATATCCATGCTAAGCTCGATGAGACCGCGCGAAGGCGAGTGTTCTTACATTAGCCATTTCCAGCATTTCAGCTTACCTGTACTATTGTGTTGGTCAACACCATGAGACTGGTGTGGCTTGTCGCAGGCAGCCACCGAAGCCACCCTCATCTAATCAGTTGTCAGCACACGCTGCGCTTGCAGGGGCACTGCATACCTAAGCCACGCGGACATTGAGCAGAGCCTCGCTTGGCATCAGCCGCTCCCTCCTTTCCAAGTAGTTATACAAATTTCTTCTTTGCGGACCGTTGCGTGTCGCAGTGGGAGCTCAAATTCATTTCGTCCCTTGCTAGCCAGTCCATGCACAAATTCTCGCCCTACCTGACATAAGTGATCATTGATAGTTACTTATGTTACGATAGGACCCAGAACGACTTGGACCCGATGGAAGAGCCTGATGGCACAAACAAATTCAAATTGGGAGTCGCCACGGTGGACGAGGTAGTCGAGAAAGACGACGCCACGAAGACAACGACAGACCAAGCCAACGATGACTTAACGGAAGAGTCTGACAAGAACGACGAATCGGAGGTGGATTATGATGATGATGATGCAGCCGCCGCCACCGCCTCCATAGAGGACATAGATGAAGAAAATAGCACCAGGGAGACGAGAAGAAATCCACCGAAAGACGACTGGATGGTCATACCACGGCGCTCTAGTTTGTCAGGAATGCAGGCGCCCTACTGTTTCATTTATCGGAGACTATCAAGTACAGATTCGACCCGACTATTGGTCGTGTCCGGATCCGACGACAGGGAAAGCGAAATCCGCTGCCACCTGGTCGAGGTACGCCTGTCAGAGGTCCGTGAAGCCGAAAATGGGTACACGGCGCTTTCGTACGCGTGGGGAACCGGGGACCGCAACTGTGAGATATGGATCGGGGCACACAAGTGTCTCATCAATCCCAATCTCGAGTCGGCACTCCGCCATCTGCGCTGCCAGGACCGTCCCATCCGACTCTGGATCGATGCGCTCTGTATCAACCAGACGGATCTCCTCGAGCGCAACCAGCAGGTACAGCAGATGCGCAGCATATACGCCGCAGCCTCGGAGACAGTCATCTACCTCGGAGCCCAGGATGGTGGCAACACCGGCCGCTCTGCTTGGAACTTTCTCGAACGGAATAGCTCCTGGGCCTGGAATGACCACCAGGACCGTGACTACACAGTTGCAAAGAAATTGGAAGAATCGATCTCCTTTCGTGGGGAGTTGAGGGATGTCGAAATTGACGTGCTATCCCGGCCATGGTTCCGAAGACTTTGGGTTTTCCAGGAGGCCGTGGTCTCGAGATGCTTGTCTATACAGTGCGGTCCTCGGCGCATCGCCTGGGACGACTTCTGCGCAACAGTCCTCCTGTCTCCCAAAATTCACGACCAGTACGGCTTCAGTCTCCTGTACCTCAACAACGCAGGTATCGTGCGAGATATGGCTCTCTCGCGCAACGAGTATCTACGCAGCCAAGGTTTGAATCGGTTTCTGCCAGCCTGGAAGATACCAAAGGCATGGGACACCTCATCTGACGGCTTGACCATCTTACGACTGCTTGCAAGGACGAGGTTCCTTCAAGCCTCGGATGCAAGAGACAAGATCTTTGGCCTGTTAGGTATAGCCACCGATATCGACACGAGCGATCCCGGGTTCGCCATCGACTACCGCGTCCACTACTACGAGCTGTATGTCCGATTCACAAAACACATCATCAAGACTATGAGATCATACGACATCATCTCATACGTGAATTCTGCAGCCGAGTCGCTTTTGCCTGGGCCGTATCTGCCCTCTTGGGTGCCCAACTGGGACTATGAGGAGATTGTGTCCTATGCCAGCGACCTCACGATTTTGGAGACCCTCCCGGCAGAGACACCGACGCAGAAGCAATCTCGCCAGAGCCGTATCCTCACCTCTTGGTCCACCGATAACAACTACTTGGGACTTGTGTCAGCAGGGCGAATTATCGGCCAGATTGAGGAACACACCTTACCATTACGGCTGGTTGGACTGGACGAGGTGTCCTTCGAAGCTGAGAGAGTCAGTGCGGGCCAAGAAGACGACCTGTTCCATCCCATCATGACACTATGGACCGAAAGGCTCTTTTTTAGTCCCCACGACTCCAGCTCCAGCTCCGGTGGTGCATCAACCGACGACACAGAACAACAGCCTATTGATATCGCCAGTCCAGGGGGCGGCAGACTCAAAGCCATAAAAAACCCTCTACGGGCGACATGCTTTTCTTCTCATCTAGATCGTGCCCGAATGCAGGACCGCAACTCGGTCGAGCGCCACCTGTACGCCAGAGGACGCCAGACCGCCAGCTGGTCGGACGGCAACAATAAAGCAGTGGTCCCTATCGTAGATGGGGAGTCGATCGTAGACGGCAAGAGACTGGCCATCTGCATCACGGCAGACGCTCCCTTTGAGCAGCTGGCTCTTGTCCCGGAGCTGGCACAGGTAGGAGACCTGATTGTTCAGCTGAGTGGCTCACGTGTTCCTTATGTTGTCAGGCCTCACGGTGGTAGATTTTGGCCGGATGAGATTGCGAATATGAGCTGGATGTTTGTGGAGGGGCCGACTGTGAAAACTGTGAGGTGTAGGCTTGTTGGTGAGTGTGTGCTCAATGGATTTGAGGAGTTGCCTGAAGATATGATGAGAACGGCAGTCGCCATATTCTAGATAATAATTAATAGTAATATGCTTCATAACAGTTGTTGTTCACAATAATTGTTTTATCCTCCAAGACTCGTCAATGTTGTCGAGGTTGTGTCCAATGTTAGGAACCTTTACCCTCAAATTTGTTGAACAAGATTTCCTCGTCCAGCTACCACTTTCAAAGTCTGTCAAACAACCATAATCACGCCTCTCTTGATTCGAAACCGCCGTGTACATATCAAACCTCTCAAATCTTCTTTTGCAGCTACGAGCACCCGTTGAATCATTCAATATCCCATACTTACATGCTCGTGTACTTATGCGATGTGGGAGGATTAGGACACCGGAACGTAACAACCCGGACACCAAAGGCAACCCGCGCCACCACAATCTACACGACACCAACCAAACCCTGACAGTTTTTCCGCCAAGCCTCGCTTTCTGGCCCGCCTTTCCCAAGATCTGGACACTCTTCCAAAACCGGGGTCAGACAGGACGATTCCCTGCAGAAACCCAATGTCGGTACACCAGAACCCGGTTCTATTCAGGAAACTCCAGGCCCAGGCTCCGCGTACACAGGTTCTGGCTAGTAGATTAAGAGGAAGAAAATACATATGAGTTGACTAGCATCCTCATATATAAGCAGAAAGGGCCGGGCCTTTATGGCAATGCAGAGGAAGGATAGTCTGTAGGCTGTGTGGCGCCTCAAGACAGTTCCCTCAGCGCACTTTTAAATACTACCGTGAACTATCCTTTTGTGTGATTGCGAGATCTCAGCGTCATAAGCAATGAAGCAGAGGACCCTCATCGCGCTTCCCTGCCTCGCTGCAGGCGCCGTAGCCCAGAGCTCGGCCGGCGCATATGATCAGTGTAAGACGATGGCGCAGAGTAACCCCAAGGCATGAATATGGTAGTCTCCCAGGAAAACTGACACTGCGCCAAGGCGGAGGAAGCGGCTACACTGGCCCCACGGCCTGCGTCTCGGGGTATTACTGCACAGATTATAATGCCTACTACTACCAGTGCGTGCCCGGCACGACGACGGGGGAGGTCTCGACGACGAGCGTGTCGTCCACCCCAGCGTCGACCACGGCCACGGCCACCCCTACCACCAGCGCAGGCACCAGCCCCACGACCTCCTCCTCCCCAGCAGCGACGACGACGACCACCACCACCACCACTCCAGAAACAACAGCCACAGCAACCAGCACAGCCTCTGACACCGTCACACCCTCCGGCACGTCGACCCTCTCGTCAGGCTGGTACTGGATCCGCGCGGTGGAGACGCCTTACTACCATTCGTACCTCCAGACGCTCCCGACGGCCACCCCTGGCGACGCTCTGATGGACAGCCCCCTCACGGCGGGGCAGTTCAACATCATCGACGGCCAGCTCGTGTACAATACCGGGTCGGGCACCGACGACGCCCTGTACATGTGGGTCGAGGACCCGGCAGACAAGACCCAGCGGGCCCTGTTGACGTGGTTCAACTCGACCGAGAACACGTACGGGAATTTCTCCTTCTCAGGGGACACGGTGACGTGGGTCGACCCGGATGTGGACAGGGGGAACACGGCTGCCTTTTATGTCTGCCCCGACAACACGACCGGGGCCAACGATTTGTATGTGAACACGGGGGCGTATGATTATGAGACGCCTTCGGGTTGCTATGACATTGATGTGAGTCCCAAGTCAAAATTTTCCCACCTCGCTTGAGGATTTTGATGGTCGCCGGAAGGGTATGACACCGTGGCTGACTGTGACGAATGATAGATCCATTCTTATGGCGGGTCAACGGCTACTGTTTGAGAGTGACCAGCATCAGTCTCGACAAAACAAGATAGCAGGTCATATGAAGCAAATAGAGTGAGATTGGTTGCAATCCGGAGACGAGAAGCCCGTGTAATGTGACCATTTGTTGCACGGTATGATCCTCCTGTCTCTCCAGTCGAAAGAGCTATCTACACAAGTGGTATCAATGTTGTCACCGCATATGAAATGTCATGACCGCGCCGTCCTCCACCTGCCTCGGATTCTTTTGACGAACTTGTGGTCTCTCGACATTTGTCTCTTACTTCCTCCAATGATTGCCCTGGAACCATGAATCATTTTAGGCACTAAAGGTCGCTCTTGGTAAATGACTTGTTTATGTTGTACTGTTGAGGGATGATCAGAGGCAGACCTGCATTACTTCAGCTTGCGCAGTCCGTTCTTTCCTTAGCAGGCTGTACAAGAAGGAAGAAAAGGTTCCAGATAGGGAAAGCCATGTTTCTCTGAAGAGAAAAAAGTGGCAAACAGGGGGAGGGGTATAGAGAGCAGGACAGAAAATAGACATGAGCGGTGAAGGGTCAAGCCGTGGCTGAATGGAGGAGGGGAGGAAAACAACAGAGCAGACTCAGCCAAAACCTGAGATTCTGGTCACTGCGAAAACCAGCGCCATTCGAGTGTAGAATGATGATCAATTACCTCGTCAACACTATTAAATCATGACAGACTTCTCTGATATCACAGTCTGCCGTAAGGCAATTTCGCCAGGGGAGACTCTGGCATTCGCGCCCGATAGTATAAAACCCTGCTACAAGTAGTGAAGGATTGGGACTCTCGGTAATTCACCGCACTGTTCATGAGATCAGTCGACGACGCCATCAGGACCGCCATCGATGCCGACCAGCTTGAAACTTTGCATTGCGTGATTCGACGGTTTGTGGGAGGCGGAAATGCTCAGCACAATGACTAACCACCTCGCATGCGCGAGGTCTAGATCAGGTTCTGGATCCAAAATACTCGAGAACCATGACCTCAGTACTTATTCTTTCTGCTTTGTTGGATGGCTCGTAAAACCTTGTGGTAGCCTTAGGAATGCATTACGTATTGCCCAAGTTCAACGGCGCCATTGAGGCTGGCGATTGCTACTTGGCCTCTTGTCATTTGCTTGAGTCAATGATGCAGCCTGGGGTGGTCTTGTGGCCGGTGAGCTGTGATACAACGTACACCTTTGCCGATCCTCTGCGATTATGGGTGTCGACCGTTCGACTTGTAACGCATGTTATGTGTTAATTACCTGCCACATGTGAGCCAGATCGTGGCAATAGCTTAGCCGCCAAGAGGTCGTCCGTGCTGGTCCGAGTCGACCGATCGAGCCGCCTGCAGGAAAAAGGTCAGATTTTCTCCACTGGGATTTGGATGAATACTACATCCTTCGGTTCTCCGCTCCCTGTGCCAGGAGGTGAAGTCCACCTCCCGTATTGAGACAAGTAGGTGGCCGGCGGCGAGGACCGCACCATCGTATTCCAATAGAGTCGGTGAGGTTTTGAGGGGCGATCGCAACCCCCCTTCACGTGGAAGGTGCACAGAACATTCCAAAATCTCCGAGAGGGTGGCACAGGGTGTTTGCGCTGCGCAAGTGTGAGTGGCCCTTGAATGGGATGGCGTAGAACAATGCGTGTGCTGGGGTAGCCTTGCCCACCTCCCCCCCTTCTTCCCCTCCCTCCTTGGAACTAGTTGCAGCATCCGACCATCCGGCGTCACGTCTGGCGGCGTTGACTGACGTATAGGATTGAATGCAGATCGGCTCTTTCTCAATTGACAACAATTGTCACGCGAGCAGAAGGGCGGCAGTGTATTATTAGGAGCATCTTGAACAAGACAATGACCGTTGTGCCGTATCCTCCGAGATCCGCCGGCCTCGGCATGCACGTTCTGGTTTTGTAAAAGCTAAGCTGTGACAGGGCATGTAGGTAGCCGCCGGCTGTGACGTTGGCACAGTATTCCTGCAAGGTCGAGATGGGGGACGGGGGCCCAAGGGGCCCATTGATGCGTTGTCCAGACCGCAACGTAATTTTACATGCACGGAGAGAGACGAACCAACAGCAGGTGAGCAAATGAAAACGTAACAAGTTCTATAGTTGGATGGTCCTGTGGTTTTGGGGGATGCTCGTATGATCGAGGAGGGAGGACTAGGGTCGGATGCGAACCGGCGGAGCCTCGTGGATCAGAATTGGTCAAATCTGCGATAGGCCAAGCTTTTTCATCACCTCCCACGCCTGTGCATTGAAAGATGCACGGGAAGATCAGCAGGATGCCAGCCAACAAAAAAGCCAGGCCTGTGCCCGCGGTGGCACTTCTTTGTCTCGAACCGGGAGATTACCGGCAGGGCTCTAAGGGCAGGGGTGGCGCTGGAACAACAGCAAACGCAGATCTCTGAGGCTGTCGATCCATCCCACACTCGGCCTGGATTGACCCCCACGGTCCAGTAAGCCAGAGCCGCGCTGTCGGATCCGAAACACAGGCTAGAAGAGTGGTGGATGTGTTCGACTGGGCTTCTATTGCATACCGTTATCGCCCTTGGTCCACGCCCAAACATTCGACATCGGGTCTGCCTGAGACATTGCCCCCCGTTCTCTTTGCCACACGCGAGCACTCAGTCAGGTAGTCTGGCATTCGATTCTCGGAGTTCCTCCGGCCGGTGTGCGTCCAGTCTTCTTGCACATCGTCCTCCGGGCTTTGTAGGAAGTGGGTATTTGCCCCGCAGAGCACTTGTTTTGTTATGGCAAAACTTGGAGTCCCTGCTAGATCTGGTGGGCCCGCGGGGTTGACCCCATACTGTGAATTCCTGCACAGTACGAATTGATCACGCCACCCCTGATGGCATGCTGAGGCGATGCCTCACGATGTCGTGTGGAGTGAGGGGACTGACACAAATCGTATATTGCGTTACGGGTCCATGGAGCCAAGGGCCGTTACTTTGGCGCATCCACCCACTGGTGCCTTTGCAAACAAAGTCCCCCAAAACTGATCACCTGGATCCTTCCCCCCCTTGCGGGACAGGGTGACCCGACGGCACAGTCTCCCCTCAGCCAGGCAGTATTACCAAATGCCGCGCAAATCATACTGAGAACCAAGGCCGATAACGTAGTATAGATGTAGTGATGATTCGATCAGGAGCATTGTCCGATCGACTGCTCGGCGCCTTTCTCCTCTAAACACCAAGTCGTGGAATTAATTAGCTTGGCCCTCGGGACCCGACGGTACGTCGGAGTGGAGAGCAGCAGCCCAGGGATCCCCCCTCCCATCTCTCTTGGACGAAGGACGGAATAGTCCTCTCGAATTGCAACATACGTGGTATTCAAGCGAGCCTTTCTCTCGCTCTCACTCTTTTCTTGTTTTTTTTTGTGTTTGCTTTTTTGTTGGTCTTCCCCTTTTTTCTTTTGTTTATGAACATTTAGGTAGGGGATGACGGGGCATGGAACAGCCTGGGGGACGCGTGCGCGGAGCCCGAAGGGGAGTATGTGTGTCCCAGGCTCTTCCCGGGCGTGGTGGACACTGAATGCAGCCATACTGTAAGTCGATGGCTCGTCTGCATGGGCTTCGGGTGGTACTGCATGGCGTGCCTGATCCTGATGTCAGATATGTGACTTTGAACCCTTTCCTCGCGTGGAAGATGATGGTGTGTTGCACGAGCAGATATTCTCGTCATCATGCTTGCGAGAGCATGTGGCAATTTTCCCCGTGTGTGTGGTGGGGGCTGTGTATTATAGTATGGTAATATTGGATCCCTCTTAGGACGTTTGTCTGCCCTATCAGGCACAGAACAGGGCGCAACGGAAACGCAAGACGATCTGCAGCACGTCAGCAATGGCAGCGCGGTCGGCTGACGGCATCCTCAGCTTTCTTGATTATGATCAGCTGGACGCTCAGCGCCTCCATTACGGCAAACCAGGCTGGCAATTCGGATGGCAGGGATTATGGTTGATACGGACAAGGGATGCAGGGGAGAGGGATAGAGTGAGTATTATGGATGGGTTGGGGAGGGGTGTGGCATGGGTATTGGGTATGGGAATGTTGGTGTCGGTGTTTGGTGGTGGTGATGGACGAGGAAGGGAGGAGGGGCAGGGCGAGGAGGTTGATGGGAGGCGCGAGGATCGGGCATGTACAACGACTGTACGAAATACTGTGTAGCGCTGCCACTAACTTGTTCCTTCCTCCATACGTTCGTTATACTGTGTAGTAGTTGGCGGGAGGAGCAACTCAGTGTTCATCCTCTCACCAACAGGTCCAGACTCACACTGTACCTCTCCTGCCAAAGCTGGGAAGCGGCGGTCTCACAGGCCCCACTTCACTTGGGGTTGATTTCGACGACATTGACCACGAAGATCCCTGAACCTGGGGCCATGAGCGACCAATCGACCAATCGACCAGCCCAAACCCATTGTACACCTTCGTCAGCAGCATTACTATTCCTTCTCACCTAACTGTACACACCAAAACCGCCCCATCCAAGACTCAAGTCAACACACAAAACACCGGGCCGGTAGCTCACATGTCCAACCATCCGGACAAGATGTCCGGAAAAGGTGTCACTTTCAGGTAGCCCTCACTGTCGATCCCATCCGCCGAACCACCAGAGGGCACCACCATCGTTTGCCTGCATCACACCTGCGACCATCTCGGCGGTATCCAACTCGCGACCCGTGGATGTAGGTCAGAATCGTGTGGTCCTTGCAGCACGTAGCAAGCACGAGCACGAGCATGAAAATAAGCTGGCTGGCTGGCTGGATTGATGGATGGAGGGAGGGCAGGACGAGGTGGAATGAAGGGGGCGGAGGTACACACACACACACACACACAGAGAGAGAGAGAGAGAGAGAGAGAGAGCTTGACTCGTCTACCGCCTCACCGCTCATTTCATCACTCATTGGACCTGGAAACGCCTGCACGATTGCATGTCAGCACCTGGCCACCTCACTCTAGCCCTATACCAAGAACCCTCAACCTCAGCAGCCTTGCGGTAGTCCAGCAGCCTCACGCTGCGCTCCAGTTTCTCAATGGCAATCGCTCGCCCGCCTCCTGTCAGGGTAGGGGAGGACCACAGCCCTAAAAGACACAAAGAGGAGCTTTGGCGATATCGGATGCCCATCCAGGCGGCACATGTCTATAAACGGTATGCCCGAGCCGTCCAACATGTGCCGCCCTTCGGATTGCTGGTCAGACATGTCAGAATCGACGTGCTCACCATCTGACATGACACGACGCGGGTATCGAGTTCCAGCGGTGCGACCAGGTGGGTGCGCACTTGGCACCACTCATTCTTGCCTGGATCGGTCTTCTTCCAAGGAACTGTCGCGTTCGATGTTACAAATGGTCACAAGACGTTCAAATCCAGTTATTGCCGTCGAGGCCACTAAACTGACACACACACACACGGTCCATTGATCCTCGATTTGTATTGCTAATACACGCGACTGGATGGGCCCAAGGCGTGCCTTGGGAATGGGATAGACCTTGCAAATAGTAGGCACCGATTCATACCGACTGACGGACGGACCTGATCTTGCTCGAGGATGTGGCCAGTACAAGAGAGGGCCCAAGTAACGCGCCCTGCTTCGAAGCATGACCATGACAGCAGCAAGGGCAAATAGACGAACGACCCCCAGGTTCTTTGTGGCTTCCACGGACGGCGGTTCTACAGACTAACCCCCACGAGAACCACTTTTTAGTCTATCTTGAGGTCGGGGAACCCCCTGCCCATGTTCTCTCATTGCACATGACTGCGCAGCCCAGGCAGCCTCTTCTCTGTTCCCGGCTAGATTCCCGCACTGTATCCAGAAGAAAATCACTGCAACCCCAAATCTGCACAGTCTCGTTGGACCCTGAGGCCTGCTGCATGGCTGAGAGGCAGTCCATGGTATTGCAGCAAGCCCTGGTCGAGCACTAACTGCTACGTAGTATACGTACTATGTACGTCGTTCTCAGCCCAGTATATTTCCGTCCGTTTCTCGACCGTCCAATAGGCGTGGTGGACCTGGGTCAGGCGAAGTGGGATTTCTCAGAGGTACCGAGCACGCCTCGGGTTCCCGATGAATAAGAAGTGACAGAAGCGAGTGCCAAAGAGAAAGAGAAGAATGGAGTCCACGTCAGATCCCTTGCGGCACAATTGCCCTACCTCTGGTAACTATAAAATATCACCAGGTCGCCTGCCCACTTCCTACTCTCCATCGGCCGGCCCCCCCCATCTTCTCCCACGCCCACGCCTCTCACCTGCTCCCTACTGCCGCTTCTGCATATCATCCCACGCTACCGACCATATCCTATCCGTGGTTCTCCCTCTCTCTCCCTCTCCTTCACACCCCCTAGATCACAATGGCTCCTCATCTTGATGCGCCACCTGCCGGCAGCTATACGTCTGGCTTCAACAGGGGCACCAGGCATCCTACCGGCTCGTCGACAACCCGTGTACCCTCCAACAACAACAATCTTATGCCGGTCGATTCCGATTCGTCACTGAGCAGCTCTTTCGAGAGCAATACGATGGACGGTGACTGGCATCTCAGCCGGCCGCTGGTCCCTGGCGTTTATGTTCCCACGATGTGCTTTTTTGAAGAAGATACCGAGGACATCGACGTGGCTACCGTAGCAAGTCATGCGGTGCGCCTGGCTCGTGCAGGCGTGACAGGGCTTGCAACCCAAGGTTCCAATGGAGAGGCTGTCCATCTTACCCACACCGAGAGGTCGCTGGTCACAGCTACCACGCGCAAGGCCTTGAACGATGCTGGGTTCTCTTCCATGCCCATCATTGTGGGCTGTGGAAGCCAGAGCGTACGAGAGACTGTGCAGCTCTGCACTGAGGCCTGGGAAGCAGGGGGTGACTACGCACTGGTTCTGCCTCCTGCCTACTATTCGTCTCTCTTCGCTCCATCATCAGGGACCATCTTTGACTTCTTCCACGCCGTGGCCGACGCTTCCCCCATTCCCATCATCATCTACAACTTTCCGGGTGCCGTTGGTGGGCTGGACCTCTCATCTGATGTCATCACCAAGTTGGCAGAACACCCCAACATCGTGGGCGTCAAGCTCACCTGCGGCAACACGGGCAAGCTGGCACGAGTGGCTGCCGCCACTAAAAAGCTGAGCAAGAATTACAACCCTCAGCGACCCGACTTCCTTGTTCTTGCCGGATCCGCCGACTTCACAATCCAATCTCTCGTCGCCGGTGGTCACGGCATCCTGGCAGGCCTGGCCAACATCTCTCCCAAGGCCTGCATTAGGACAATGCAGCTCTTCCACTCTGGCAGCCTTGCTGAAGCCCAGGAGATGCAGGCGGTGGTGGCTGCAGGAGACTGGGCCGCCATCCAAAGCGGCGTCGTGGGCACCAAGGAAGGCCTGCGCGTATGGAGTGGGTATGGTGGATATTGCAGAAGCCCGCTCCCCAAGCCGACTTCTGAGCAGTCCCAGAAGTGTAAGGAAGGCTTCAGAGATCTCGTGCTGCTCGAGAAGAGTCTGTGATCTTGTCATCACGGAATGCTTCCGGACAGACACGCACACATTCAAAAGTGAGCCGTGGTAAATCCCATGGTTTGTTGACTTGCCGTTGGTCATTTGAGACGGACCATTCGGCGAATTCCCAAATTTCCTATCATTTCCCTATTCCGCTACAGACTCTCGGAAATTCTCTGATTATGAAACATAATGATGACTGTCTCGCACCAGGGTTGAGGTACATGCTTTGGGGAAAAGCTTTGTACTGTACTAGAATGGTTGTACCAGGCGTCTCAGGAGCTCTTTGAATTGAAATAATAGTACCCAGTTAAAAATCCCAATATATTATATTGCCTAACTGCGCCTGTGCTTTTGTCTCGAAAATCTATCTTTTGTGCAAGCATCCTTCACGGAAAGAAAGAGAAAAAAGACACGACAAACAAAAGGAAAAAAAAGGAAAAAAAAACCCAGACTTGATCTCGTTTGCTTTCAATATTGAGCTACCCGAAAACCTCTCTGGCTACACTGGTTCATACCACGACATATTAGCTCGTCGCCTGTCTTCTTTCTTACCTAGCATAGCAGTCGCAGGCTGAAGGCGGTCCCCCCACGGCATGATACACACGGCACTGTCAAAGCAAGATAAGTAGGCAGGGCGAAAATGCCAATCCCAACAACAAACTCTTGCATTGATATCTCGACAACAGCATAGTTCCCTGCCGTGCTTATCTGACGAGGCAAACCATCCTGCCGCGCCCCCCTCCCTCCTCCACGAGTAATATTAGCAAGCGACATGTCTCGGGCTATATCGTGCGAGGGTCCCTGTCTTAATCTGCTCTTGCCAAGGAGAGAAGTCATACCAGCTGACATGAGAACTTCTGCGGCACGCACGACCCTCATTTTTACCTGCCCATGTGCGTATAAATCACCTTATCTGCGCCCTCGTTCCCGTCCTGGCCGGCAAGTATATGTTGCGTCAGGAACCTGGGCTCAGCTAACCAGATGATCAAACCTCGACCGGTCGGCTCTGTGTGCCGTCGGGTGAGAAAAAGGAGTGGTGGGTCAGTGTTCGATGACGCGATGTTGGTTGCAAGTCACGTCTAATCAATTGATCCGGTTGCGACTGAAGGCCACACGGATGATTCTTTTTTTCTTCTGCGAAACTTCTCTTTTTCCTTGCGCTGATTGTCGATGGTGGGAATTTCTACGGTGACTTGGGCAACGTAGTCATCATCATACACACACACACACACACACCACCACGTTTGGTTTCTTTCAGTACGACATCGGGAGAGTTCTCACCGATGCGCCGTGGGGTTTGGATGCTACACAATCTCTGGCATGAGCAGATAGATGATGAGAATGGCGCCTTTTCCATGACACAACAGCAGAGAAAGACGGACACAAAGAAGCCGCTGGTGTCGTACAACAGGAAAGAATCGGCGGGCAACTGAACGGGGCGAGCTGCAGGAGACTCGCGCCCATGTGGCCACCGTGCCATTGGGGGTTCGTATGGGCCCTGTTGCGACTTTTGTCACTCGGTCGTTAACTCCGGAATGATACCACGACTCTGGTATGTATTGTCGCATTCTGGAGTACCAGCGGGGCTGCGCTTCTGTTTTGCTCGACTCGAATCACATTTTGTAGCGGGTGAGGCGGTGATTAAAGAGGCTCTCATACTGGCGTGACTTGACGGCGTTTGGAGAATTTCTGTGACAAGCGGGAGAGGAGCAAGCACCAGGGAGCATCTCTGTAATCATTACGAATGATGGCTTTGTTGCCATATTAGGTAAAAGTTGATAGACTTCATGCCTACGTCTTTCGGGAATTTGGCCCGAGCAGTGGGTGGTCGCGACTCATCATGCCCTATTCCTCCTTGTTCTTCGCCTTGGTCCTAGTAATTGCGGCACTGGATGACGGTGCTCGGGCGCCTGGTTTATACACCAGTCAAATCTATTCACATACAGTTGTTTCTTGGCAAGGCTGTGAGTCTGAAGGGCTGTCCACGCCAGATACCGGGCCTCCTTCTCTTTTCTCCACACTCCCAGTCCTCAGCACCTGCTATTTTCTCACGAGAGTCTAAGCGGATCTATTCTTCCTTCACTCGTGATGAGCATACATGGCCTGATTCTTCCAGCCGTACAATGACGTTTGACGAGCGAAGGCCGTAGGCGGTATCATTCAGGCAGGAGCTTGTCCTGCTACTTTAAGCAAAATCATACTATGTAACGGCGTCTGATCGCTGTCAGAAACATGTGTTCCTTTTCATACTGGTATAATATACTCTTGTCAGCCAGTGATAAGCGCATCATAGTTGGAACCGCGAACCAGATCCCACCCCTGAAGGTATTATGTTTGGGCCAACAGCTCCAACGTTGCTGGAGCGTTGATAATTAAATGCTGGACGTGCGAATAGCTTATGAGGTTCTCTTTCCTGGGTGAGATCAAGTAAAGGGGCATTGGCTAATTTTGTCTCTGTACGTGGTTTGGGGCATCAGCCATACATTGCCCTCCGAGGTGAGCCACTGCATTCTGCCCCGATACACAGATTTTATGATAGAAATTCCCTCGGAAGAAATTCCGGTCTCTCAGGTCTTGAACATCTCCCTGCAATGAGACAAAGACGATGCTCCGAAACACCTAACGGCCGCAGTGTAGTTTCAGGTGGTATATCAGGGTTCGGCACAGGATCCGACACTGCCAGAGGCCGCTGCCCACGCCGCAAACACCATGAACAGTCCAGTTGGAAGGTTGACCCGTTGGGACCTATTTCGCAGCTACTCACTACACTTCTCATCCACGGCCCAGCGTATGAATTCTGTAGTTCTACTGGGAAGCACCTTACCACCTACTTTCCGACTACAGACCTAACGAACAACGTCACGGTGGGGGGGGACTTGCTTGAGAGATCAGCTAGGAGGGGTTAGGAGTGCACATCTCGTTACCTAAGTAGAGTACGGCTGGCGTACTGGCTGATGGTGACCTTTTCTCCCCCTCTTTTGACGTGCCTGCAGCCATGAGGGGAGATGACTGTGCTCTAGTCTGTGCTCCCCCACCGCTCAGCTAAGTAGGGGGTGCAGGATTTTCCTGCGGGCAATATGGCTTCGCGGCCAAGTCGTCTAGTCAGGTTTTCCACTAACAGGGCCATCCTTCACAGAAAACAGTTGCGCCGCTTATGACAGTATTGAGGGTTGCAGAGCCCGACTCTGTGTGCAAATGCTGGCGCGCTTCTTTGGCAGCAAGCGGGGATACGGCGACCTTCGTCCGTCATATCTGTGCCACATATGTCGCCCTTATTTTTCACTCCACTGTCTATATCCTCGACAGCCCTGTTGGCACCCTCCACCAGTGCATGTGGTAGTGAAAATAGGGGGCAGATCAACAAAGGGGGGTGGGCCTCCTCGTCGTCATCATCATGTAGCTGTGGGGATATGTTGCTTAGGATGCTCCTGGTGTCCTTTATCTTGTCCCAAGGGCACTTCCATTTCAGCTTCGTTGGCCTATCGTCTGCATTTGCTTGCAAACTGCCACAAGGTCTGGGCTGTAGCTGGCAAGATGCGCTGATTCAATCAAAAGGCAAAAACGTTGAGAAGAACGGCAGCCTCCGTCTCATATCCAATAGGGAATGAGGATGACAAGAGCTTCGCTGCAGCCGGCAGTCGATTCATATGCTGATAGAGGAAGAAGAGGACAATTCGAGCTGGGTAATATGGTCACAATACTCAGAATGGTTTTGATAGCCCACGAGGCTTGATGGCAATCTCGGGGGTCTCCATACCGGTAAGGTCGTCCAAGTCCTGTAGACGCCGTCGACGAAGGCAGTCAATGCGAAGATGATCGTCGAGTTAGACCCAGAATACGTTGAAGAGATCGCTGCATGTCGTCGTTGATAGCTAGACTGGCGAGCCTCCATTACGCTGTGCCTTGATGGCAAGCCATCATCAACTGTCAAAGAGCAGCGTGCGTGGATGAAGATCAGAATGGTCAACAATGAATAGAATGCTTAAAGGAGTCGTCATGGAGTGTGGTTGCGATTGGAATGTATTATATCGCGTGGGCATGAGAACGAGAAGGAGGGAAGAAATGCTCTAGGCTTGGCCATCTTGGGAGTGTACTATGCACGTCATTTGAAGCGCGGGGTGAAAGGGTCCAGGGGCCAGTGTGACAGGGGGGGGAAGATGCAGGGGTACTTATACAGGGATAGGCCATGTACTTGATCAGATGAGAAGGCAACCAGTGAGAGGGAATGAATGCGGGGGTACCCGCTATCACATGAGCAGTGTGCTTTATTAATACTACAGAAAACCATTAGCTAGCGAGTTGGTTCGTCTCTACCATTTCTCTCCAATCAATAATATTCCTTCTTTCTCTTCGCCCTCAAGATTCCACATCGCACTACACTACAAGTTGCTCGCAAGATGTGCAGGAAGAGGAAGTAGAAGCAGCTGGAGCATTCCGAGGCTGGTAAAGGTCAAGATGGTAAAGACAGCCTCAGCAGTGCATCAAACCCAAAATTCCAGACCATAACAGTCTCGCAGACGGCACTGAGGTTGACTAGGCTGAGAAAGCTCAAAAAAATGCCTAGAAAGCTCCGCTTCTTGACCAACCTGGTTGTCACATCCCTCAACCAAATAGTAAGGTACGGCTTCGAGGATGATTTGTGCTGGGTGTGAGGCCATCACACAGAACAAGATAGCTGATAAGCTCGCCCTGCGCACCGGCAAGCGTCTCACTCAGCTGAAGGATATATGGCCACATCCCAAGACCTCAGCAGGATCAAAGATCCTCCTCTGGCCCACTAGAAGCAACAAGGACCTCTCGTCGACATGATGCTGTAGTGTCTCGCGCTTCAGGATGATCAAGCCCGTAACAAAGAAACTATCCCGCGTCAGATATTCCTCTAGAGTGTCTCTGTACAATTTGTAAGCACCACAACAATCGAGCAGGCAGATGAACAAGTCCCAGGGTGTACAAAGCTACTCATTGAGAATGTGGCCTTGGATCATCTTGCGTCAAGCAATTCAAGAAGCAGCTCGACCTCGTGAATCTTCAGACAATACAATGTGTGGCAGAGGACGAGCTGGAGGCTGTCTTATGCATAGACCTTGGCTATCGCAGCTAGATTCACCTCTGAGTCTGGGCATGTTGCATCGACCACTCTGCCAAGTAAATCTGACAGATAGTATTTCAGTAGATGGCGTCCCCAGCTTTTAGGACAGCTGCTGACATGTGGCGCACAACATAGCACAACGTTTTCACCACCATCAATTCCTTTTCTCCAAGTCATGGAGATGGACCACCTCATTCAGCAGATCTCGAGATACCGCACAACCATGTCCATGACAGCTCACTTTAATGGTTCGTCTACTCACTGACTAGAACAATGTACTTTTCTCCCTGGATCCCGAGTTGGATTAGGGTGCTGTGATGGACTGAAATGTTACGGCACGGGAGAGCAAATATAGCTTTGCAACGTTCGGCAAGGCAACGAATGATCCTCCAGCTTGGAACACCAAGGAGAGTTATGAAATTTGATTATATCATTTGTTGGCATCTTGTTCCTCGTATCTTCGGATTGGCACATGGCTCGAAATGGATGGTCAGATATCTTTGGTTCCAATGGTGCTTGTGGGATCATATGCTTCGGCATAGGTACAGATCTTGTGGCACTTGAGATGTCTTTGCACAGGTATGCTGCGCTGCCTTCTTGTCTTTTCATTCGATGCATGTCTTATCCTTCGGGTAACAGTCTGGATGAGTATTTTGCCTAACAAAATCTTGGTAAATTGGTAAATGCGACCACCTTTTGTCGACATGTATGGCCACGTATCATCCCCGAAATCCCACTTTGTGCATAATGTGTGAAGGCATCTTGGTGTCTCGGAATGCAGTTTCGTAGATCAGACCTCGCAAGCCGGATATCTCTTGGATATATAACTCATCTTGAAGAGTCCTCCAACACATGCGATCATACCTAATGGAAAACTTGGAATCCTGTCTGGTCTCCCCTAGAAAAGCTACTAAGGCCTGGATTAGTAGCCAAGTGGATGACCATTGGCGATCACCTGGTGCTGCATGTTGTTTTCGTTAGTTTTGGGTCTCTTTCTCTGCTTATTGTGGGTATGATTTCAAATCATGACCCGTTTTGGATCTTGAACGGGTGCGTAATAGTGTCTTTGGGCCTGGTAGTCAGACGATATAATCATGAAAGAATGAGGCTGCGATGAGGCAGTGGCGTGGACTTGGAATGCCCATAGAAGATAATTATGTGTGTACTGTATTCAAACGCACGTGTTTCATGGAGTTCGGTATGGTTGATACCTTGATCCTTATTTTTGCATGATTATTTTCTTCTCCTTTCCCCCTTCTGCTTTCAGTTCCTCCGAACAGTGTGAGCTGGTCTCAGAAGCTACAGTCTGTTCACCTATTCCGCCAGGTCCTAAATTTCAGAGCTGGTCATCATCTCTGAGTATCTCGGAATATAGTTTGATGGGATGTATCGCTTGATTGGACGTTAATTAGCACAACCTTCCAAGACTGGTTCATCAACGGCCTCTGATCTTGTAAATAGAAGTGGCTAGCTAGACAAGAGACAAGTCCTGGCCGAACATACATTGGCGGTATATTCTTGGGTGGGATCGCTAGGGTTCGCCAATGAACACCAGCCTCAAGTTGCCGTCTCCCGACCAGAGGCAATATAACTTTCCTGTCTTGATGTCCAAGCCTGCACGCATATCACAGTGCCAGACTGAGGTATTCTCTGCCGTCGTCGTCACCTATTTCTCCCTCTCTTTGCTGTGCAGGCTCCAGATAATTATCTGCCGTTGTTGTGGAGATGGCGTCATGACCACGGGAGATGTTAAGCACGTGGGAATTAGCTGTCTGAGGATGTTCTGCTCTAGTTCCCCTCATTATTGGTGCTTCTTATGTGCTTGATGCCTCTTCTTGTGACTCCAGGCTTTTGTGACTGTGGCTTGAGGTCGCCCGTCCTGCGCACCCAGATATCCCCGCGTTGCCCAACCCCACGGCCCTCGGAGGACACGCGTGATGAAGGTAGCAAAGTAGCTGGCAGGAAAAAGCTGCCTCAAGTTGGCCCAAACCCCCAGCGCCCAACTCACGCCATCGCGTTCCCTTCCACCACGAACCACTGGAGTCCCAGCATCGATCGCCCTGGACTCCGCCCTCCCCACACCCTCACCATTCTTCTTCTCCACCCCAGAAAACATCAAAGCGCCATCATCAAGCTCGCCCCCCAGCTCGTCCAGCTCCCGCCAGAGCCACTCCGGCGCCCTCTTGATCACCTCCAGCGCCACGCGTTCCCTCAGTGCCACATCCGCCGTGACCAGGACCAGACGGTAGGGCACTACCCCTCCTCCTCCTCCCCCTCCTCCCCCCTCCAGGAGAAGCCCCTCGACATACTCGACAATGGCATCGTCACCCACATCCTTGCCCGCGACGGGCCGTGCACGGATGAGCCCGACACCGCGCGGCGCCTCCATGTTGCGCGCCTCTCCCTCTACCATGACGAGCACCTCGCACCCTCGCACAGCCGCGAGATGGCCCAGCCGCTTGATCACGCGCGTGGTGAGGTCACCCAGCTTCCTCATCTCCTTCCTCCTCCTCCTCCTCCTCCTCCCCCCCCCCCCTCTCCCTTGCATCAATCTCCAGAGCCCCACGATTCCGCCGTCTTTACTATCTTCCTTGTCTGCGTCCTGCACCCCAATCTTCACAGCCCGACCTTTCCGAGCCGAGGAAAGGATCCCATGAAGATCCTGCACCGACGGCTTCGATCCCACAAAGTTATACAAATCCACCACAACAATCCGATCCCCCCACCCCAGCCCCGCAAACCGAGCCTCCGCCTCCGCCACCCGCGCCCGCCTCCTCGCCCTCGCAGCCAACACCGCCTCCCTCTGCCGCGCCGCCTCGTCCCAGATCCGCACGCGCCCGTCCTGCGGGTTCAGCACGGCCGGTATGAACCTGTTGTCTGGCGGCGGAGACAAGACCGCTACCGCCGCCGCGTCTCTCCTCTCGCGGGCAAGCTGGGCCCTCTTGGCGCGGATCTGCTCGCGGCCGGGCCGGCTGAGTTTCCCCCTGCGCTGGGCCTTGCGCTCTCTGCTGCCGCCATGGAAGCGGCGCTGGGTGAAGAAGCTGCTGCTGCTGCTGCTGCTGCTGCTGCTGAGGATGTTGACGACAACAGGAGAGATGTCTGCTCGGGCTTTGGAGGTTGTCAGTCTGCCCGCGTAGGCTCGTGGGCAGGCCGACATGAGACATTGGTGGACTTTTAGGCGGCCGGATGGGAAGATGAGGAGCAATGACATGATTTATCATTGCTCTACCGCCGGATTTCTTGGGAAATTATTGTGCCTTCTTGCTCATGGCCTTCCCTTGTGGCCGCAAGAGGGCATTTTCCTGGGCGGAAAGAGCTGTGTGTCTGTGTCTGATGTGGTATTATGCATTGACCAGAGCGTGTTTTTTGTTCGCCAAAATCTGATCATTGTACGGCGCCGCTGCGGACGTTGCCCCACTTTTTCCCGGCCGGAGGAGAAGGACAGAGCATTGTTAGATTGCAGCTCAGTTCACTTTTGCAATAAAATAAACGGTTCACGATTGATATTTGGTCGTTACATGTTGAAATATATCTAGTCAAAATAACGACAGTCAATGACAGACATCTCGCGAATGTCTGTCGGCAAGTTCTGTGTGGACATCGATTGAACAGTCGAACTTGTGACGCCGGCCCAAATACGTCTCTCCAGCTTTTGAGCCGTCATGTGATTCCTCGATTTTCTTTCCACTGCAAGACGGTGAACAGGCAGGCGTGGCAGCTTCTTCCAGGGTGATTTGAACCTAGGCGACAGCGAGACGCGAAGATTGCCTCGATAACCACGGGCTGTATTGTTGGTCAAGCATCGAGGAGGCCCATCTAAGGTTAAGACATGTTGAGATGTAAAGCCATCCCCTACTCAGTTCATCTATCCCAGCCCAGAACGCTGCTGATCCAGGACATGAGGCCCTTGCTTTTATCGCTACCATCGCTGCTGTTGCTGCTTCCACCCACAGCATCAGGGCGAGGCTCGCTCAAGCCGGCACCTCCAGCATCGCGGTCTCTTGAGCTGTCCTGTGACCTGTTCCCCTTCCTCACTGATACAGAGGTGAATATTATGGAGAAATCTCCCTCCTGCTCGCCAAAGAAGCTGCCAGCCTCTCGTCAGTATCCAAGGGTAGGCACTCTAAGAGGGTGTGGACGCTTGCCTACCTTCTCATCATGAAGCTGATCCTCCTCACGTTCTTGAGGTCAAGCGGCTTTGCGTCTGGCTTGGCCTTGCCACGATATGTTGGCTTGAAGTCCTCAAAGGGGATCACAAGCTGACAGGCTGAATCCCCGTTCGACCCAGCCTCTCCAGCAGCGCTATCGAAGTCGTACTCCCAGCTGACGGTGCTCTGTTCCCTGCCGTCCGGCCGTTTGGGCAGAACCTCGTCCTTGAGCGTGATGGTGTACTTCTGCCCATCGGCCCGCGTCACGTCCAGGACGAGGGCGTCATATGCAGACAGATCGAGGGCGGGGAAGCCATCCACGGTCCGCTGCGAGGCAAAGCCGGCACCGCCGAGGGTCTTGATGTCTAGAGTGCCGTGGTACTCGGCACCGAGACCTGCATCAGCCGAACCTCCGGGACCGAGCACGGTCAGGTAAGACTGGCTCCGGCCGCCACGGACACGGTCGTCCGAGGCTGTGAACTGGGACGCATCCCATGGTCTAGTGGTATGCCATCACTTTTCATTAGCTTCTTGCCTGGTGTACCCATGATGAAGTCTGTATCAATGTACACAGGACTACCATAGTAAAATTGAAAGTATACTTTCAGAATGGAGCAAAGGAGCTTGTGTGCCTGCGTGTGCGTGTGCGTGTATGTGTGTGAGATGAGGTTTGCTACATGCATGGAGTGAATGCATCCCTTGCACGCCGGTCTAGGCATAGTAGCACCAGAGTTGCATGGGAGACCAACCATCGGGGGACCCGCCCCCCATAAAAAGCACGATGCATATGCGCCAGACCTAGGAAGTGCATATGGACCCAGGAGGGAAGCACTCCCCTGCAGGAAGGACGCCCTTTACAGACTCTTGGAAGATCCATGGACGGCCACTGCTCCCTCGCAACATGTGATGTACTATGTGCCTTGCTTGTTGCTCGGGGGGCCACGGGTGGGGCGGAAGATGCAGAAGCAGGAGAAACAACAAAAGGTGATGAGGATTTTGGCTCGGATACAACGGCACGCCCGTGTTGGGACTCATGTCACTGAAAGAGGGTAGAAGGGGGGGGGGGGAGTGTGTGTGAGTGTAGGAAGGGAAGGGTGCTGCTATCAAAACATACCTGTCTCCTCCGAAAAGGTACATGATGGGCGAGGGCGGAGGCCAAGATGCTTTTTCTGCTTCTATTCTCGCGTCTGAATGGCCAATGAGCGACATTGCGAAGGACGGGGTCCCCTACTCTGGTGGTGGTACTTGTGACTGCCCTTTAATGTTGCAGTGGTAGCGGGCAAGCTGAAAAGCGCCTGGCGGGCCCAGCGAGATGAGCTACACTTGGGACGAAGCGCATGTACACACGCAGCATATCCCCTCTTAAACCCGGGGTGGAAAACGAGCCTCTTTGTCGGAATGGGCCTGTAGAGAAAAAAGAGAGACGGGACCACAGACAATGAGACTGGATCTCAATGTGATAACCGGGGTGGGGGTGGGGTCAAAATTGATCAGCTCGACTCTGAACTGGCTGCCTGTGCAGTGGAGCTGGCTGTTGGGACAAACCAACACTGCCGTTGTGATCCGTGTGTAGCCGTTTTCAGTTTGATTTTGACAACGCTCCAGACAGGGAACCCTGATCAATACGAGATGAAGTCTTGTTGGGGGCGGGTGTGCGTGCGCGCATCGGTGTGGGAAATGTTGATTGATGCTGGGCATGGGAGGAAAGGGAGGAAGAAAAAGAAGAAAAAAAAAATACAGCCTACCACCCCAGGCACCGTAGCAGATAGCATGTGGCCCCCGGCCCCCGGGAAGGTATGTTTGGGTACATGCTTGTTCAGGCCGAGATCTGTGCGCCTGCCCCAGAGACAGGGTCCTTTTTGTTTCCGCTAGTACCACCGTACTTTTTGCAAACACTCCTTGGCGCCGGGACCTATCGAGTACCTCTGACATCAGTCCCAGTTCGCGGGGACAGCCTGGTAACTCTCGAGGCCCCACTGGCTGGGGTGGTTCCTCCCTCAAGCGTCCCCACATTGGAACACGATGAAGACGATAACCTAAAGAAGGAAAACGGCCCCATCGTGAATTCCCATACTAAGTACTATAGTACGTTTTTCTTCCTTTTTACCATTTACCACTATAAACGCGTACGTATACTGGAAAGATGGATACGGGTTATGCGCGTGCTGGGGGACGAGGACAAGGCCTGTCTCTCGTCAGATCCTTATCAAAAATATTCACACGTGACCCCCAAGCTTCGATCTCAGCCTGCACGTCCCAAAGCCCCAAGCATCTTGAAGCCCACGCGGACCAGTCCCAGTCACTCACTCTCTCGTTGCTTGCTCCTACGTCATGAGGATCGCCGTCGCAACCGCTCCGTCGAGTCACAATCCACTTGCTGGGCGGTTCAACCCTCCCCCCTCTCTCTTCCTCCTCCATTGTCCTCCTCACCTCCACTCCACCCTTTTTCCGGTTCTTCCTCATTGACTGGCCAAGAAGCTTGTCGGTGCCGCCCCGGGACCGTATATGGAAAACTCAATTTATTCCTGGAGGCTTCTGCCCGTGCGTGGTTGGGATTGAGTGCTTTTACTTTCCGTCGTCCAAAAGGAAGGAGGGGGAGAGGCGGGGCGCAGCGCTGGGCAGGCAGCCACAATTGAAACACCGCCGACCTTGTCGGTCTTTTGTCCAGCTTGCAGATCCTAACCCCGAAAAGATGCGAATGCAACCAGACAAGCCCCCCCGCCCCTCTTTCCACGAGGGAAGGAAAGTGCGAGGCTTTCGATGCGAACCTACTGATTCGTCCTAACCCAGATTACCCACACCTCTTTACGTCCGAAACCTTTTTTCTTCTTTTCTACTTCTTTCTCCTTTTGGGCCTAGCTAGGCTGCTAGAGGACCCCAAAATTAAACGAGGAAATAGAAATAGAAGGACAAGATTTGATGTACGCGTGATCGAATCCGGGTCGTATATGCAGGTGGGTGTGCGACTCTCGACCCATACATACTGTTCGGGCGACTTTGGCTGCGTGTCTATTGTTTTCTTTCTACCCTTCTCCCCCCCCCCCCCTTCCTTCCTTTTCTGAGATCAGCAGAGCCGCATTGATCTATTTGTTCTGGGGGTCGCGTATGAAGGCGGGGGGAAGCGGGTTTATCGGTGGTGGGCCGATTGAAAGGCGCCGCCCCCCCCCCCATCCCTGCGAGGCTGCAGCAGCAAGGCCCAGGGTTTGGGGCCGCAGTGGTGGGTTTTTGGTTTTTGGTCACGCCCAGCAGAAAGAGAATGATACGGGCCCCCTCCCCCCCTCCCGACAATTCGTAAAAGCTTGGCTCGTCCGGCTCTCGCTCAAAGGTAAAAAAGAAACAAGGGGAGAAAAGTTCCGCGGAGCTGAGCAATAAATTTTACCGGGATGGTCAACGAGAGTGTGAGACAATACTGTACATACGACGACTTTTGGCGCCAGGATTCAGCTCGAGACTTTTTGCTCTCGCATTTTACATCATGGACCAAGGGGGAAAATGTGACGATGCGCCAGGGTAGGGCAGAAAGGCTTTGTTTTTGGTTTTTTTTTTTGGTTTTTTTTTTTCCATTTCCTCCCTCCTTCTGGATTTACGCCGTCCCCCCATCCCCCGCCCTCGCCCTCGGGCACTCTCGCTGGCTGCAAGAATGCCGGTCCGAGTCCATCATGCGAAGGATTCAGGAGTCGTGTGGGTCCGGAATCAGGTAGGCGCTTTGTTGGAAACACAAAGGAGGAGGGAAAAGAATGAAGGGAAAAGAGAAAGTACCCTGTGAGGAGAGAACGAGAACCGAGACAACAGAGCGCAATTTCGGACTGAGACGGTCAATTCTTTGCCAAGAAGTCCGTTCTTGGACCCTCGGCCACAAGGTTGGGGAGCCTCGCGCTGTGGATCGGTGGCCTGTTTATTTCGCAGCGTGGGTCGCTTGTTGTGACTCACTGAGAGCAGCCGTACCAGTGGCAGCTGGCTTGTTCACCGTCACATTGACTATGCAGAGGCCCGGCATCTGGGAAGCAATTTCCCTCATGTCTTTTGCCCGAGATCCTATTTTCTCGACGTTGGAACTGTCTGAGGTTTGGACCACATCCAGAAAATACTTAGATCGATCTGCTAGAGGAAATCCTGACAGTTGCGGCATGTACGACAGATTGAGTTGCCTACTAAGCTGTCAATAAATCGTTGACAGGCTGATGTGAGATTTGTTTTATTCCCTACTAATTTCTTTATTGCTCTTCCTCTTCTCGAAACTCCCCCCTTGTTTATTTTTTGCCGTCTTTCTTCTCACCTCACTCCGCTCACCGTTTTTTCCCCGGCCCGTTCGTGATAAGCGCTCCCGTCTCGTCTCATAGGGCTGAGATTACCTTTCGCACACGGGAGCCAAAATCTCACCGGGTCCGTGCCTTAATTTGGTCTCCTCTCTTTTCTCATCTTACTCTGTCAATCCCCTCTCCACACTGTTTCTGCTTAAGTGGTATGAGGGGTCTGGAAAAGAAGGTGAGGAAGAGAAGAGAGAAAGAGGATGGGTGAGGGGGATGGATAATCATCCCATAAACTATTCATGTGAGCGGTCCGTGGGTCGGTGCCGAGCATTTTGCGAAAGGAGTGCGAAAGAAGTGCGAAAGAAGCGCGAGGTGCCGTTGCTTGTCTCTTTGCTTGCTGCTGTTCCAAATGTGGTCCTTAATCCCTCTGGGCAGATGTCGATTGGTGAATAGGCTGCGGCACAGCAGAACAACAAACAGTCAATTGAAAGTTGGAGGGGGGGGGGGGCAAGGGATGGGCTCATGACAACCCTTAGCTGGTTGGCTCTAAAAGGAAGAGGGGGGGGGGAGGGAGGGAGGAAGAGGGCGGCTACATAATGGTCTACTGCTAATCGACAAGGTATAGAAAGATGCTGTTGGGTAATGAGAACATGGTTGGCAGAAAGAAGACTGTGTGATTGAACGGGATGTAGACATTCCCAAGCTTTCTTCAGACATTGCATAGTAGATAGCATAAAATTCACAAACTAGGTTTTGTCTCGATAGTAATTCTTTCCGATGGGTCCGAAAGGTCAGTGGGAACAACCCTTCGCGCGTGTGAATATACCACTAGACCCTCTCCCTTTCCTTCCGAATGCCAATCTCCTGGGTACCAAGCAGGCGTGAACCAATCTTGATATCCCACCCTCGCGCCCTCTAGAGAACAATCAAACGTAGTAATTGCAACAAGCAAAAAGGGAAAGAAAAATCCGACACCAGAAGAAGGATTGCCGCAACTCTGCCTGCCACACTCCCCCCGCCTCCTCTGCGGGATCGTAAGGAGGGCTCCAAGGGCCCCAACATAGAATGACACACACACAGAGACAGAAGAAAGGCGCACATGCCCTTCCTCCTCTCCTCTGGCCCCCAAACATCCTCCACATTGTTTCCTTGTGGTTAGCCTATGCAGGCCCAGAACCAACGTCGCACTGAATGCAACACAGCTAGTGGAGCCGGTCCACGAGAGGAGAGGCGACCACCCCCAAGCTGAGACCCAAACCTTCCGGCGCGCTGGAATTCCGTCCCAAGGCCACATCAGACCAAGACCAATGACCAAGACCAATGACCAAGACCAATCCAATTCAGTCCACTGACTCAACGGTGCATGAAATCACTTGCTGGCACAAAAAAAAAAAAATAAAGACAATTTCCGCCGTCGCATTTCCATAGCTGTCATAGGGAAGAATGAAAGTAAGGCATCATTGACTTGAGGAAACGATAAACGAAAGGAGATCCAATCATAATGAGTTTCGTGTGAAATTGTTTTGTTTGCACCTTTTGACTCTCTGCACTTTGCTTCCTTTAGGAGAAAAAAAGGAAACAATCAAAAAGAAACCGTGACCGATAAACCCATGACGCTTTGCTCTCCCTGACCATCTGACCTTGGGGCCCTTTCATGACGGATACATGACAACGTAAATCGGTATATATGCATGATGAATCAAACATAAAAATAAAATAGAAACTCAACAAGAAACAAAAAACACGAGCAGCCAGAGCGCAAAGAGTGTGTGTTCGCGTTTGTGTGGGGAGTGATTGTGGAGACAAACCCCATCACTCCCAGTGCTCTCTGGGAAGCCCAATCCTCCAAACTCCAGCCCAGCCAACCCCTCGTGGCCGAGCCTTGCCTTTTGAGAAACTCCAGAAACCGCTTTGTTGAGATTATAAATTTATTGTTGGTTATGAAAACCTCTCTTTGCCGTGGCTCATGGCGAGCCCATCGACAGTGGGGTGGCGGGGTAGACACTCCACTCCGGCTCCGAAGCCGCGTCGGAAGAACCCGAGTGATCGAAGGAGTGTGAGAGGGCAGGAGTCTGATGAGAGAGTCGCGTATCAGCGCTGTTGTTCTTTTTCTCGATGCGTACCAATATATGTTGATGTGTTGGGTTGGGGGGGGGGGAGAGATGGGGGAGAGGGCAAAAAACAATAACAAGGAATTCGTTTTGTTTTTGACTCTCACCGCACGCACATGAACAGAATGATACATTTTGCTTCATTTCTTAAATTTTTTTTTTTGTTGTTCTTTGTGGTGGCGCTCATCTCTTCCATCTCTCTCACTCTTTCCCTGCTCTCTTGTTCCCATGCCTCTTTGTCCTTTACACCCTGGGAGGTGCAGGAGCAGGATAGCGGGAACGGTAGAGATCAGGTGCAGCGAGGTGACCGGCGGCTGTGGCCGTGGTCGAAGAGGATGAGGAGGTGGTGGTGGACAGCACATCACTACCGCCGTAGGAAGGGAAGGTGGAGACGGGAGGGAGAGCCGATGACGATGACCTCGACGCCTGGTGCTGATCTTGGTGTTGGTGGTGGTGGTGGTGGTGAGAACTCACATGAGGATTTGAATCGTAGGGCGAGGCGGTCGCGGGGACCCCAAGCGAGTAGTCGCCGTAGCTTGCAAACGACATCGACTCATTCCCCTTGCTACCGGTGGTATTGTACGCCTCCGAGAAGTGTGTCATGGGTGGCAGCGTTGGCGCAGCAGTGGCCGTGATGGCTGGAGTGCCCATCCATGTGGTCACAGCAGGGTGGCCGGCGTAGAAGCCGTTGTCGCTGGGCGGTGAGTAGCTGTTCTGGTAGGCGAAGGGGGGCGGGCTGGAGGCGGGCGGGCTGGGAGATGGGAAGAAGGGATGGTCCTCAGGGTTCATGGGCGGGGTGTAAGGCTGGCTGAGTGCTACTGGGGCAGCCAGCGGTGCGTGGTTTGAAGCGGGAGGAGAGGAGCGGCGTCTCTGGTGTTGCTGTGCCGCTTGCTTCTTGATGCTGTTGACCTTGGGAGACTTCTTGGCGCTGTTGCCCTTGCCCTCTTCGCCGGCCGCCTTGCTCTCGAGGAACTGCATGCGCTCCTTGATCTTCTTGCCTGGAATTCGCAAAAAAAATTGCCAGATCAGTAAACAGTCTCGAGGAGGAATTTCTGGGAGGGGAGTCAATGGAAAGATGGGTTGAACCTACGGTAGTTGCGCTGGGCGATCCTATTCTGGATCCGGCGGCGCTCGGCCAGGTCTGATACTTTGGTCCAGTCCTCATCTGCGTGTGCCGATGCGCTGAAGGCACTGCTTGTGCTTGGGTATTGCCTCACGGAGATGGGCTGTGTGTGAGGTGCAGACCAGGCGCTGTACTGGTGCTGGTAAGGATGGTGTGCCAGCGGGCCCACTGGGAACATCTGGTGAGGGTCGGAAGCCATTGTGTTGAATAAGTCTTGTGTAGTTTGTTGCTGTGATTGCTGTTGTCGTTGATGACAACGACGACGATGATGTTGATCTTTGTTGTTGGGTTCAAGGTCTGTTGGACTGTGGTGTGTGAGGATGATGAGTGCGTTGGTTGATGTCGTAAGAAATGGGAGGATGATGTGAGTTTGAGAAAAGAGGATGAGGAAGGAAATGTTGTGTCTTTAAGAGGAAATCCAGGAAGAGCCTTGAGTCCTTGGGAATGTGATATCTATAGAAGTCTGACTGGATCTCTGGTCTGAGGATGAGGCCCGACCAGAAGGATGATGGTGGAGGAATGTTTCGAGATATATAGTATGTCTGAACGTGGAGGATGCTGGGCAGGGCTTCAGGGCAGGTGTAATGGTGGGTCCGAGGTAGGCGGACGAGGGACGCTGGAGACAGGGGCAAGGGTCCAGGGACGTACTCGGCAGGGGTGCCAACCATGTGGAAACAGTAATCCCATGATCCTTGTCCCCTGTTTAAGATGTAACTATGTATCTTTTTACCCCCCCCCCCTTCCCAGCTAGGTATCTACGTACCTCACGTACCTTAAGTAGCCTAAAGAAGTTGTGTCTTGTCAGTCAGCAGGATAGAAAACGGGAGGAATAAGGCTGTGTGGTAGCCACTCACCCACCCACCCACCCACGCAGGACAGTACATATGTACACACAAGAAGTACCCTTCGTACCTCATGTATCTCATAGCCCTGTAGACCCGTCCTGAAGAGTCGAAGGTACGGATGCAGGTCTGGACGGTGCGGCCGCGACCAACAGGCCCAGCGCTCTGGTCGCAGAACCAAAATAGGCCTACCCACGTGTGTACTACGTAGTAGCAGCAGCAGGAGGAGGAGGAGGCGGCGGAGGAGAGCAGCAGAAGAAGCCAGGCAGAAGCAAAAGCATCCCAGATGCGTGTATGCACCTCACTCTTTTTGTTTTCTACCCCCTCCCTTCTCTATGTCCATGCTGATTGGGCGGTTGGGAATACTCGTTCCCACACACGAGCAAAGTTCCTTCGAGCCACGAGGCAGTGTTTTGTTCATGCGCCTCTGCAGCAGGCTACGAGAAATTTCCCCGTTTCAACCAATAGTGGAAGGGATAGACGCGCAGCACAGCAAGGTCTGGTGGTTGGCAAGGTCCGTGGAGAGCAATCGGGTGGCTTTCATAGGGTAGGGCGTACCAGATGGCTGCTAATGCATGGAACGTAGCGACACTTAGTTCTTCGTCTGGCGACCGAGACGGGAGATATCGTATACAAGCCCGTACCATACATAGTACAACTCGAGCGGGATGGAGGAGGCTCAGCTTGAGCCTAGCTCAACTCTCAGTCACGCCCGTAGGTACAGCACGAAAGCTCCCTTTTCCGTTTTCCTTTTTGAGCCGACCAGGGAGGAGTGGAATTTGTGTGTGTGTGTGTGTGTGTGTGTGTGTGTGTGAAAGGAGAGAGGGTCGATCGCGTCGTGCCTCCTTATCCGTCATGTTTTGCATATGACCATGTCGAAGAGAAATGGGCTTCATACCACGGTACAATATCGTGCTTGCAGTCTGGCAAAGAGGTGATTCCTGCATGTTGCTTACAACCTGGCTCTCTGGATGCACACATCTACAGTCAGTACAGCACCGTACCTCAGAGGGGGCGAGCAGACCCCGAACGGACCCAAGTCTTGGTACTGTCGGACTTTTGGGCTGGAGCCACTATAGGCTTGGCGATCCCAAAGTATCCTGCTATGTACCAGGAGGTGGTATTATTTTTGTGTGTTACAACAGAAGGATCGCAGGTCGATGGAGGGGGGACTGAGAACTGGAGAATGGCAGCACCAGAGCTGGAGACGGGAGGAGGGCAGGGGGTGTGGGAAGACGAGGGAGGGGCGTGTGCTAGAAAGAGCAGCGGGTCGATCGGGTCCACGGACAAGGGCCAGGGCTTCTCAGAAGTACCAAAATAACGTATAGGATTGCCCACTAAAACGACAAGAGCAAAACGGAGTGCTAATTCTGGGAAGGAACTGCCCCGATTCCCCTCAGTGCTCCGTTTACCAGCCCTACGCCAAAGACCTCACTGCAGCCCGCTGCAGCTAGTCGTCTCTCTCCTTCGTCCCTCTCACCACCTCCACCACACATGCACCACAGCTCCACGGTAGCTCGATTGGATTTCCAATTACAGAAACCACCCAACCAATCTCCAGCACTGGTCGCCAGGTATGTGCCCCCTACTATGAACGAGTTGCTGGTGACCCACGTGATGCTTTTCTCTCACACCACACAATGTGGACAGACCGACAACCTCGTTTCGACAACAAACAAGTTGTCGAGAGTGGCTCCTGTGCGAGAACAGACCACCACCGCCCATCACTATCACAATCACTACACATAGCGCGGGGTAAATTTTAAGCTTGAATCGCCCTGGCGGGCAGACGTCAAGGGAGCTCCCCTCTGTACCCGGCGTTCCGGTGCGCCATATCGTAATGGAAACCAAGTCCTTGATGGACGGGTGCTAAGCCTCGTCACGACTGGGAATAACCTGGTCTGCAAATTTTAGGCTCCGCCCAATGCCAGCAGCGGGATCGTCCAAACGGCTCTGGCTCGCTGCTGTACGAGGAATTGGTGCCGTTTTCTGGACACCATAGGGGCATAGGCAACCAAGTTATGCCGCCATTCCTTCGGCGGGCAACTCTTATCGGCTACGATCTAAGCCTTGGCTCCATGGGCCCTTTTGTATACCATACCTACGGTGTCATGTTACTATGGTATCTGGGATGACGCTGCTGCTGCTTTGATGGGTGCCTACATCACCGAGGTTGATTACAAAAGATGGAAGGAAACAAAATTGAAGAAAAAAGCCAATGCCGATCACAAGTTTCCATGGGGGACGTGGGAGAACGATTCGACGTGCCGAAAGGGCCGACTTGAGAACAATGGCGATCCCATCGTGTGACGGTAACAAGGCCTCTACCCTGCCTTGTAGCTGGTAGGGCGCGAGAAGTCAGTCGCTGGGGACCGTGGTCGTCGTTCTCGCGAATCTCGTTCTCGGAGCGTCGTTCACACACTGCGATAGTCCTCACTCACTTACTCAGGCAAAGAACCCACCCTGTGACCTTACAAAACCACAGCCGCGGAGCTGAACATGCAATGGCCACATATTCCGAACATTCGGATCCGGCGCCGCCTGGAAACACGACCCATTGGCTGGGTAGACCCCTGCGTTTTGGAGCTCGGCAATCTTTCGTGGGACCTCGATCAAAACTATGATCTGTCTGGCCTGGGGAGGGAAGACTCAACGACGTAGACCGGCTTACCGCATATGTGCCAAAGTTGTACATGACTCACACCAGATCGATGTTGGTCTTGGACCTGTGACGTTTGATCAGACGCAACAGAGCTCTACTGGCCGCCAGAGGATGGGAGGGAACACGCCGCCAATGTAGGACAACTTCAACAGGGGACATGGAAGAAAGATGGACAGACGATATTGGTGCCATAAGGGAAAGCAGGAAAAGGACGGGCCAAGTTAATTCGCTCACTCAACGACGACGACGACGCAGCGATGATTCGAAATGATGGAGGGGGGACGGGCTATCGAGCCGTGCCCTGGGCTCCCCCTGGCAAAAGCGTTTTTTGCTTCATCCCAGAAACCTGGACGCCAGGGCCCTTCCCGCGCCGACCCTTAGGGCAAACGGTGCTGACGCCCGTCCACTGCTAGAGGCTACAAGGACTTGGTACTAATGGTAGCGACCGACGGGAGGTCCATAAGGGTGCACGCGCAATGAAGGAATCAGCCCATTTCGTCCCTGCTGCCCCAGAAAGCGGGATCGTTACTGACGAAGGAAGAGAACACGCCTTCACTGACACAATAACGACGAAATGCCTGTTGGATAGCGGTAGGGCGGGAAAGGCGTCTGGAGGGCTCCCTTCTACCATGGCACCATGGCACCTTGACTGTGACCGGCGTGACATTCCTGTTCGTTTGTGGCACAGCGGGTTGCGCCCCTGATCTGCTGTGTCTGGGAGTCGGTACGCCTTCTGATTGGGAGGATCATCGTCTGCACTTCACACGCATGTACGGACTTCAGACGATATCTCTTGATGAGAATTGGGATGTCGCTGTTGCTGCCGACAATGTTACCTCACATGGAACGAGACGGTAGCACATCTCGCTGAATATTGCCTGGGTATGGATCTCGCGATCGCCCGGCCACCCAGGACCACATCCTGGGTAACCAGCATGTCACAAAAGGACCA